AGAATTTAACACTGAAAAGGACCCTGAAGACGCCTGCCACGCTACTGGCAAGGCACAAGGGTACTTACTCCCTGATAATACTTGATATGCGATAGAACGGCTACCACGTCGACCCCTTCAGGGTCGAAGACTCGGAGGATCCGCCTCGAGCCCGGGGCGAGGGTAAAGCGGACGTCGTACTCACCCGCCTGCAAGAGGTCAATGAACGCATGCAAGCAGTGATGGCTGCCTCGCAGCAACGGACAAGAGGAGGGAGCAAACGCGAAGCGACGACGTGTAATCTCTTTTCGCTGCGGTACGACAATGACTGAGCGTGCTGCCAGGCAGGCGACGCAGAGGCGGGAATGCAGGTCCGGTTTGGCCTATCAACCTCTTATTCTGCGGCGGGCAGAGTGGGCAACACGGCTGACGCTGAACAAAACGCAGTCGATCGCTTTCTCAATTATATGCCGCCAGCTCGATTTGATGGGACAAAATGACGGAGGCGATGTCGGCCAGCTCTGCCAGTTCGTCAGCGGCGAGGGCGGGACCGGCAAGTCGCGAATCATCGAGGCACTCGTCGAGTTGTTCAGTAGGAGGAGCCTTTCGAATCGCCGCTGATCATGGCGACGTCAGGGATTGCCGCAGTCCGGATCAACAGTATCACAATCCATTCCACATGCGGGTTCTCCAAAGACCAAGGGGCGGCCGCGAACACGGCGAGAGATCTCGACGAGGTGCGACTGCCAAGCAAGCGGATCGGTTCGTCCATGGCCAGTTTCGGATGCATTGGCAGAAGAAAGACGCGCTGATTATACCATGCGCCATCTTCGTCAGAACGTGTTTCCATGTCATACCGGTGCGCTGGTCTGTGAGCGGGGAAACGTTGCAACCCCGCGGTAGAGTGATGGTGAAGTCAAGACGTTCGTGGAGGGCTGGCATTACCAGATTACCAACTGTTGTAGAGACAAGTTGCGGGGAACGGGTTGAGCGAGGAAACTCGGGGTGTCGCTCCTAGACCCTTCCGCTGCTGCCTGGTTGGGGGCAGCAATGCTACTCGGCGCCAGCTCACTTTCTGGCTGCAGTGAAGACGATATTGCTTATTAAGAAGGGGTTGCAGTCCTTACAGCTCAGTACTACCAGCAGCGAGAAGTGAAGGTGCTGTCAGTCGCCCAAGACGAGGACTTGCAGGACTGTTGTGAAGCCAGAATCGGCCGCAGGTACGTAACGGGAACCCAGGCACCATGGGCGAAGGGTCTAGGAGCGACACCCCGCGTTTTTGTGCCCAACCTTCTCCCCCGAACTTCTCTTGTGCGACAGCTGGTAATTTGACACGTTAAAAGGCTCGTACTGTACTGTATGTACATACCGGGGTTCATGCAGAAAGACTGGCATCCAGCACAATGGTGGCTGCAGTTCGATGCAGGCAAACATCCGCTAATGCACAGGGAGAGAGGATGTGACGGGGCTACGATCTGCAGCTGCAATGCCGTCCAAATGACTCACACCACCCGTGCCGGGGACAGTCAGAAGCACCCACTTGCAGCAACGCACATCCACCTTGCGGTCACCACCTCGCATTGAGAACCAACTGCAGTATTAGGAGCAACACGGAACTATGGGTGATTATGTACATGTACCCAAAGTAGAGCTGCTGAAATGCATCTCGAAGCGGACGCTGTCTGGCAATGTAGATTCTGGCTCCTGGTCACTTTATCACCAACGACTCCGAGACCCCGCGTCGCCCAGCTTCCTTCCTCCTCCTCTCTCCTGTTGTACTTCATAGTACCTCGATACCATCATATCTACATTGCCTCCCCACTCTTCCCTCTGCGTACACCGATACTGCCATCAGGTCTCGATCCGGCAGCCGCAGGATGGCGCCGTCAAATCCGCTGAATGCGTTGCCACCTGCTCCGCCTGAAGGTCACATCGCATCCAGAGCATGCTCCGGATCGGCCAGCCTGTCTCGTGCGTCGTCGGCGGTAACATTTTCACCTCGTCGCTGGGGCTTATTGGGCTCGTAACAACTTTGATGTCATCGCTCTGCGAGCTGCCACGCTGCAGCCACATTGTGCTTCCACTTCCAATAGCACTTGTTCTGCAAGACATTGCGCTGCAGCCAGGCCCCACATCCTTTTCATGATGCACGCTCGTGCTGCAGGATGATAGTTAGGTGGGCAGTGAATGCCCTACAGGGGCGGGACACCTCCGATTGGCCTTAGAGGCCGGTTGTTGGTTCTTGGTTTGTTGCAGCCCTGTAACTAGTACTGTAACGGAGTCATACGCATACACGAGGCGCATGGTTCCCTTTTCGGCGAAGACTGCGTCTACATGGGAGCATGTCGTATTTTGAACTAGAACCGGGCGACAGTCGTGAGCTATTTGGCTTCCATATCGATAAGCGAAGACGAGTAATACTGCCCCAACTGCCGCTTCGCAATAAGAGGTGGAGCGAGGAAGGAGGCGACTTTGCCGCAGTCGCACAGCGAGCCTCATTCACGTGTTACACATCGAATGTATGTAGGGTTACTCAGTCGATGGGAACCAACTAATCTACAGACAATGTGTTTTGGATGCTGCCTGGACCTGCAGACTGACCTGTCACTCTCAAAATCCTACGCTAGCTCTTATCGATCGCACTAAGCCTCCATAGTCCAGATGACGTTCCTTCCGTCTGTCCACGCTCTGTGGTACGCTGGTGCATCCCAGTAGGTTAAAGTGGAGCCCAACAACGAACTGCGATGATGCATTAGCAGCACAGCTGACCAACAACGCAACGATAGTGCTCACCAATCACGAGTCATGAATAACCAAAGCGGCACGGGGTGCACTCTTTGTTGCCGCCGCCTTCCTCGTCCTTGACCATATTTTGCACTTATAGGGGGGGGGAATCAGGTTTCTGCATGGGACGAAAGAAAGTGGAGCAGAATGTGAGAGAGGAAGGTACGGCACGGTTAAAGCCTACGATTATATCTGCAGCCCTGAATTGAGTCACGTCAGGTTGGCGCATGGCGCTAATTACCCCGGTCAACCCGCCGACCAAGGTTCCCGTTGGGGGGCTCCAGCGCAAGCAGAGCGAATTTTCCGCCTGTTCTCGCCATCTTTGCAGCCACGTAGCGCACCCGCAACAACGTGCGCGCGGCTGCACTTCCGTAGGCAGGGGACGGCGGTCGAGGCGATTTTCATGGCATGGGTGTTTCGGATTTCAGTGGCCGTTTCGAAAATTTGGCCAGAAAGTCAAAGAATTGTTTTTTGCACGTATTCGCCTTGTTCTGGAGTACTTAAACACGCACGGCGACTTTTTAAACACGCACGGCGACTTAAGCCCCATTTGGAAGAGGACCCGCCACCAAAATTTGCCGCGCGCCTTCGGCTGCTGCAGCCGCCTGGAGCCGCCTACAGTAGCCCACCCGATCCTATCTGCATACATCACCAACGCCGGAAAATGCGTTCCTTAGAGTCGTTCAATTGAATCTATCAACAAGCCCGGCCTGACTGATCTTCCGATGTGCACACAATAGCGGAAGGTGCGTTTTTTGGCCGCCTTTGCCTACAGCCCGTGAGATCAACGCTGTGACTGTGACTGTGTGTGCGGCGGAGGATCTGTCTGACGCGGCGGAGGGCGAGGCACGCAAGGAACGAACGCGTGACCGGCCTGCCCGCCAAAATTGTATGGTGCTGTGTCCCTTAGGTCCCTGGCTGCCGGGCCTGCTCCCTGGCCGTCCCTTGCGACTGTGCCGGCGGCTGTGCCCACATGAAGCCGTCGTGATGTGCCTGTGCCGAGGGAGGCGGCTCCTGCCACCGTGAGGGCGTAAGTGGCATCGTGTAGGCGTAGGATGCCGGCGCCGGCACCTGTATGTATACAGGCACGTGTGATACTGGCGGTGGCATCATATAGTATCCCTGTGAGGCCGGCGGCGCCTGTGGAAATGAGGGCATCGTCGTTTGGTATCCCTGGAAGGCCGGCGGCACTTGTGATAACGGCACCGGCGTTGCTGCTGCCTGTGACTTGATGAAGTCGTTGATCTGCTGGCCAAGATCATCAACCCGGCTGCTCACGGAAGCAAGTGTATTCGACCTTTTGGTCGCGATCAGACTTGCAAATAGATAAATCAAATCAAATCCGGGGTCCAATTTGATTTGATTTGGATAGCAAAATCATGGATCTGATTTGATTTGATTTGATTTGAATCGATTTGGATCTCATTTGGATATCTGGATAGCCCCACTTTTTTCCCACGACAAAATACATTGAGCCGCTCCTATAAGGTCCGCTTTGATAAGGTCCGCTTTGAGGCGGCCTCTCTGAGCTGCGGCCATCTGTCCGGCAAGGCTAAATATTCTCTCCGGCTCTGAAGACATCGCCGGAATGGAAAGAGGTCGATTGCCATTCGCGACAGGCGTGGATATTGGCGTCTGCGGAGAAGCCAGTACTGGATGGGATTGTCCACAAGACAATCGCCCGGATCGGTACTGCCCACCCATTCTGCGTACTCGTCACGCATGGAGGACGGTGAGGGCGCAGGTTGGGCGCCAAGTTTCCTAATTGAGGTCATGAAGTCATCTAGGTCCGTTGTCTTCCTTGCAGCTGTGGGCTCCTCGGGTATCGTATCTTGCTCGACCGCGAGGGTTCGGTACTCCTCCCATATGCGCCATTGCAGCAGTCAAGTGCAGAGCTGTCCCATTTTGGCCATCGGCTACAAATATCTCCCCCCGTAATATGGCAGACGCACCCAAAGATATATTTCACGATCAAACGTGTCAGGTAAAACACAAAAGAAAGCTTGGTGACACGGCCTGGAAAAGCAACTGCCCGTAATTAGCGACCACTCTAGGCCAGGCAGGGCTGGCTCCCCAAAACTATTGGCCCAGGTCGCCATTGTGGGGCGTATCAAATAATCAGATATCCAAATAAATTTGGGTGTTGCGATTTGATTTGATTTGATTCAGCGCAGGGGCAATTTGATTTGATTTGATTTGGATAAATTTGATTTGATTTGATTTGATTTGATTATGATTTATCTATTTGCAAGTCTGGTCGCGATAGTGCCCGCGCCCTTTCTCTTCCTCTTTTGCGTCCCTATTGGCTGTGATCCGAGCTGTGCTGTAGCCTTGTGCTCCTCTTGCTCCCAGTTACTAAGGATCCTGCCCGTAGATGCCTCTAACGGAGGGAGCTCCTCGGGTCTGTTGTTTGCGCGCCGGCGCGGCGGGACAACGTTAGGATCGGGCTCGTGGTCTGCTTCGATGTACTGCCGTTGTTCAGGCTGCCAGCAAATTAGTATGAGCGCTATAGCTAGAGTGTGACACTTACTGTCATGCCGTGAATTAGCCAGTGGCTATCAATAAGATGTAAAGGGATCGCAGCGGCCTCGTCAGCCAGTATTAGATCACGGATTGTATGCCGGCAGGGCAGCCCCCATTGGTCTGTGAAGGCGCCTGTGCAAACCGATGGCCTCTGGCCGCTATTATCAGCCAGTTCGTCTCGTGCCAACTTGACTTGCTTGAGGATCTGATTCATCGGCTTCCAGCCTATTTTACGGTGCAACGACCTCATCATCGTATGCTTCCCCCATTCGACCTTCGCCCTTGTAAACTCGGTCTGAATCGACTCGCGATGGTTGGTCTGCCGTTCCGTAACTAGCTCTTTGATGTGCTCTTGCAGCTGATAGAGGTCGATAAAGCGGTTGCGTAACTGTGACTTTAACTCGTGATGAGTGCTCTCTACACGAGAAGTCACTGTAATGTCGTAGTTTCGGTGCCGTTGAATAGCGTATCGGCAAAACTGGGCACGCCACGGGTAGTAGGTCGTACGGAAGTAGTTGACGAGGGCTATAGCTGTTAATAATAATAGGGTAAATCAGTGCGAGGGTAATAGGGTCTGGGCTACCGTGCTGGTCAGAAAACTCTGTACAGAGAAGATCCCACTGCTCGTTACACTCCTCGGGCGTGCGTGCCCTCATGACTGATACCCAGGCATCACGAATACCATCAGCCGTGTGCTTGAAGGACCGTTGGGGCGGCGGCGGCGCTGCCTCGTTGCCTTCACGATCCGGGTCTTCTTCCCTGACGAACTGGTCTGCTAGCTGAGAGGCGTGTTGTATCTGTGCCTCGGCGGCACGGTCGATCGGTCGTTCTGGTCGGTCTGCATCGTGACTTGTGGCAAGGGCAGCCTCGGCGGCGAGGCGGATGTCTTCGTCATCGCCTCCATCTCCCATAATCTCGGTACCATCGAGGGTGCCTACCCACTTCTTCTTGATGTGGAGGACCACGTTCTTCATGATGTGCCAAGTGCAGAGTTGTTGCTGTGACTGTGGAAAGATAGCGTTGAGGGCGTTCTTAAGAGCCTCGTCGAAGTCAGTAATTATAACGCCTGGATGAGGGATATCAGCTTGCTCAGCAGCGGTATGTAGCTGTGAGAGCATCCAACTAAAGGCACCCTCATCCTCCTTGGCGGCAAGACCAAACGCAACACTATAACTTTGTGAAGTCCCGTAGTGCCAACGACCTGGAGGAGTGGCAGGTTGAAGCGGTTGACCTTGTACGTATTATCCATGATGAGAAGTTCAGGATTACGTTTCCAGTCAGCAATGCAGTCAGCGTATGTCCAGAATATCCTCCAGAGCTTGCCGTCAGGGCCACGGTTAACTGTAAAGTTGGCGACTTCCTCTAGTCTGGGCCTCGTTGAGTACGTCGATAAACGCTTGTGTAGATGTGCTGGCACCGTAACGGAAAAGACGAAGTTGTTGCTGGATGAAGGCTACGTCGGCAAAGTTGATGAGGACCTCAGGATAGTCTCGCTGGATCGTTTTCGCGATACCTTTGAGCGTATTGGCTGGGTTTTTGCTGTGGCCCTCAACAATCTCGTATAGCCTCTCGATACCAAATTTGCGTTGGCTGCGTTGACGGACGATAGAGGAAGCAGCAGGCGCAAAGAGAGGTTCGTGGGAGTGGGAGGCGGCCTTGAGAGTGACTCTGTATGACTGTAGGTCGATAGAAGCGGATAGTACTATAAAAGTCACATCCTGACTTCCTCGTCGAAGTCTTGTACTTGCCCTCGTTTTCTCGCCAAGGTCTGTAACCGCCACTGTATTGGCAGCGGATCGTGCCCTCTTTGCGCTTGGCCTTGCCGGCAGTCTTGCTATTTGCAACTGCCACGTAACCGCGAGCAAGCTCATCATCCTTGAGGGCTTCAAGGGCCTCGGCATAAGTGCAAAAAACCCTATTCTCGATAGGCTCGGGTTCAGGGCTATAGGGCTCGGTCGGCTCGATCGTAGTCATCGTGGTGGCGGCGTTGTGGTTGTGTTGAAAAGAGCGGTAATGTGATGATAGCTTCAAATGCAATTGCAGGTGCTACCCGTGCCACGCCCCACTTTAATTTGGAACTCGCGAGCTACGGGTAGGAAAGGCGTGACGAGGAGAAGAGACACAATGCCGCGGAAGAGCAAGAACAGCACCAAGCGCAACTCGAACCAATTCGAGTTGCTCGATGACGAGGAAGACGGTACGAACGACAATGTGGCCTGTAGCATCGTGGCCAATTCGACAAGCGCGGCCGACGCGACAAGGACCAGCGCCCGCGGTCGCCCTCTGAAACCGACGCTGCAATTCGACCCTGAACCGCGCCCATCACGAAAGAAATCCGCCGTCCCGAAAGCGAAACCGACGAATGCCGACCCCAATGCCAACGAGGATTCATTGGCGCGAATCGAAGCTCTCCTGAAACGCGTCGAGGAGCGGGCCGGAAGGGCGGAGAAACGCGTCGAGTCTCTGGAAGAGTTCATTCGAAACGAGCTCTTCCCACGCGTCGCTAGCCCTCCGGAGTCCGCCACTCCAAGTGCGCCTCATCAGCAACAGCAACAGCACCTGCCACTTTCGCCACCACCCTCTCCGGTCCCAGGGCCACTGCCTGGCATTGGCTTAGACGTGAGTCGGGTCCTAGACAGCGACATAAAGGAAGGCAACGCCGGCACTATTCGTCGGCGCGCGAACGCTGCCCTCGAGAAGTTGGGTGTGACCTGTCTGGGCGTCAATTCTAAGGGAAAAGGGCGTTTTCGGCTTCTCTTTCGAGAGACGGACGTCGATAAAGTACGGCAGAACGACACCTGGATAAAGACACACTTCGACAAGGGAACGCTATATGGGGAACAGTGGTACCCTCTACGGGTTGATAGAGCCCATCGTGGGGTTGCGACGGATGATATCGGATGCGCCGTGTTTGAGCGGATGAACGGGGTGAAAGTGCACAAGATGCGATGGCTCGGGACAGCGTCTGTCGACAAGGAATACCGCTCTCTGGTGGTACACCTGGATAAGAAAGAGGAGGTGGACAGGTTGCTTGCACAACGAACGGTTGAGATGGCGAATGGCGAGTGTGCATACACGCGACCATTTGTTCAGGGACTTCAACCAGCGAGATGCTACCGTTGCCACCTCTACGGACACTTGCATTATCGCTGCAAGGCGCCAGCTCCGATCTGTGGACAGTGCGCCCAACCGGGCCATTCTGCGTCGACTTGCACCTCGGACGTTTTTAAGTGTGCAGCGTGCGGTGGAAAAGGAGCACACAAGGCTACAGATCCTGGGTGCCCGGTATATCGCCGGGAACTCGCCAAGTTACGACCGTCGCCCTACTAACATACATCCTCTGTCTTAACCTTTTCTTTTCAGCACAAACCCTCTACCTATACCTGTGGTTGCCCCACAGCTGGTAGGTTAGCTACACCGGACGGCTAAAGGCAGGTGGACTCTTCGTCAAATGCGGCGGAGGAGAGTGGTCTGTACCTCATCAGACAGGCTCCAGAATTGGAAAGGGACAGGTCAAGTGAGCAAGAGACGGATTGAAGGATGTAAGAGAAATTCAGGGATTAGATCGGGACGAATTCCTTGGGCTCGGAACCGAGTATTGGACAGCTCTAGATTAGGCTTAGCGAGTCTGACGCAGTGCCTCTGACTATCGTCAATGGCGGAATATATTAAAAAAAAAAAAAGGCGTGACGAGGCAGGGGGCTAGGCCGGGCGCGGTAAAGAAAGCGCTCGTTGGGAAGGCGCGCGGCAAATTTTGGTGGCGGGTCCTCTTCCAAATGGGGCTTAAGTCGCCGTGCGTGTTTAAAAAGTCGCCGTGCGTGTTTAAGTACCCGTGCCACGCCCCACTTTATTTGGAATTCGCAAGCTCCCACCTCCTAAAGTTGGTGCTCACCACCAGTATCCCCACACCACCGGAATACCCAGAATTTCGACTCCCCGACTTCAGCATCCCTATATCTTAACCAATTCACGATCTCGTCGATAGCCGAAATGGAAGCACGTGTACAAAACGCTCTTCGATATATTGAAAATTTTCCCGGTGCTAAAGTCGCAACCGTAGCGCGAGAATTCGGTGTAACACGTGATCGATTGCGATACCGTCTTCAAGGCCGACCTCCTAAAACTGGCCAGCGAGCTAGAAATACGAGGCTTTCCGAACCAGAAGAGAAGGCCCTATGTCGCTATATCGATCGTTTGGATAATATAAACCTTGCGGTACGCGTCGAGTTCGTTACTGACGCGGCAAACTGTATCTTGCGCGAGCGGTCTAGCCAGCGCGACGCTCCTACCGTGGGGCCAAACTGGACTTCTCGCTTCTTAAAGCGTCACGGCTACTTCAAAAAGCGCCAAAAAAGGCTTCAAGCAGAGCGCCAAGTCTCCGAGAATCTTACACGAGTTAACCAGTATTTCCAGCATCTTCGGCAGGTTATCCAAGACAATGGTATACCTCCTGAGGATATCTGGAATATGGACGAGACTGGTTTTCGCATCGGGGTTGGAAAAGACCAGCTGATTGTGACAAAACGGAGGAGAGCTCATTATTTTGGCATTCCTGAGAATAGGAATCCGCTACTGCGATCGAAGCTATCTCGGCGAATGGGAGGTTGTTCCGGCTTTTTTGATACTCGCTGGCCAGATGCACATGGCTTCATGGTATCAAATACCTGAGCTAGATCCTGACACAGTTATTCGACCCACGCCTACTGGTTACTCAAACGACGTGATTAGTCTGGAGTGGCTCCAGCATTTTGACAAGCACTCGGAAAAAAGCTCAAGAAGCTCGAAGCGACTTCTAATTCTTGATGGTCATGGCTCTCACCATACCAGGCAGTTCATTGAATACTGCGACAACCACAATATTATTCCCTTCGGCATGCCGCCTAATCTCACGCATGCACTTCAGCCTTTGGACGTTGTCGTTTTCCAGCCCTAAAGCACTATCACGCCAAGGCTTTAGATGTCATGGTTCGAGATGGCCTCGTCAACATAACCAAGCTTGAGTTTCTCTCCTGCATTCAACAAGTACGATTGCATGCTTTCAAGGAGAGTACTATACGCTCCGCATTTCGCAAGACAGGAATCTTCCCATTCAATCCACAAGTAGTACTTCAATGTTTGGAAGCTCGTCAAGCCACGACACCCACACCTCCTCCCAATTCAGGACCACACTCCTCACCTTTCGAGACACCATTGACTCTACGACAAATAAACAAGGTAGCGGACAAATTAGATCTCGTCCTTGAAGACGATAAAGCCTGGATCCCGACTTTTCTCACGATCTCAGTCGATTTATTCGAGGATCGCTATCTCTGGCGACTGAGCTCGTGCAGACTAAAAGGGACTTGGGACGAACCAAAATGGCGGAGCGGATCCAAAAACAACGTAAGGCTATGAAGAATATACAGTTACAATCAGGAGGAGTATTGTCAGTGGCCCAAGGACGGGAAATGGTGCAACAAAGGGAGATGATCAGATTGCTAAAGCAAGGAAGGTAGTAGAAGACGCGGAGAAAAGGCGCATAACGCACGCAAGCGATGGTTTGAGGAAGCAGCAAAAAGGCACGCCAATGGAGGTTCAGGAAGGTTAGAACGAGTGGAAGTACGCGATTCTGAGCGTGGTACGCGGTGGTTGAAGCGATTCTAGGTCGGGGAGTCGAAATTCTGGGTATTCCGGTGGTGTGGGGATACTGGTGGTGAGCACCAACTTTAGGAGGTGGGAGCTTGCGAATTCCAAATAAAGTGGGGCGTGGCACGGGTACTCCTTGTTCTGTGCTGAGCCAGTTAAGAAGCGGCAAATCATGGTACCCCCCTGGCGCACGAACTCCACTGATTGGCGCACTGGCGTTCCCGCTTATTGTCGTAAGGCAGAATTTCGGTAATATAGCATGTTGTTGGAACGCGAGCAGGAAGGGCGGAGTAGGTCACCTGCCAGGTCACGTGGGGCATTCGGCTGAGATGAACCAATCAAGTATGACGAAGAAGCTCTAGGCACCGCCTCGCAGATCATAAAACGAGCGATCACCCCACAACTATTTGTTACACCTTCCTGCGATCTTCCTACACGCTCTTCATGCCTGAGGCCGTCCACCGCGATGGCCGAGCCGGTAGGACTGGCTTCCGGGCTATTGGCCCTGGCTACGTTCGCCTTCCAATCCAGCATTACGCTTTACAGCACTGTCCAGAGTTTTCGAGACCATCCCAAACGTGTGCGCGATCTCATTGAGGAGCTTGAAGCTTTGAGCGGAGTCTTAGGCCCACTTACGGAGACGGTCAGTGCCGTCCATACTGTCGACCTCTCAGCGCTCGATCGACCGTTGCTGCGATGCGGCCATGCCTGTGCAGAGTTCAATCAGGAACTCATGAAATGCGTGTCGCAGTCCGGGGACTCAGACGACCTTTCGGGGGTGGGCTAAACTCAAGTACATGGGTGATGATATCGACGGATTTAGGCGGTTGTTATCCGGCTACAAGTCGACAATCACTATTGCCCTCACTGACGCCAATCTGTACGTTTCACGGTCTGCAAGCCACCACCCTCCATAAAATAAACCATTCAGTAACAACTCTAATGTTTATGCTGTGAATGTAGCCGCGTATGCTCTGCCACCGCCGAGACCATTCGAAGCTACAAAGACCTTGTCGAGACAGCGCACAGTGACCTCCGGGCTCACCTCGAAAGTATCGACGAGAAAATAGGTGTCTTTCTCGCAGACGCCATATCGGAGACCGGCTCAGGCGCGCCAGAATTGCAAACCATGCAGGAAGAGCGATTGAGCACGCAGCGATGCCTTGAAATTTGTGACCAACTGTCGAAGCATATCGATGAATTTCAGCTGGCCACCAAACGCAGTGGAAGCTCGTCCGAAAATGAAGAGACAGCTACGTTCCCCGAAAAGGTCGTCAATGAGGGTCTGAATGGGTGCAGGAAGACCCTTGACAACACAGTCGTGAAACTGGGACAACACGAGAAGGATTTGTTCGATCGCTTGATGGGGAAAAAAATACTGCGCCACGCCTTGCACTTTAGTCTTTAGGGCTGTGGTGCAAGGCGTACAATCAGCCGAAGGCTGCGAGTCTGGCTACCAGTCAAGCAGTCAGTCACTGAACAATCAGTACAGTATCTACAATCATACATTCATCTGTGCCTTGAAAATGTCGATCTTGTCGCCGGTAGCATCAAGTGGAGTTACGTAGACCCGTCGCCTATCTTATACGGATTCTGGGTAAGAACCTGTCGTTTGCGAAGTTGTTGATCCTTCATTTTCATCTTAATTCCTTCCGGCGGCGACGCATAAGTCAGGTGATTGCGGTCAAACGGGGCATCCAGCATCAGACCCTGCAGCGTTTTCACACGCGAGACGGCCACGTAGCTCAAACCGGTCTGAAAGTCACGGCACGACAGATCCGTCACGATCATGTCTTCGGTGATGCTCTGCGACTTGTGAACTGTAATGGCGTAGCACACGATCAGGGGAAACTGCGTACGAGTGCAGAGTGTGGCTCCGACGAGGAAGTCCCTGTCTACTGGCAGAATCGGGACAATCTTCCTGCCATCTGTGGAGGTCAGGAATACCGGCCCCGTGTACCGGTACTTGTCAAACTCCATCATGATCACGCAGGGAGGGTCTCGCATGGGGTCAGCTCCAGGCGCCCACGCGATATCGTATACTGTACCACGTGCACCGTTGCAGAGGCCAACCGGCTGCCAAAGGTTGGACGTCAGCATCAGACGGGCGCCAATGCATACGGGAATCTGCTTCGCAAGGTTGCCTGCCTTGTCGTCAGGAGCAGCAGCAGCACCGGGGCCAACGTTCTTAGCCATGACCTGGATGACAGGCCGGCCTAGGCGGTCGAGGTGGTAGTGGTTATATTCGTTCACCCTGTCTTTCGTGGCGTATACTCGTAGGGAATTGACGAACTTGGCAACCTCCTGATCGTCCAGCTTCGCCTGAACACGGCTGGAGAGGAGCTTCCAGGACTCCATAGAGAGTTGGAGCAGCCGCAATTCCTCAAGAGCTGAGCGAAACGCTGCCTGATCGTCGCCGCGCTGACGCTGGGCAACCTTCAAGAAAACCGTCTTGTCGAAGCGCCGATATGCGTTCCTGCCCTTGATCTCTACCCCCTGCACCTCCTTGTCGTAATAAAGAGGCTTCTGCAGTACAGGGGGAAGCTGAAAGAAGTCGCCAACCAGGAGGATATTAAGACCACCAAAGAACTCCTCATTTCTATTCGGGAACGCCTCACGGAGACGGTCATCAATCCATGACAGCTGTCGCAGACCAGCATGCTCTTCTCATCGACGATCAGGTACTTGACATCCTTTAGCTTCTTCTGGAGCTGAGCTTTGTCGATCGCTGACAGGGGCTTGAAGTCCTTGTTGATGGGGAGGTGCAGCAGGGAGTGCAAGGTAGTGCCCGATATCTGATTTCCCGCAACGCCCGTGGGCGCGGCACGCCAAACAGGCGTCCTCTTCCGCCCGAGGCGGCTTGGAGGTGCGCCGAAAGCAGATTGATGAGGTATGATTTGCCCGTGCCACCGCCGCCGTCCACATGGAGTAACAACTGGGAACAGGCCTGGGTCAGAAAGTGGCCCATCACCGTATCGTACACTAGGCGCTGCTCCGGATTCAGGGAATCGCGAGCCTCCAGCGGCTGATGATCCACATCAAGGTGAAGGGGTTTTCGGCTTTGCGTTGCTTCCAGAAGTCGCCCTGGAGAATGCCGTCATCGGTATACCGTCCAACGTGGGAGTCCAGTCATAATTCACGTCGACATCTCGCCGGCCCAGCACGTCGATATCCTCCTCCTCCAGCGGATGGTCTGGCAGCATACGGGCGAGTTCATGCCAATCTTCCTCCACGACAGGCTCTTCGTGCTCCTCCCGCTGAAACTCATCGTCCTCTGCCTGCAGCTCATTTGCTCCCACCTCGCCGTAATGGTCGTCCTCATGGAAATGGTGTCGCTGCCGGCAGCACTGGTACGCCGCCGCAAAGGACTCAAACGGCTGCCCGTCCACAGCAAGCAGCTCCTCCGGAGAGCGATGCGGATGGGCCATCATCAACTTGACACGGCAGAAGTCATGAAACTGGGGTGATGCCTCCGCTGACCTGTACCGAGGAAGTAGGACAGGACCCTCTTCTTCGCGTTCGCACCGAGTCTCCTCCACGTCTTGAGATTGTAGGACTGCAGGTACTCGAGATAGGTTATACTCTCATGTTGGTCATTTCTCTGCAGATATTTCCGGTAGCTGCCGACAGCCTCACTGACATCCTCGTCGACGCGGAACGACCGCACATGCTGCTCCAACGGACGGCAGTCGACGTACACAACCATCCGAGTGCCTTCCTGCAGAGGATGTTGAGCAGCAAGTGGGAAATTTCCTGCGCTGAATAATCTCTCGGCAATCAACTTATTCATAAGGCGAGAGGAGAAGGACAACAGGGGCTGGTGGTGTGCTGTATGCGGCAAAACCTGATCTGCGAGCTTGCAGTAAGGCTCCGTCTTCTTCTCCGATTTGCTGCAATACTTGGCAGCATACGTAATGACTGCCTGTAAGCTGGTGCAGGGCGATATGTCGATATTGGCCAGCCAGCCCAGAATGATGGCAGGATTGAAGTGGTTCATGAGGCTGTCGTTGCGGGCTGCCTCGAAGATGTAATATGACTTACCTTCTTTCCTGATGACTGCGGCTAGCTCCCGCAAGGCACGGGGGAAGTTGAAACGACACTCCCTCTCCGGATCGGCGACATTGGCCGCCTCGATATCGGCTGCAGCCCCTGCATATCGTTCGCCAGGTCCCCACTTCTCTTTCGGACCCGCAAGCAGTACGCGGTATTGCATCTGTGGCGCTGGCAGCGGTTGACGATTTGCGAGAGCCGCAGGAATGTCATCTCTACGCCCAGCGGATCCACACTCAGGGGATTCCCTTCACCCTGGGGCATTGTCCTGTTCGGCTCCGGGTTAATGGCAGTGATGTGGAATCCCCACGTGCGTGCAAAATGGTCGCGAGCGGTTTCATCCCTCATGTCGGCTACCGGGCCATTCTCCATCCAGTACAGACCGTGGTTGTGTGGACTCCCACGCCCTTGCCATTCATACCGGCCCCAGTAATCCGTCACGTTAAACTTCGTTCTCAACACGATATCCCGAAAGAGACAGTATCGGCGGTGAAAGTGGAAAGCAGCAATGTGAGGTTCTGCCGCAACAAGTACCGCGACAATGCCATCCTTTCCGGCTCGGACGCGCCCAGCCATTCTTCATATCGGGGCATGTGTTGGTAGAGGCTCCGCCAGTGTAAATCAGCCGGGCTAAATGTGATGAATGCGCCAGGACAACCCAAGCTGTAGGCATACGCCTCGAGGTCCTGCCTCTTTCTATTCCAAAGGGTCGCGTACCGCGAATCGACACCGCATGCCTTGTGATCGAGTTGATCAGCGCCTGCGCCCGTGGATCCTCAGCGTGTTCGAGCGCCTGAATAAGCTGCTCTCGCGTGAGCGGCTCACGGGTGCCATCGTGTTGCTTCACGAAGAATTTGGACCTCGCACGTGCTTGGGACCGCATCAGGGTGTTGAATGCGACAAAGCGGAAGGTTGGATGGCGCGCAAAACGGCCGTCGTGCCACCGCATCGCGTGCTCGATGTAATCCTTGTACTCAATGGACCGCAAGCGAGGCTCCACAAAGTCGGCTCTGCCGTCTGGAAACAGGCAGGGGAATGCCAAGGAGAGCAGGGCATGAGAGTGATTGAACTCATTGATCGGCGTGTGCCGTATGTTGGGAAGCTGGAGCTCGTGCCTCGCCTGCCCTGGAGAGCCTGTGGCAAGGGGTTGCCCCGCATCCGCTTCGGATTCACCCGCGAGAATAGACCGCAGAGCATCCAGCTCCGTGTCCTTGGCCAACAGGTCAGGCACCGCAGCCGCATCCTCTAGGTCAGGCTCTGCCTCCTGATCTTCCTCCGGTCCCACATCGGCAGCCTCCACCTGACTTTGGGGGATGGCGTCCACCACATTGCCGTCCTCGGGCAGTTGGCTCAGTCGCTCGTCGTCGATCGCGATGGATCGATAGCCAGGATGATGATGGCGCAGGTAGTCTAGCCATATCATAACCGCCTGGCGACGCACGCGGAACTGGCGGGTGAATTGCCGGCTGAGATTAGCGTGTGACGACGTGTTGGCAGGACGCAGCAACACCGTGTTCAACTCCCGCGGCAGGAGAGGGAGCTGGTTGTACACCAAGCCAACCTCGCGGAGAAAGTGAACGACGTGCCCTCGATACTTGTACTGCTGCCCCCGCACAAGCATAATGTTCACGTGGACATGGACACGAGCAATCAATGCCTCTTCGGTAGGTGTGAGCTCGGGCAATCGGGTCGGTACGGGGCCAAAGTCGAGCTGGTTTTCCGCAGAGAAGAAGTAAGGCTCGTCGGGGCCACGTTTCTCATCCTTTCGATAGCAACGCGAACAAATGCCGTCATAATCTATTTCCATCTGAAACCAACACTCGCGGCATCGGCTGCAGTATTCCATCTGGTCATTGTTGAGCTTGGTCCAGAACTCACGGAGGGTGGCCCTATCGCAGTCCGTCAAGGCCCAAGCATCCAGGTCGCCAGTCCACGCCGGATCTTGTGCACGGAAGACCGCCATTTCTTCCGGTGGAATTATCACTGGACTTCGAATACGCCGTGGCGGCCGCGACAGTCGATATTGCCGTCGAGGTTGTCTCTGGATTCGCCTTCCCGGTTGTCTCGGCCGCCCTCCTGTGCCAGGGCAGGACCACGGCGGCCGCGTCTTGGCCGCGCAGACGGCTGCTGCAAGCGACTACGAACAGGGCTTTCATACACTGAATCGTTATCGCTGTTCTCGTCTTCGTTCTCGGCATCGGGTTACAATCAGCCCCTAATTGTTCACGGTAGCGACGCGGTCGAGCGGGGAAAGCAGCAGGTTGAAATAGTCCTCGGCGTCCATATCGGGTTCGGAAAACTGGTCTCTATTTCCTTCCTTGGCTACCTGATCCCCATTCGGCTGCGGCCGATCTCGACTCGCATCTACTTTCCCTGTTAGCCCGAACACACTGCTGCAACGAAAACACAAGGGACATCTTATCCAGGACACCCGAACCTTCCGAGACGCCGAGTTGAGATATGGAAGGAGTCAGGGACACAGTCTCCCCTGCACGACGTCGTGATCGATGGTCGCGCTGGATAGCGGCCAGCTTAACCCTAGCCCCTGCGGTAGAGATCATCTTGCGATACCTTCCGCCTTTGTGAAATCTAGCAGCCAGGTAAGAATAATTCATTCTGGTTGCGTTGCCTCGGGCAGTCGATGGATCAAAATGGGAGGCGACTGGATCGGTCGCTGGCTGCTCAGCAGGTGACGGGGCCAGCGCCCGGAAGAACCGCGAGCTTTGTTGGGTTGGTGGAATTGGCGTTCCCAGCTCTATGTGCGGCTGGCTAATTGACTTTTTGAATAACGTCATAGCTGCATGAAGTCGTCGTAGCTTCTCCGGCGAACTAGGCTGGGTTCCCGATCTCTCGCTGGGAGGCGACAGGTCAGCATCTGCCTCGACTCTTTTCACGCTAGCTCTCCCAGGCGAGGAAGGACGGGCGGCGAGGTCCCTCAACGTCAGAATCGCCCCTCGGGATCTTGAACACTTCACTTCGTTAGTATTGAATGTCATACGGAGCGGGAAGACAGAGCTGACATGAGAACTGCACCGACTCCGACAGTCCAGGCAGTTCTTGGTGTTCCCGCCAGTTTTCCGTTTGCTCACGAGTCACCTGCCGGTTTCTTCTCGCCACAGCGGGCACAGACGATCGAAGCCAAGTCAACTTGGAGCCCTTGAGTAGACCTAGAACTCATTATTCAGCCGAAGGCTTGAAGCAAGATATCAAGACGAGTTGGGTCAGTGAAGTTTCCATGTCACGCGACATTCCAAGTCACGCGACATTCCAAGTAAACAAACCGGGACCCACTTTAGGAGCCGTCATCCAGTTGCTGATCGTTTTGCGACCGTACATACAAATTTGGGACCAATCAGAGCCCAAGAAACTTATGACCCCTGTCTGCACCAAATCCTCATATATTGGGAAACTTATTCTGATTAATGTATAGTCAGCCTTCGGCTGAATAAAGAAAGTGCCTGCTTCTGAGGGGGATACTTCCGAGATTGCGAGGCTGCGTGAAGAATGGGAAAACGCGCGCCAAAGCTTGAGCATTTGTTCTGAAGCAAACAAGCGCTTAAAGGAAAACATTAGCGTTATTGACAACTACGCTACAGGCGACGCCATGCAGTTCATGGTTTCGACTGACGGAAAGACGATTCACGGACAAAACAAGGGACTTGGATGGAGGAGCAGGCAAGTAGGGGGTCACCTTAGTGATGAAACGGTCCGGCAGATATCACGGGACATGATCACACTTAATATCCAAAGGCCCAAGGAGGAGGAATCTCAATCGCAAGACAATGCGTATCCTGGACCTGATGTCGGTGCCAAAACAGAGGCCAGGTCCCAATTTGGGGCAAGGTACGGGCGAGGCTTCATGCTATCGCCTGTAAGGGGCTACGCCCCTATGTGTGGATCTGGCATAGCCAGACTAGTCACGTGCGAGCGCCACGGACACGACTCCTAAAGGGAGCGATGTAGACACGTCTCCCTTTTACACTCTTTGTAGCTCAATTTACATTTCGTGACGTTATTTAAATATACGCCGAGCCGATCCATATCAGCTAGGCATAGGAGGAATGGCGTTGGCACGTTGACTATATGAAAATCAACCTCTCCCACTGGTGTGTTCAAGGTGATCACGCCAAGTGGTGTTTCCAATCTTCCTGCACCAAATCTAACTGGTTCGGGCTTGCGATCATCACGGAATTGGACTGGGGGCATCTCTCGTTGGAGAGCACGCAGTTGTTCGATTCCTCCCGTCGATATGCATGCCGCACCTGTGTCCGGCATGATTCCTTGGAACGAGTCTTGAGAGTAACGATCTAGTATGAATTGTGTGGGTTCGTCACTGTTGAATAACTTGATGCCTACTGAGAGATCCGATGATGGAAAGCTTCGTTGGACAGAAAGGTCGCAGCAGCGTAGAACGATTCATAAGGGTCAGAGGAGTCAGAATCATCGGATTCCTCGGTGCTCGAGTCATCCTGATCCTGTGATTCCCCTTCATAGTCAGCCAAGAACATAGCATACGAACGAGATTGACCGTGGAAGCCTCTCTCTCGTAGATACTTCTCTTTGGCTGCTTTTCTCTCGTTTTCAGGATGTCTCGTTGAGAAACAACCTTCCTTGCCGCAAACGTAGCATTTCTTCTTCCAATTTGGCTGACGCCTTTGTGATTGACCTCTTGTTCCGCCGGAATTTCGCTGAAATTTGCGATCCACGAAGTGCTGATCATGTCCTCTATCCAGGTCTTGGGGATATTGGCCACTGGGTTGTTCAGATCGTTCATCTTGCATGGCAGATAGCGATGATCGAAGCTGTGATGCCAATCCCTCAAATGTAGGTGCGGGAGAGTATATCGCGAGTCGGAATTCAGGCACACCACGGCACGCCCTGAGCGTTGCATCGATCAGGCCACCTTCGCCGCCAGACTTATCCCCGAGTGCTCTCCTACAGAGCCGCAATTTCGTAAGAAGGGCCTGGAGGACCTCGTCAGATGACTTACCGGGCATCTCAGCCCGAAGTCGGCTGAAGGTGAGGGTGCTCCAGTGGGTATGATACATCTTCTGGTTGATTTCGGTGTCAAAGTGCTCTTTCATCTTCTGATACATCTCAGCGAAGGTTAAATCAGTGCTGATTTCGTGTAGAAAGAAGGACTGAGCTTCCTTGGCCAGAATCGAAGGGAAAACACCATGGAATTTAGACGGAGGAATGTTTGCTTGACGGCACACGCTCATGAATTTCCGGATCTTGTCATCGAAGATATCGTATGGTTCGCCGGTATAGGCTAGTTTCTTGTCCCATATCTTAATGAATCTAATCGTGAGATCGGCCTCAACTTCCTCGTTCTCGAATCGAACAGGTGGAATGCTCGTGTATGCATCTCGGAAGTTGGTAGTCCGTACGGGGAGCGTCTGCTGATACCGAGGATTCGCGCCATTGATGCTGAGGCTCTTGCTGAGCGGGTTGATGGGTCTCAATGATCTGAGGGGATTCCGGTTCCGCCGGTCGGGTAATAGTTGGCTGCTGGATTACTACCGGTGCCGGTGACGATATAGCCGCTTTAACAGTTCCTTGGAGCAGCTTCTGTTTCACCTTATATGCCACGGTGTTTTCAGCAACCTCTTGACCAAGCAACTCGTTCTCATCCCATTCAGGAAGTTCGTTACTTGTTAGAAGGCCACATAAAGCTCGAGAGATGCTAGAGTTGGCCTTGCCCATATAGATCCCCCTAATTCTGAGAAGCGTCCGGAGTCTTGATCTAAGGCGTGGGTTGATTAGTTCGAAGTCATCATAGCTCCATCCCGTGAAGTCGTTATACAGATCCCAAGCAGGGCAATTCCGTGGTTACGTTTATCCACCGTGTATGTTGCCACACAGCCTAAGAAGAAGCTGTTGCGGTGGACAAGGGAGGAGCTCTGGGTGATAGGTTCGTTGAGGAAATCCGCGTCGAAATGCCTGATCGGGAGTGAAGGGCTCCACGATCGTCAGGTTCCGTTCAACGAGTTGCCTGTCTTCGAGAGACACGTTGGCCGGGGTATCCTGGGCTGTTGCCGGGGCTAGTGCGGCAGATGAATTGTCAGACATATTGACAGGCTGTGTGCTGAGAAACAGGGCACAGGGTGTCAATGAGGTTATCAATGTGCGATAGGGCACGCCTAAGGGTCGCTGATGACAGCAAAGCTTAGGCACGGTTGGATAACTAGAGTGGGCTCTGATGCAGAGTCTTCGTAGCAATCCGCGCGTTGTAGCAACTATCCTACCGTCAGGAGCTCGCTTTGCAGAGCGTGACGATAGGTTAGCTCTCTTCCGTCTTGCTGTTCTGTGTCACCTTTGCCGGGCGACACTGATCAGTGTGGACAGGCTCTTCACTGCAGTGAGGTTATTCGAACTGGTTCAATTGGTTATATCTTGTGTAACTAGGGAAACGTGTCCCATACAAACTGTGTGCAAAGACCTTCCTCCCTGTGTCTCACCTCTTACTCGCACGTGACTAGCGCGGTCGATTAGTTATACGTGCGCGATCGGTGCCTAGTGCACAGGTGGATCCAACAGAAACCTCTTCGTTTGACCCGTGCCTTCTGATCACGGCAAACAACATCGCCGACAAGGACCTGTTTGGCATCGCGGCCTTGCAAACGGATGACACATTCATTGTTGGCACAGATGCATTTCTCAAGATCGAGGAGAAAGAACTCTGCTTTAAGGCCAAGCCAAAGAGATTCTCCAAGAAGGTTCCATCTGCGACTTTAACGGCAGCCGCCTGACCATACAAAATGGCTGTGTCATCGTCAGGCAGAAGGGCCAAGCCAAAACCTCGAGGAGATCAATCTTCAGGCATCAAGTAGGCATCAGGATTATGCTGCTCAACGCGCCCGGGGGGCATATATCGCTTCGATTTGCCAACCCGAAGCAACATACGATTGTTCCGTTGCGGCACAAGCCCAAGAGCCCGTTAATACCGACTTCAAGGCTTTGAACAAGCGGATTGAATGGCAGATCAACAATCCCGACCGTGGCCTATGTTACATACCCATCGATCTCGAGAGCGCGAAGATCTTTGTGTTCACCGATGGATCATTCGCCAACAATAAGGATTTAAGCTCTCAAATCGGCTTTGTGATTATCATCGCCAATGAGACCGCGCAATCAACCGATTCATTTTCCATCCGCGGAAACATTCTTCATTGGAGCTCAACTAAATGCAAGCGCGTTACTCGAAGCGTTCTTGCATCAGAGATCTATGGATTGACATCGGGCTTCGATCTCGCATTTGTGATCAAGCAAACGGTCAATACGATCGCACAACGCCTTGATCTGAAGCAAATCCGCTCGTCATTTGCACAGATTCATATAGCCTCTATGAGTGCCTCGTCAAACTTGGCACCACAACAGAGAAGCGACTCATGATAGATATCATGGCGCTGAGGCAGGCATATGAATCAAGGGATATTGCGGAAATCCGTTGGGTCAACGGCGCAGATAACCCTGCCGATGCTATGACGAAGGCATCACAAACAGCGCCCTCACGCAGTTTATTAGCGACAATCAGCTAAACGTGAGGTGGAAGGATTCGTTCATCGCAATAACACAACAATTCTCGACGAGATTTAATCGGTTTTTCGTTCCTTCTTCTGCTTTACCGTCGTTCTTTTATTCCATTCACATTAACGAGGAGATCCTCGTGTCCATATTCCAACGTGGGACCGATGGAATCAGCTAGCGCATCCGGCGCTCGAAATGCGACCCATGATGGCGTGTGGCAGAACACACCCAGTGTGGGGAGGGAGAGCTACAGTCAGAGCACACTATCCAACATAGTGATGCATCGTGGTAGGAGTTTGTTGGTGTTCTTGTTCGTGTTTTCCTATCTCATCTTAATTCGCTGTGTTTGGTGTGTTTTGGTGGATTGATTAGTGCGCGATCATCGATTTAGAAAGAGGTTCCAGTGTTGGATCCACCTGTGCACTAGGCACCGATCGCGCACGTATAACTAATCGACCGCGCTAGTCACGTGCGAGTAAGAGGTGAGACACAGGGAGGAAGGTCTTTGCACACAGTTTGTATGGGACACGTTTCCCTAGTTACACAAGATATAACCAATTGAACCAGTTCGAATAACCTCACTGCAGTGAAGAGCCTGTCCACATAACAACGTCGTGTGGTACGAGATCCTGCAGACCTTGCCGGATCAGATGATGAGGAGAGTCGAGGGTTTTTGGAGGCAAGAGAGCGCGAAGGGCAACCCAGACCCCCGGAAATTCTTCTCGCACCTAGCCCAGACGTTCGGCAGCGTGCAGCAGACAGAGAGGGCACAGGACAGGCTGCGCACCTCATTCAACGAGACAGCCAAGAGTTTGGGAAGTTCCTCCTGAATTCGAGGAAACATTGACCAAAGCGGGCGGCGCGAGCTGGGATAATGCTTCCAAGCTCGCATGGCTACGGAACTCGATCTCTCCTGCTCTCCGTGAGCAACTGGTCCCGGTTATCATGCCGAAGGACTACAACGAGTATATCCAACGTCTACACCCGATTGCTTGGGCGTTCGAGCACACCGCGAGGTTTAAGGCATTGCAGAGGAAGAAAGGCTCCCGCGGGCAACATGACCAAGGGCAGGCATCAGGCATCGGCAACATCCAGGTCGCCGATAACGACAACACCCTGGCACCGCCAGCAACGTTACCCGCCGAGCAGAATGCACGTGACGCACGCGACCACGACGGCGACGTAATAATGACGGTTACACGCACTCAGGGGCAGGGTCAGAGGACGGGCGAACGGCCAGGGGTCAAGTGGAACGAGCAAGACGGTTCGCTTCCAGCCTAGGTCAGGACGGAAGCAACGGGCGAGGTGGGCATCCGAGGACGAACGGAATAAACGTCGTGACGAGGGTCGATGTCTCCGCTGCGGCGACAACACCCATTTCATTGCCGCTTGCCCTACTCGCCAGGACAGGACCCTAGCCGGTCGAGGGATGTAAAGTCCGCACCGCTAGGATCATGCCCTTGCTGGAAGACGATGGTAACGACTCTAGTGAGGAAGAGTCAGGACTTAGCGAGACCCCATCCCTCTCGGGAATGCGTAGCCTCGAAACAAAGACGGGTCTCGAGGCCAAAGAACGGAGCGGTGGCAAAAGAAGAGAAGTTCTCAGGAAAAATGGAAGTTGGTCCTACAATAATTCGAAGCATTATCAATAGAACCAATCTCTTCTCCTCCCTCGTAGACGAGGGATGCCAGTGCTACGCCGCGGTTGACGAAGAAGTCGTCGAGAAGTTGGAAGTTCCTATAGTGGAAATAGCACCGCGAGCTATTACAGGAGCATCAGGGGCGATGGAAGGAGCAACGATTAGGGGCCTCGTATGGCTATCAATGGAGGTCAACGGCCACATACAGACGATCTGTGCCTACGTGGTGCCCCGATTGGAATTCCCCCTAATCCTAGGAAAGCCCTGGTTATGCCACACAAAGTCGTACTCAGTGCCCCACGAGAAACGACTATGGCATGAACCTACACAAGACTGGGTGGATCACCTCGGGGAAGGAGAATATTCTGCGAAAGCCAAGGAGTTCGAAGAAGCAAAGCACGTACTAGCCAGTACCTTTGTGGGTTATTTTGAAAGGATCCGCAAGCAGGAAGGGAGAGAGGCAGCTGCCACGGCGATTTTCGCTATCAGCATGAAGGATATCGAAAGGGCGTTATCACCAAAGAAACCCATGTCAGAAGCAGAGCTACGCCGAACGATACCCCAGCGGTTCCACGATTTACTGCCTCTATTTATGAAGAAGGAAGCTGATAAGCTGAATCCTCATAAGCCAGGCATAGACCACGAAATCAGAATCAAGGAGGGCCGAATGGCCAGCAGTTACCACTGCCGTATGGAGCACTATACGGTATGTCACGAGAGGAACTCCTGGTTCTTAAGAAGACCCTACGGGACCTAGTGGATAAAGGATTTATCCGTGCAAGCAGTTCAGAAGCAGCAGCTCCAGTCCTGTTTGTGAGGAAACCAGGCGGTGGGCTGCGATTCTGTTGTGACTACAGAGCGTTGAACGCAATCACAAAGTCGGACCGTTACCCCCTTCCTCTAATAGGGGATACACTTCGCAACTTGAAAGATGCGAAGTGGTTCACTAAGGTCGACGTGGTACAAGCGTTCCATAAAGTACGGGTTGCGGAAGGAGACGAGTGGAAGACAGCGTTCCGCACCCGGTACGGTCTCTTCGAATGGATGGTTACCCCGTTCGGGCTAAGTGGCGCGCCAGCAACCTTCCAGCGGTATATTAACGGTATCCTACGAGACTACCTCGATGAGTTCGCCTCTGCGTATATGGACGATATACTTATCTATTCAAGCGGGAGCAGAGAAGACCATTTCCGGAAGGTACGGTTAGTCTTAGAACGCCTCGCCGAGCACGGACTACACCTAGACCCGGAGAAATGCGAATTTGGAGTCAAGCGGATTAAGTACCTAGGATTCATTATTCACGCAGGCATTGGCATTCAGGCAGATCCCGATAAGATACGAGCAATAGTCGAGTGGGCGGTCCCCGTTACCCAGAAGGGAGTGCGCAGTTTTCTAGGATTCGTTAACTACTACCGGATATTTATACCGCAAGCCTCGGAAATAACTGCACTAACAGCACTAACAGGAAGGGGACTAAGTTCAAGTGGACGGACGAGCACGATATGGCGTTTCAGACACTAAAGACGCTATTTACGAACGCCCTATTCTTACTCAATGGGATTTCGAGAGGCCAACCTTCGTAGAAGCAGACTGTAGCGGCTGGGCGCTTGGGGGCACACTTACGCAGGAAGTCGACGGACAACGCAAGCCAGTAGCGTTCCACTCGCAGAAGCTGTCACCGGCTGAGCGCAACTACCCAATCCATGATAAGGAAATGCTCGCTATTATTCGTTGTCTCGAACAATGGTCAGCCGAGCTACGAAGCTGTGACAACTTCGTTATCCTTACCGACCATAAGAACCTCGAGTATTTCATGACGCGCCAACAGCTCTCGGAACGGCAAGCACGTTGGGCTGAATATCTCTCGCGTTTTAACTTCCAGCTCCAGTACCGTCCGGGACGGGAAGCAGTAGTGCCAGACGCGCTCTCTCGCCGCGAACAGGACCGACCAAACGAAGCGGATCACGAAGCACGAGATATGCAGCTTATTCCAGAGGCAGCCCTACGTACTTACGTCGGAGTAACGTCGACTCAAGCGGGAGAAGGCGACGAAGAACACACGGTTTCCACGACCCAGAGCTACAACAGCTGTGGCAGCAAACGGCAAACCAGGATCCAGTCTTTACAAGCGTTTATAACGCGGTTCGAAACGGATCTCGGTCCCTGGACCCCAAGCTTAAGTTGAAGGTACAAGTCGCCGAGTGCTTTATTGATCCTCGGGGGCACCTACGACTACGTGGCCGCTTATGGGTGCCAGGCGCACCGATCACGACAGAAGCAGCAGCCAAGGCAGCACCGCTGGAGCAGGAGTCGCTAAACGAATTACGGGCTCCTTAATCCAGAAGGTTCATGACTCCCATGTAGTAGGCCACCCGGGACGGAAGGGACGATAGAAGCCGTATCCAGAGACTTCTACTGGCCGCTAATGCAACAGCATATCCGACGTTTCTTGCGTAACTGCGATGTCTGCGGCCGTACGAAGATATGGCGCGAGCATAAAGGGTCTACTTAGACCGCTACCCGTCCCGGACCGCTTCTTCCGCCAGATACAGATGGACTTTATTACGGACCTACCCCTAGCGAACGGTAACCGCTGCCTCTGGGTTATCAAGGACCGGCTAAGTAAGGAAGTTATACTCGAACCGATGCCAACGATGGAAGCGGAAGCATGTGCAGAGCGTTTTCTATGGTGCTTCGCCCGCTACCACTGGTGGCCCGACGCTATAACGAGCGATAGGGGCTCGAATTGGGTAGGCCGCTTTTGGAGGCACCTGTGCAAGTTACTTGGGATCGATCAGCAGCTAAGCACGGCGTACCACCCCCAAACTGACGGAGGCCCTGAGAGGATGAACCAAGAAGTACAGGCATACCTCCGCGCCGTGATTAACCAGAACCAGAACGACTGGGATAAATGGGTTCCCGCGGCTCAGATGGCGTTAAACGGTCGGGTCAATACCTCTATAGGGATGTCCCCATTCTTCGCTATACACGGCTATGAGCCGAAGTCACCAGTTCCCCTCGTTACGGAAGCATATGCGGAAGAGTATCCTCAGCATTCGCCAGAAAGCAGGGCAAAGAAATTTGTTGCCAAACTACAACAGATTACGGACCTCTGCCAAGCATCAATGGCGACAGCTACGCAGCAACAAGAACGCTTCGCTAACAGAAGACGAAACGCGGCGGAACGCTTCGAAGTAGGCGATAAGGTTTGGCTTGACTTGCGGAACTACGCGTCAGAGCGACCTAAGAAGAAGTTCGACTGGCTGCACGCTAAGTATACGATAAGCAAGGTACTCGACCCGTACACGGTTGAACTAGCAGACCTCCCGAGGGCTGCTATAATAGGTTCCACGTCGACCAACTCCGGAGAGCGGGGACGGACCCAATGCCTGGTCAGCAACGCACAGACGCTCAACCCCATCCATCCAAGTAGACGGGGAGGCCCACCAAGTAGTAGAGGAAATACTATGCGCTAAGTGGAAGAGAATCGGCCGCGGCCGTAGGCGGAAGTCCTTGTACGCTGGCAAGGTTGGCAAGACCCGACCTGGACCTCTTTAGACAATATGCAACAGACAGCGGCCTTGGATAGGTACGAACAGAGATACGGCCCGGCTCTCGAGAACGATGGACCATACCAGTACCGACGAGTGGCAACGGAAGCGCAGCCGGCCCAAATCCAGGGGCAAGTCGAAGGAATACAACCACAGCTGCAGATACAGGGCAAGAGAATACGCGGACCACTACGGGCTAGGACTAATGGCGACGCCCCGTCGATAGTAACGGCACCAGACCGTATAGACGACGGCCCTACGATCGTTGTAGGGGATCAGCAGCAGGAAAAGGGCACCAGCGCCAGAGAGAAGTAGGGGCTAATGTGGGGCTACGCCCTATGTGTGGATCTGGCATAGCCAGACTAGTCACGTGCGAGCGCCACGGACACGACTCCTAAAGGGAGCGATGTAGACACGTCTCCCTTTTACACTCTTTGTAGCTCAATTTACATCAATTACGCCCAGCACCTGTGCCAACAGTGCTGACCCCGTAACATCGCCCAAGTCTTCTGATACACCCAAATCTCCTGGATCTTATTCGGGAAAGTAAACTGACTTTTGCGGACGAGGTTATGGGGGCAGGCCGTGGCCAGCCACATCATTGTCGATTTGGACCACGCAAGGGACTATCTCTTCTTGACAGGCGGTTGTTGGTTAGGCAGCCATGCAGCGTTACTGTTCATGGCGGCGTGCCTGTATACGTGCGTCCAGTTGTTCAATCTGCTGATACGTCTCTGTGCCCAGAGTGTTGCCGCTCGTTTGGGGTTCCTTTGTAGTATTAAGCTACCATCCTAAGCTGGTGTCAGAACAGCGGTTCTGCGGCTCGTCCGAATGAGGAAGGTGGCAACGATAGTGGGCACACAGAAGAGGTCAATTGGAGCTATAGGCACGGCTGTGTGTGTGTAAAGGCGATGTGTGTGATGCCCTTCCGGCTAGGAATGTGCCCCTTTTGGGCCCGCAGAAATCTCAGCTGAATGCCCCACGTGACCTGGCAGGTGACCCATGCCGCCCTTCCTGCTGCGCCGTTCCAACAGCTGGCCATCTGTCACGGGCTGTGACCGGCATGGTCGACTAGGAAGCTTCAAGCCACCAATGAACGGTCGACCCGTCAACAGAGGCTACTGAATACGCACTCTCGTCGACTGTGGATGTGACTGTTACGCCGTGATCACGTGGCATCTTCCCAATGACAGATTCGTGCTCGATATATATTCTTCGTGTACCGTAGGAACTCAACAAATCCGTCAGGTCTTGGCGGCGTGGGACAGGGGGGAGCGCAGGGATTAGCCCCGCAGCCAATTTGTATAGGGTACAGATCCACTCGTTCCAGCCCGAGCCAGCAAAGCTAGAAGGCAGCCCACACACAAACATACTAAATTTGAAGCTCTCGCGATGGCTATTGCCGCATTTATTGACGTTATTTGTAGGCGTTAATGACCGCGCTTATCCACAAGGCTACTAACGAGGTTGTAGATGTTACAGACGACTTTGCAGCCGCTGCCTGCTTTGAGGTCGGACAGGAATACCGACTTCAGTATAAGCAGCCCTCAAGCCTTGGTGTCAAATTGGGCATTTCCTTACTAAAGAGGGCACCCATTACGGCTGGGTCAGGGAACGAAGTCGTCACGATGTTGAGACTGTCCTCCAGCAAGGAGGAAGCCCTTGGTGCCGTGTTGAGTGCCGCGGCAAGCGTTGGAGCAAATTTGATGCCCAGCTTGGTGTATATCGCGAGTGGCAAGAAGGGCAAGCATTCTTCTGGCTAGACTAAGATACTATTTTTACTAGGGATTTTAGTACTAAATTATAGAATCAGCATCGAGAAGTCGGGCAATTAAGACTGCCTTTTTCCCTATTGTTGAGAGCCCTCGAGCCCGTAGCAATGCCTTGAGCTCTAGGCAACGAAGCACAAGCAACCCAGTCTCACGATCTATTCGGTCTTCTGCCTCGTCGCCTTGTTTGACAATTTCCTCCTCGTCAAGCAGGCCCGAGACGCCTTCTTCGTCTTTGACGATGACGTCTCGAGCCTGCTCCCAGTTTGTAAAATCGATCGCGGCGGCAGGGATGTCTTTGACGCGGATTTCTATATCCTGCGTGCCGTCGGGCCTGATGCTGATGCCGCAGTTGAGAAACGCCTTCTGTACGAGCTCGGCCCGGCTCTCGAGGGTGCGGACGGCGCTGGCGACCACGAAGGTTGTCATGATGCGTTTTTCTCGTATAGACCACATCGTGAGACCGCGAGCCTCACGCTCGGAGACGTACTCGTCAGTAGCATCGCGAAGCCAGTCTTTAAGAGGTCTGTTGATAGCTGTATCGAGAGGCTGAAGAAGGCTCGTGCAGCCCGGCGGGATCAACGCGGTCACAACCTTGTGCTGACGTAGCTGATGAAGCACATCATCGGTCTTGTGAAAAGAAGCCACATCCATCACAAGGAGGAAGTCATCATTGCGGCTGACGATAGGGGCAAGTTCGTCACGAATCCAGTCTTTGAATAGCTCCTCGTTGTTATAGGCAGTCTCGTTGAACTCAACAGTAACCTCTGGCGAGTAGAGATGCCCTTCGTCTTGCATGATCCTTCCAAACGGCGGCGGGGCCCCATGGAAGATCACCTTCGGCTTCAACCTCTGGATGCCGTCTGCAAAGATATACAGGATTAATGTAGCCTGCCTCTTATTCCACCCACTACGATCGCTCTTGCCATCGATAGTACGTGCCCCACGCTGCTCATATGTATAGCCGTCGAGGTATTCAAATGGGATAGGCGTTTCATCGAGGTTAAGGATACGGTGCTTCCCAAAGCGGCGTGTAGGCGAGTTGAGAATAGCGTCAAGGGCGACTTGAGGCTTGTGCCGGCGGCTGACGCGTCGTATGTAGCGGAGGAAGCTGTTGACGATCTCGATGTATTCTTCGGGGCGCTTAGTCGCTTGTTTCGTCACTCTTCGACGTACGAGACCGTGCCTTCGTCGAAAGAGTCCCCACCAGCCGTTTGAGAAAGTAAAGATATTGTCTACCGCTGGGTTAAGGCTCTTGAAGATACTTCTAGCTTGTCTTTTGAACCAAGAGACTGTGACGATGGATTTATTAGCCCGGGCAGCGATGAACCGCTTGACAAGCTCCTCCTCGAGCTCTGGCCAGCGAGGGTGATATACCCTCTTTTTGGCCTCCTCAATAAAGCGTGGGTTGGAAGCCCAGCTGGATATTGTAGTCCGTGGGATCTTGAAGTGCCTTGCAACCTCACTAATTGTGGGCTCACGATAGCCTCGTTCGTTGGCGTGTGGCGACGATGGATCGAAGATTCGGTGATGCGTAAGGAACATCCTAACCTCATCTTTCTTGCGGTCTGAATAGCTTCGTTCAACGCGATTGATAGACTGACTGGCTCGAAAGACCCGCTTGCCGGGCTCTTTGGCTTCGGGCCGGGCTTGAGGTTCCTGTCAAGCTCGCCAAGGGGCGGCATCGCGAAAATAGCCTCAAAAAAGACCTCTATGGAGCAGGAAAGTGTGTGTCAAGCTTTGCTGGCTCGGGCTGGAACGAGTGGATCTGTACCCTATACAAATTGGCTGCGGGGCTAATCCCTGCGCTCCCCCCTGTCCCACGCCGCCAAGACCTGACGGATTTGTTGAGTTCCTACGGTAGCCGAAGAGTACTCGGACCCACCCTCGGCGCCTGCTTAGCGAGGGCGACCGGGCCTACCATGCCCCACCCATCGCCTGTTACACCCCCTTCACCGGTACCGCAAAAAGGTGCCTTGACCATACAGGTTAATGATAGAAAGCGCTGTCGGGCCCACCAAATCGGCCGGGACGAGCCGCCGCCTTCGGTGGGCTCAACAGTGAGGGGCAGGCACAGCCCACCAAGTACAGTGTACTTCCCTGGGGCGCACATGCATGCACATTGAGCTGGGACGCAGCTGGCAAGGATTCATCCATAATCAGCCCGTTGCATTGGCCCACCTTTGGACGCTCACCCCGCTTCCCCTTCGCTTTCTTGTAAGCAGAAGACAGCGTTTTCTGAAACCTCCAAAATGGACGTCAACGGAGCCGATGAGCGCAACAGGCTGGCGTTAAAAGCCAGTCGCTCCGCTCGCCCTCTTCCAGCCTCCAACCAGCTTCTTTCCTCACGTTACTCCCACCGTCGGTCACGACCACATTCCACGCTTCGCCAAAGCCTCGTCCGAGCCGACCATGGCCCGTATCGTCAGTGCCAAGCAACGAAATAGTAGGCACACTGCACACTATGCCGACTTTCTGCAAAAATTCGCTCAACGCGAGAAAGAAAAGCGAACGATCACCAAGCCATCTCCTCTCAACGCCAGACAGCGTGCCGCCCTTCGTGAGCAACTCCAGGACATGCGCTTTCTCAAGCCGGATTACGCCGATGGGACCAAGATTAACATTGCACGGATATTGAGGAAGTGGAAAATGTATGGACCCTTCAGCGACGAGAAGAGGGTCCATCTACTGACATGCACTCAGATACTGTAAAGCTACCGAAAGCGGCCCTTGGATGGAGGTGATCAAAAGACTCGATCGACCAATGGCGATGGATTTCCTCGACCATCTTTGTGAAAGATGGAAGATCACATCTGAAGGCACTTCATGGGAGTATTGGCGTCAGTACAAGCAGCTCTACAGCAGCGTGACGGGTCGATATTTCGACAGGAACGACAATAGGGAGGTTCAGAAGGTACGTTTGTTCCCGTGGTCATCGGCGGGGTTCTGACGAAAGCGACGGTCCCACAGTGGCACGATACCGTTCTAGTCTCTAAGTGGAAGCTTCGACCTCCCAACATCGACGGGAAGCCAGTCCTTGGGACCGATGACCTCCTGATACTGCAGACCTTTAATATCGCGTACGACGAAGGCGTCTTCCCTTCGGAGCGACACCGCATCCAACTGTCTGGATGCTACCTGCTCCTAGCGTTTACTGGCGCCCGACCTGCCGAGATCGTTGACAATGAGAAAAGGAGGCCGAAAGATGGTACATATGAGGATCTCTACGGTCCGAGGAGCTTGGGAATAGAGGACTTGGCCTACGATTCGGATCAGCCTGTCGATGACGACTCTCGCTTACTCGAGAACATGTTGTACCAAGAAACCATAGCTCGCGGACGACCAAAAGCTCTATGCTATGAAGACATATGCCTGTCGGTGGTACGCCATCCGCAGTCGGGTATGGACGTTCTAACTATGGCGGTCAAGTTCATTCATCACAAAGGAGTTGATCGTAAGCCTAAGCCGTCTGTTGCTCTCCGTATCTCTTGAGGCCTTGCTCTGTCCGCTAACACTACGCAGGTGTGAAAGGCTGGCCCGGAGTTTATTCAACAAGCAGGTGCCTAGGTGTTGTCTATCTAGAGCTAAGGAGGAAAAGAAGCTGAACTCGAGGCGTAGCCTCGAGTGCGAGCTTATATTGCCCTTCTCGGAATGTTCTCGCAGCTTCTGGGTCCGCGGAGCGGGCCGGTGTTGCCACCGAGCACGACCCACCGGACCCGGTACAACCGGGTCCACCAGCCGGGCACAGCCCGTGACATTACCCCTTGTCCCCTCCGACCAGGTCGGCGTCTGCGGGGTTCTTGCGTTCCTGCCAGCGTCTCGTACCTCTCCCTAGGGCCATCATTGGTCTTGATTGGCCCGTACTTGTCCTCGAATGCCTTCATCGCAATTGTTCCTTGCAACCACTCAACTGGCTCCCAAGTCGGCTCTGCGTAGCCCGTCCATCGCACTAGTGCTTGCCTGAATTCCCTCGTCCGCGCTTCTCCCATCTCGCGCAGAGAATCTCGTCGACATCCCACAGATCCGTGCCGGACTCATCTTGTACCGGTGGTGGCTGTGCGTCATCTACCTTTTGGCCAGGAGCCGGATCTTGATGCGCCCGCCGCAAAGGTCAACATGAAATCGCGGGTAAATTGAGCCACGAACATCGAGCTCAACAACGTGCGAACTAATTACCTTCGTGACTGTGTACTTGTGATGCAGCCAGTCGAGCTTCTTGCACGGTCGTGGCGATCTGTAGTTTGCCATCGAGAGCCACACCTTGTCACCAACTTCAAATCGCTCCGCAGGCTGTCGCTTTGCGTTGGCAGCCTCTTCTTGTTGTTGCTGTGAGGAGGCCATCACTGCTTGCATGTACTCATTGACCTCCTGCAGGCGACTGAGTAGGCTATCAGCTCTGCTTTCCTCTCTATGCCTCGGTGGCTCTTCCGATTCCTCGACGCTGATGGGATCGACGTGGTAACCATGCTCAGCGAAAAAGGGGCTGATCTTGGTCGCTGCGGATTCACGATTGTTGAGTGCCAGCTGCGCGGCAGGGAGCAGTTCTCCCCAGTCGTCCTGCACGTACGACACGTAGGCTCTCAGGTAGGCCTCGATCTCCTGGTTCATTCTCTCCGGCCCTCCGTCCGTCTGAGGATGATAGGCCGTGCTCAATTTCTGCGTGACACCTGCAAGACGGCAGAACCTCTTCCAGAACCTACTTAGCCAGTTGCTCCCGCGGTCGCTGACGATGGACCGTGGCATTCCGTGAAATCGGTAATGACACTGAGAAAACGGTTTGCACACGGCTCAGCTTCCATGTTGTCCATCACCTCGAGGGTCACAGCCTTTGTCAGTCTGTCCACAATCACCCACAGGTACCTTGCCTTGCTCGGTCCAGTAGGCGGCAGATCTGTGATGAAGTCCATGGACAAATGGCTTCGGGGTCGATCTGGAATCGGCAGAGGCTTGAGAAATCCTTTTCGACTGGCGCCAGATGTGTGCTCTGCCGCAGGTGTCGCAATTGGCTACGTACCGGCGAACCAGCTGGGACTGCCCAGGCCAGTAGAATCGCCGAGCCACAATAGCCAGCGTACCTTCCTGCCGGGATGACCGGTCGCAACAGAGTCATGCGACTGCTGCACAATGCGGGTTCTCAACTGGTCTTTCTCAGCTTCCTCCTGGTTACCCTCCTCTCCGGATCCACCCGGCACCCAAATACGGTCTCTGAATGTCAGCCTTTGCCTGCGTCGATCGCACATTCTGAAATCTGGATCTTCAGGCCCAGCGAGGGCGGGAAGGCACGCTCGCGATCGCGGACTGCCTTATAGGCTGCCCGGAATATCGAGTCCTTCGCCACCGTTTCGTCCCAGAGTTGCTGCAGGTCCGCTACCTCGAAGACCTTCATCTTCGGCAGGGTGGATGCCTCTGAACAGTCAGAACTCATCGCGTTGATACATGCTCTTGTCGATGATGGAATGGCACTATCCGGTATCAACTGTATCATTCTTCCTTGTTCCCGCTCGTCGTCAATGCCCTGTGGCTTGTCTTGTTCACGGCGGGACAACGCATCAGGCACGACAGCCTCGCTTCCCGGTCGATACTCGAGCTTGAAGTCGAACTGGGACAATTCGGCTGCCCAACGGCTCTGCCGTTCCGTGAGCTTCTGGCGTGTCATGAAATACTCCAGGTTGCGGTGATCGGTAAGGATTGTAAATGGGCCGCAGCTCCTAAGTTCGGCGTTCCAGTTGTCGAGACATCTCATGATGGCAAGCATCTCCTTGTCGTGAATGGGATAGTTGTACTCCGCTGGCGAAAGTCGCTTCGAGAAGAAGGCGCATGCGTGTCGACGTCCATCTGGGCCTTCCTGCGACAGGACGCCTCCCAATGCGTAGCCTGAGCAATCCGTCTCCAAAAAGGTCGGGAGGCTCGGGTCCCACTGCTTGAGCACCGGTGACTCGCAAAATCGTCGCTTCAGCTCCTGAAACGCCTCGTTCTCCGCTCGTCCCCAATGAAAGGCAGTTCCTTTCTTAAGCAGGGCATCCAGAGACTGCGTGATCTTGGCATAGTCGGGGATGAAGATCCGGTAATAGTTGGCGAAGCCCAGAAAGCTTCTGACACCCTTCACCGTGGTCAGGGCCTCCCATTCGCGGATGGCGCGCTGCTTTTCGGGGTCGCAGGCGATTCCTTTCCTGCGTTGACGATGAACCCAAGGTATTTGACCTCTTGTACCGAAAACTCGCACTTCGCTGGGTCTAGGTGCAGCCCAGCGTCGGCGAGTGCTTGGAGAACTCGTCGCACCTTAGCCTCATGATCCGCCTTCGAACCGCTCGAGTAGATAAGTACATCATCCAGGTACGCTGTGACAAAGTCGTCCAGCCATTCGCGCAATACACTGTTCATGTATCGTTGGAATGATGCCGGGGCGCCGCTCAGGCCGAAAGGGCACACGAGCCACTCGTAGAGCCCAAACCTCGTGCGAAATGCAGTCTTTCCTCATGTCCCGGAGCCATGCGGATCTTATGGAAAGCGGCCACCACGTCCAACTTGGTGAACCACTTAGCCTTGGCCAGATTCTGCAGGGTCTCCGCGATGAGGGGCAGTGGGTATCGGTCGCGCTTGGTGATTGCATTCAGCGCTCGGTAGTCGCAACAAAATCGCAGCCCTCCATTCGGCTTCCGCACGAACAGCACCGGCGCGGCAGCCGCTGAGCTACTCGCTCGGATGAATCCTCTGTCCAGCAGGTCTTTCAGGGTCTTTCGCAAGACCAACAGCTCTTCTCGTGACATGTTGTAGAGTGGGCCCCACGGAAGGGGTGGCTCGTTGCCGTTCTTGTCAGGCTGCAGGTTGACTTCATGATCCACACCCGGTCGATGTGGCGGCAGCTTCATTGCCTCTTCTGGTGAGAATAGGTCGCGGAATTCTTTCAGCACTTCTGCCGGGACCTTCTCGCTCGGATCGACTGGCGGCTTCGGCTGAAGCGCCCTCTCTATATCCGACAAACTGATTGCATGAATCGAGATCGCGTTGCACTTCTTGCGTCTCTTTGCGCGTCGACACTCCGCCGTGAATACGGCTGCCGACACGAGTCTTGCGCTTCGAATCGCGCGTATCTTGGCGGGCTCTTCCTGCCCAATGAGGCGTATCGTCACACCTGCCCTCCCATGGTACATTCGCTGCTTGGCAGCATCGTACACGACGTGATTTCTCTCCATCCAAGGCCGGCCGAGGAACATGTCCTGGCCCAGGCTTGGGATCACGTATGCAAAGACACGTTCGTCAAATCCAGCTGTCTCGACCACAACAGCCACGACCCTGGGGATATGACACTCTTCGCTGACTCTGAGAATCCCCCAATTTCTCGTGGTTTCGAGTCGACGAAGGGTATCCGCAGCTTCCGAACAAGGGCTTCGTCGATCACGGCATAGCAGTCACATCCACAGTCGACAAGGGCGCGTATTCGATAGCCTCGGTTTACCCGCGCGTTGACTAATACAGTCCGACTATTCATTCGTGGCTTGAACGCTTCCCAGTCCCGGATGTCTGCCTTTGCAGGCCCCGGCGCCCGCTTTCGCCCGGGGCTAGTCTTTTCCCGCCGACTCGTCCTCACTGGATGCTGCGGTTGATTCCGAATCATCTGCGGCATCGGGCTTCTTCATGCGCGCAGCTTTAGGTCGCTGTTGCTTCCTTCGCCAGGAAAGACCACCTGGGCTGGGCAGTCCACGATAAGATGATCCGTCCGACCACAGCGATAGCAGCGGCGCTCATCCTTCGGCTTCTTATCGACATGTCGACGACCCTTCGACTCGTGGCCAATACGGTTGATGTCCGTCATCTTAACATCTCCGTCGGGGTCCTCCGGTTCCTCCTTGGGTCGTTGCCTTGGTAGCTGTTGAGGCGTCCGCTCAGTCGACGTCGGCTGCCTACCGGGTTTCAGTCTCTCCAATCTGCCCGCAACTTCCTGAACTCTCGCAAGCCATCCCTGGTAGTCGTCGGGTAGGACGGCTGTGACCAAACTCTCTTGGAGGCGTGCATTTATTGCGTTCTCTAGAAATACGATCTTTGCACTGTCCGGCCAGTCTGCTCCCCCGGCTTCAGCTAATGCTTGTTCGAATCGGGGAAGGAAGGACGCGAGAGGTTGGTCTTCGCGCTGCCGCATAGTTCTCAGCGTGGCAGCAGCGCGGGATTGGATGTTGCTGTCCTGGTAGGTTCGGTCGAGGTATCGCATGAACTCTTGGGGTCGTAGCTACCCCAGGGCCTCCCGCGGCGTAAAGGTAGCGACCACTTGCTGTGGTCGCTCGTCCAAACATGAGTTGATGAGGTACCAAAGTTCGCGATTTCCACTGTAGTAGTGTGCATCAAGGTCCAGCTTGTCTCGCATCTGCCTGGCCCAGGCGGAGTAGCTCTTCCGTGAGCCGTCATACTTGGGTGGGTTGGGCAACGGTTTCCGCATTCCAGTACCGCAGGTTTTGGGAGGGCGTGCCCAAGCCAGGCGTGCTCGCCCAATCCTCGTGCCACTGGCGGCGATTGCAAGTCGGCGCTCTGCGGCTGCGCTCGCCCGAGTTGCTCCATCAGCAAGGAAAGTTGGTCCTGTAGAGGGCTGAGAGTCGCATTGACCGCTTCTTGAATGCGTTGGTCAATCCATTGCTGCTGGAGACTTGGGCTCTCACTCTGCTGGTCCATCCTGACGAGCAGTCTGCAGCTTGCGGTATTTAGAAGGAGCTCTAGATATGTGAAAGGCTGGCCCGGAGTTTATTCAACAAGCAGGTGCCTAGGTGTTGTCTATCTAGAGCTAAGGAGGAAAAGAAGCTGAACTCGAGGCGTAGCCTCGAGTGCGAGCTATATTGCCCTTCTCGGAATGTTCTCGCAGCTTCTGGGTCCGCGGTGTTGCCACCGGAGCACGACCCACCGGACCCGGTACAACCGGGTCCACCAGCCGGGCACAGCCCGTGACAGCAGGACCATCTTCTTCTTCACTGGTACGAGAAGACTTATGTTTTGTATCATCACTGTCGTCGTTAGCCTTGCTATTAGCGATCAAGCCTTTGATGCGCCAAGCCTGACCACTGCAACGAGTGTCTTTCGGCTCCGAAACCGCGGATCAGGCATGTGCACGCCACTGCGTTGGAAACAAGAGTGGCTGAAACGACCCATATTTCGCGGGTTCGATGGCTCAGCTGTTTCGGATGGGAAGCCTCTGCCGTATCACAAGTTGAACGACGATATGGAGCGACAGACTCTTGACGCTGGGTTTGAGAAAGCGCTGGGACCGAAGGCATTCCGCAGAGGAGCCGCTAACGCGGCGGATGGTGCGTATTCTGTTGTTACAATAACCTTGAACAGGCTCTAATGAGGGAACATTCGTTTGCAGGCAACGCATCTGACGCAGTGCGCGACCAGATGATGCGCCACGACCCGAGATGGGCCACTTTCAATGGCGCCTACATCAACGAAAAAGTTGAATTTCACCTCGAGAGAGTCGTCGCCGGCGAGCCGACAGATGACTGTTTGATCGATCTATTCACGCACATGAGCTTGACGCGTGACCCAGAAGCGAGGCAGAACATGGTGCCTGACGAGGTCTGGCAAAGTCTAGAACCCGATCCAGAGATCTCGGAACTGGAGGCTCAGAGGGACAAGTTTAAGAACGGGCGCTACCGAATTCGAGGTACTAAACATGAAGATAAGGTGCGAGAGCTTACGAAGACAATCCGAATGAAGAAGGCGCAGCGTGAAAAGAGTATTCGAGAGTACTATCGGCAATACTACTTCTACCATCGTCCCACATGGGAGATTGAGCGACAGCTTGCCAACGATGACCATCAAGTCGAGGAAGTTTATTCAGCACCAGTGATCGACCTTCACATACCGGAGCGCGCACGGCTGGCAAAACTGCTTTGTCAACAAGCAGATGATCTGGACTTCGATGGCTTCTTGCGGCTGCGCATTGAGGTTGCTGAGCTCATGACTTCTCTTATTGGGAAGCGAGAAACAGTCAAACGAAGGCGCATCGTCAATAAGGTACATAGTAGCGTCGCCTGTTCTTCGCAGGGTGAATCATCGGAGCCCGACCGTTTCCCGCTGCTCATGGGCAAGGCACAGTGTCCCCGTTGCATCGGCGATGAATCAATGACTGTGGAGGAGAGAACATTTTCCTATTGTCGGCCGGCTGTGATGAATGATCATTTTGGCCGCGAACATCTTGTCACAATGGAACAGATGGAACGCGATGGCTTCATAGGCTGTATGCACCCGAAGTGCAGAGAGGCGGACATCAAGCTGCACAGTCTTGATCATTTTCGGAATCACGTCGCCAGGGTGCATGGTGTTGCCCTTCGGCCCACCCGACGGTAGGACCGTACCATTAAATAATTGAGGTGTCTGCACTTTAATGTGCTCAATTGCAATCCACTGTTATAGCATGTGCTATTTAATGTAAGGTCAGTCAAGACTGGGGTGAGCATGCCTGGAGTTGGTGCATACGAAACGGATGGTGATCGAACTACACCTATATCAGTAAAGGAATATATTCGTTCTTTGTTGCTGTTTACTATCGCTATTCCGTACGCATCGCAATATGCTCGAACTCTGCGGGCGCATTGCGTACCTTGAATATCGTAGTACACAATCCAACTAACAAAGACCACTGTCACGGGCTGTGCCCGGCTTGGTGGACCCGGTTGTACCGGGTCCGGTGGATCATGCTCGCGTGGCAGCTCCGGCCCCGCTCCGCGGGCCCGGAGCTGCGAGAACATTCTATAAGAGTCGATATAAGCTCGAATTCGAGGCGAAGCCCCAAGTTCAGCTTCCTTTCCTCCTTAGCTCTAGATAGACAACACCTAGGCACCTGCTTGTTGAATAAACTCCGGGTCAGCCTCTTACAAGCAGGGTGGTTTTCCATATCTAAATATGGAAATACTCTTTCTGTGGGTATCCCTTCATTTGAACACACGCAAGTTGTTGCTGTGCTTCTCACAGCAAAAGAAAAGTTGCCAGTGTGGGAATGGTACTCATCCTTTGTATGCATCCGTCTCTGATCACATGATCGGCACATGAACCTTATGGTCACGTGTACGGCTGAGGACAGCGTGCCCCCTTTTCTCCACGCTGGCCTCGCCTCCCTAGATAGAGAATCAATCCTCATTGCATAACACGACACACCGGTATACCCTGTTTGTTACGTGCACGAGACCTACCAACACTTTCCATGAATGGCATGGAATAGGTATGGATATGGATCCATGTATTTCCATACTATTGGCTGAACCACGCCACTAACAAGGGTTCCTACAGGGGGCTACCTACAGGGGCTGTGGGCCTGGAACCCCCGCTACAAATCCGCACATCCACAAAATCAGCCTCACCACCAACCCACAGCATACCATTATCACCTGGCGACAATGGATTCTGAGCCTGTGTTAGTTATGTTTCTTCGATTCTGAATCCATTGCTTCGGATTCATTCGCGTCTATATCTCCCAAGACAAGAGAAAACCTGCTTTTGGATCATGAAAACATGCTCATCTGGCAGTAATGTACCGGTAGTAAAAGGGTTAGGGGAAGCGGAGTTCAAAGGCAGGAACCGCCTCATATATTATCTTTATTGTCCCCAGAATGATCCCTACAGTACTTCTGTCACCGCCAGCTTTCGAAAACACCCCGAGGGCAAGAAAGTATGACATCAACGTCGCAGAGAATTTATCTCCTCTTCAACCGTCCATCATCGAAGGATTTGATCAACTCTACGGGCAAGCGTGGGATCTGGGCCGTGTCTTCAAAGGCTACCTTGACCAAGAAATTATCAATAAAGAGAATTCGCCCTATTACGCCGCTTCTTTGGTCCTTCATCCAAGCTATCGCACGATGTACATCCACTCAAATTAGAAGAAGTGGCATAAAACTGCTTTCAAACGGGTCAAAGACCTTTGCTACTCTTACCGAAATACAAACGACGGTACAATTTCGTATCATGTACTGGACGAAGAAGAAGACAATGGCCTTGATGCATTTGATCGTATTTCAAGAAATCTGCAGAATTGTGCTCGACCTACAAGTCAAGACGAGTATGAAGATTACATCTCAGGTGATCCATATGAGATTGCGCCAACAACTGCTTTATCATGGTGGCTTCAAGAGCGACATAGGAACCGACGGCCGAAGTTATCACGAATGGCAATAGACATCCTATCAATGCCAGCGATGAGCGACGAGCCGGAACGGGTGTTTTCAGGGCTCGTCGTACGATCTCCTGGGAAAGGGCACAATTGGATGCGGACCAAATTGAAAAGGAGAATTGGTTGAAGCATTGGGTGAAGAACAATGTCTTGAAGAGGGAAGGGGCGGTGGCGTGACCGTGGCGTGAGAATTCGTGCAAATTCCCGTCTGATTTCCCTCCTCGTTTTGGAACAAAACACGTAAGATTTGCCTACCCTCTCTTTTGGACATTATCATTGAGCTCAATCAATTACTTCGTATTTTTAATTCACCATATGGTGTGAATTTGTCCATCTTGTCGAAGGTGTCTTCAGTGACATTTTGTCGTCGTGCACGGACCAAGTATGGAAAGGTGTATTGCAATACTTGCAATAAATGTGGGGCCGATACCGATTATCGATTGCAGGCCTTTCCATGTATGGAAAACCACCCTGGGTATCGTATTGCTGCTGATCTCGAGGGACTTTTCTTGGTCTGCCGCGTCTGCGTGGTCTCTCCGGCTCGGGATATTCGAATGGCTTAGGCACTTCGGTCTCAACGTTGATGCTATCAGCCTGATTGTCAGCAGTCTGATTGTCAGCGTGTGGCTGCTGTAGAACATCGTGACTTCGTTGCTGCTGCGAATCCGGGTGGCGAAAGTAGGGCTGGACAGCCGTGCTGCGAAATTTAGCTGGCCCGTTGTCTAGCTCAACTGTGACCTCTGTGTCTGTCACAGCTAGGACCTTGTATGGGCCTTTCCATCCTCCTTTCTCACGAAATACTCGAACTTCACTACCAAGCGGCAATGATAGTGGCATCTTCTCAATCGTGTTGGGCCCATTACGGGCATTGAGGGCGTCATTGACCTTCCTTTTAGCTACAAGCTTGCGTAGCTCTGCCATAGCTTTCGTCACGGCTTTCGCACGTGTGATCGCGGAAGCAGAAGGCGGCGAATCCATCGTTATCCGAGGGTAGGCACCAAAGACTAAGAGGCTAGTAGTGTGGGCACTAGACCGTCAGGTCCGGCGGTATCATTGACGGATTTGAAGGCCATTTGAAGCAACGACTCAGCTGATGCTGTTTTTAGCTCGGCTTTCAAGATCTCGTATGCCCTTCGAATCGGGGCGTGATATCTCTCCACCTTGCCAATTGACCAGTGGGCTTCGACGGGCACTTGGTGACAGGTTATTCCTAGCAGCTTCGCTTCTGCTTGGAACTCAGAGGAGGCAAAATTCGTACCAGCGTCGTGCGTGATAACATCTGGAGGGCCTAGGTATGTGTCAATCCAACACAATTTGAGTGCTTCCCACGTCTCTTTAGCCGATATATTCTGAAGAAATCGTCCGGCTTGGAAAGAGGTTGCTAGGTCAACGGCATGAAGGACTGGCCGGCTGTCAAGATGCATTACATCGACGATCAATTCGTAGTTGAAATCGCAGTTATCCTTTAACGTGAATTTGAACCTGCGCGGTGCGTCTGCCTTGATCTGGCAAAATGACAGAATTTTCGGATCATCGCGATTGCTTCGAATTCAACATCATGCCCAGCGCTTGTCAGTAGCTTGTAGCTTGTGTACTGACGGGTGGCCAAAGCGAGTGTGTAGGCGCCGAAGCTCGGCTTCGGATAGGAAGGCAATAGCGGCTTCATCCTTCCGTAGGAAGAACCACGGATGACCCCATTTGCGTACGATCGGAATCCTCTTATCGCCGCAGATCAATTCGTTCGTGACGTTGTTGAGATAGGCACCGAGACGGTCCATATCCTTGAGGCATAGCAAGAAGGGCGTTGACATATTGATAACGTGGAAAACGACTTCTCCAATCGGGGTAATGACTGTTGTGATCCCGATCGTGTTCGTCGGCTCGTTTCCACCGAATCTGACCGTTGCGATCGTCGCATTCTTCCGTAGCTGGACCGTCGGCATCTCTCGTTGGAGCGCGCGGAATTGGTCGATCCCAGCTGTAGATATCTTCGCTGCACCCGTGTCAGGCAGGATCCCTGGAAAGAGGTCCGGTTGTAGCGATCGAGCAAGAAATGCTGTGATTCCTCGCATATCGATTCTCCCTCGACGGTGTGAATGCGGTGGCGAAAAGCTCTATTAGATAGGAAGGCAGCTGCAAAGAAGCTATCGCTTTGATCGTCAGAGTCATCGTCAGCAGAATCAGAGGTCTGATCTTCATCTGGGTCCCCTTCGTAATCGGCAAGGAACGTAGTAAATGGACGGGAAGATGACTTCTGGCCGTGAAATCCTCGTTCTCGAAGATATCTTTCCTTGGCCCTCTTTCTCTCGTCATCCGGATGCTTCGTTGAAAAACAGCCTTCTTTGCCGCAGACGTAGCAGCGCTTCGTCCACTTCTTCCTTTTGTCAGCGGGGTGCTGATAGCGGCGGTCAGTAAAGAATTGGTCTTGATCTTGAAGATATTGACTGGGCTGTCCGGGCTGTCTTTGGCTGACGGTTGTGAGTGACGATCTTAGCTGTGAAGATAGTCCCTCGAAGGTCTTAGCCGGCACGAAGAGGGCGAATTCTAATTCAGGCACGCCACGGCATGCTCGAATTGTCGTTGAAATTAGCTGGTCTTCGCCTCCATAGCTATTCCCAAGAGCTCTCTGGCATAGCTGCAATTTGTCAAGAAGAGCCTGGAGGATTTCACAGAGAGGCTTCTCGGGAGATTCCTTCCGAAGCTGTGTGAAATTGATCGAGGTCCAGTCAGTGTGATACTGTTGCTTATTGACTTCCGTATCAAAGTGCTGCTTCATCTTCTGATACATCTCCGCGAACGTTGAATCGCGGCTGGCTTGATGCACGAAGAAGTTCTTTGCTCTCTTCGTGAGGATATTTGAGAACAAAGCGTGGAATTGTGACGGTTTGATGCTAGCTGTGAGGCAGGCATCGAGAAAGTAACGGATCTTATCATCTAGGATATCGTAGGCGTCACCTGAATAATTACGAGACCCTTGTCAATGACTACCTGGCACCTCGAGATTGGCAAACCCTCCGAGATATAAGAAACTTCTTGCAGCCATTCTGGAGAATAACACTCCTTACCGAAGCTTATCGTTCAACGCTGGATCGCACACTGTTCACGATGGATGTCCTCCATAAGCACTACCAGCAAGCTTTCGAGAAATACAAGCTGAATCAACAACTTCTCGGCCCAGTGCTGACCAGCTGGCACGTTTTCGACAAATATTATCGGCTTTCCGACGAGACCCCGGCATACGATGCAGCCCTGGTTCTCCACCCGTCTATATAGAGAAAAACTGGCCCAAGTCATGGCACAAAAATACTTTTGACGCAGTAAGGCAGCTCTGGGAAGAAGAGTACATGAACCTCCCGACAATTTCTGTTACGCCTTCCAAAGTATCAGTACTGCAGCAGGACGAGTATGACTTACTCGCACAGGAGCTCGACGTCATAGGCAAGGAACCAGATACAGACGAGTACGAAGCCTTCACATCGCAGTCGCCTATCCAGATCGACGGTTCACCACTTGCCTGGTGGCATCGCGATGAGCAACGTGAGCGTTTCCCTCGCTTGTCTAAGATGGCGATAGACATACTCTCAATACCTGCCATGTCTGCGGATCCGGAACGCACATTCTCGGGCGCAAGGCGTACTATCTCTTGGGATCGAATGCTCCTCGGAGCATCGACAGTCGAGAGAGGAGAGTGCTTGAAAAGTTGGATTTGCAACGGCATTACGGCAGGGCTACGAATAGAGGAGGTCGAACAATACGAGTCCGCGTCAGCAGAAGAATGTATTAATAGCACCTCCTTGGACGCGGAAGATATGGACCAATGACGTCATTTCTTGTATGGGCAATATATGGTTTAGTTCACCATATGAGAATAAACCATACGAGGTAAGGCAACCCCCTGGGTTGCGCACAAAAGCCTTGAGGAACGAAGACACGGTCGACTACCCGGCCGGCAGCGGAGACGGACGGCGTCGAGACCGGGCTGGAGGTCCCGTCGCAAGAGGGAGAGGCCGGCGCCGGCGACGACGCCGTGGAAGGAGACGACGGGAGGGGCCGAGGGGAAGTGGCCGTCGGGAGGCCAAGGAGCGCGGGAGGACGCCAGAAGGAGAAGTCAGCGACGCGGCAGGGGAGGAGACGCATACAGGGCGGGGGGCATGGATGGTAGCCATGGTCGCGGACGACGAGCGTGGGAATTGTAGACGACGGTATCGCCCGGGCCGGCGTGGAGACCGTCGCGGCACTCGAACCCCCCAGGGGAGGGCATGGGAGTGGACGTGGCTGTTAACGAAGAACCGATGCTCGGACCGGTCGGGGTCGACGACCGGCTGGCCGTAAATCGAGAGGTTTACCTAGGCTAAAGAAGAGAGACAGCCGGGTCGGCGGCATCCGGCTCCGCGCGGAGGGGCGCGTACTCGGCCGGGAGCAGCTACGAGGGGACGGGCAGGAAGACACGGGCGATAGCCTTCGGCGTTAAGGTTCTTGATGCGGTGCTCGTCTTAGTGGGCGAACCTCGAGGGGCAGTCGGGCTGGGCGAAGAACATCATAGACATGTCACCGTCGACGCTCTTGCCAGTACTAAGGGGCCTCTTCAGATGCGGCGGAGAGGCGGCCGAAGACGGGGACGAAGACATGGCGAGGTTGTATAGCGTAAGAGCGACGCTGCCGTTTTGAATCGTTTAAGCGGGGCAGAATAGGAGCAGGAACTCTTCCTATTTTTGTATCGTTGGAAGAAACCGGCGGGGAAGTGAAGGGCCAGGGGCCGCCTTACAGAACACGAGCATAGATATTAACGGAAACACGGGAAAAATTTTAGCGGTTAGGAGAACATGGAAAGAGCGTTGTCTAGAGAATGCTATGAGAAGCGAGGGGAAAAGGGCAAAAAGGCGGTCTGCTTAGGGATAGAGGGGTTTTTTAAGACAACCGACATACGGGAAGCCATATTGTCACAGAATAGGGCAGCTTCATTGGCGACACGTTTAAGACATGGGGTTAAAAGCCAGTATGCAAGCATCTAACCTCGAACCAAGGCGCTTAGCGACATAGCTCCAGATAACAAGGAGAGCGTAGAATGTAAAGCACGAGTAAGAGGAAGGTGCCGTAGCGACTTACATGTAAAGACCGGCCTAGGCCGTTGCATGCGATAGCAGCAGGCAGTTCCCGGTAGGCTTAATGGAAAGTCGGCGCCGGTATAATGTGAAGAGCAGCAGCATGCTTATAGACGTACTACGGAGCTCTATATAGAGTACATAGGTCATTGTAAATGTAAAGTGTCCGTTACGCATAAGCTGCATGCCGAGTAGCAACATAAGCGCAAGACGAGCAGCCCAGGAAAGGACGTATACGTCGACGTCCGACTCACGAGGCTCCACGTCAGGGCATAGCAGCACGAGGTAGATGAGAGGTTTATAAAGGTAGTGGCAGCCAGTATCGCGATGGAGTCAGCTGCTGGAGGGGACCGCGCGGAGCAGGGGGCGCGAGCCCGGCGCAGGAAGCCCACGGACCGCGTGGCGCCTGGAGACGCCGGTCGAGGACGGTCCGGGCGGGGACGCTTGGAGACCGATAGGTGCGACTGCCAACGGCGGCGACATCGCCCAGCCTAGGCAGGGCGAAGCGGATATGGGAATAGGGTGGAACGGCCACACCACGCCGCAGCCGAGTGTCGACGAGGGCGCGAAGCGCAGGCGGGGAAGACCACCGAGGCAGCAGAGACCAAGCCGACGCAAGGCAGCAGGCGTTGCGGCGTATCCAGCCCCGGCCGACACCGATCGCAGCCGGTCTCACACCGCCGCCGAGCGAGGGCGGCCCGCCTAGAGGCCAGCAGGCGCCGCGGCACATACGGGCTCGGCCGGTTCTGAGGGCGGGAGTCCACGCGGCGCCCCCCACCGAGGCGGGACCGAGCGTCGGAAGCACGGACAGCCAACAAGCCGGTACGGTCGCAGAGCGAGGCCAAGGCGCATGAAGACGGCTAACGGGGCGCAGGCAGGACAATGAATCGGCAGCCCGGGGGAGAGCGGAAGAGGAAGGGCCGCACCCCCGGCGGGCAGGCCTTAGGGAAATGCTCCCGGGTCCGGGTGGGCCAGAAAACCCCAAGACGGAGGGAGCTGCAGGCCGAGGACCCAGCCAGCGTACTGCAGCACCTCGAGGAGGAGTTCGCGGCGGGCGAGAGGCTCGCAGACGAGCAGACGTGGTGCATGCCGGTGCCGCGCGCGAGGCAGGTGCGAACGGTGCAGAGGTTCTACCGGGCGTTCCACGACGCCGGCACGCTACCGGTCTTGACCTGCAAGGTATGTTACCGGAAGCGGTCAAGAGAGGAGCTAAGGGAAATGGCGTGGGAGAGGTGGCCATGGCGGAGCCCCGTCACGGAGGGCGGCCGGTCTCTATTCGCGTGCCGAAGCTGCTTCCCCGAGGGCCGGGCGGTGCCGGTATGCGCAGAGTGCGCGCGGTGCCTCGGGCGTGAGAGGGCTTCGCCTGGCATGCACCTCCACGGCCGGCTCGGCTGCGAGCACGCGTACCCCGACGAGCTCAAGGGCCTCACGCCGGTCGAGGAGAAGCTGATCTCGCTCAACTCGTGCTACGGCTTCGTGACGAGGTATAGCATCCCCGGCGGGCAGAGGCAGAGCGTGAGGTATCCGAGGCACGTCAAGGGCCATATCACGGTATTCCCGAATGACGTGCAGGGGCTGGTGACCAAGGTGCTCCCGCACCCGCTAGTCCGGGTTATGGACGAGATCCATGTCTCGTGGCAGGGGGCCGAGAAGCCGGGGCCACGCGACCTGTCGGGCCTCCTGTCGGTAAGGCGGCGGGCGGTCGAGAGGGCGCTCGTCTGGCTTAAGGAGAACAACCCGCTCTACGGCGAGGTCGAGATCGACGTGGCGGAGATGGAGAGCTGGGGCGCCGCCGCACGGGGTGCCGTCGGTGGTATGCGAGCGCCTGGAGCGAAACGAGCCGTCAGCGCGGGAGAGGACGCGGACCGCGCAGGTGGTGCCGCCGACGGAGCGGGCCATGGACGACGAGGGCGCGGTCGAGATCGAGGAGATCCTCGTCATGTTAAGCCAGGGGCGGGATCCCGCGGAGAGGAGTCGCGACGTCAGGCCCACGTGCGACGACGAAGAGGACGGCGCTAGGCCCGAAGAGGGCGGGAAGTAATCAACGAGGTGACGTCGTCCGGCATGTTCCCGCTCGACGGGCCGCCAGGGTGGCGGACGCCGAGAAGATTCGCTTCGCCCGCGACGCCGTCGGGCCCGACGGAGCGCGCGCCCGCGCAGGCCCGAGGACGTGGGTGGGGACGGCGGCCGGAGGGGCGGCGCGCGGCGGCGATGGCGACAAGTACGAGCCCTATATCCAGGTACGGCGCGGCAACGAGTTCGCCGACTCGGCGGACGCCTCCTTCTTCGCCAAGACCTTCCCGACGCTATTTCCCTTTGGCGTGGGGGGGCCGAGGCTCGCCGACGAGGCCGCTACCCGTGGAAGCGAGACTACCGGGTGGCGGGGCCGGGCTGCCGAGGCGGAGCGGGTCGCGGAGGGCCTCACGTCGACCCGGAACATGAACCTCCAAGCATGGGCCGACGTCGTGCTACGGCGCCACGGCGGCCGGTTCGCGACGCATCCCATCTTCGCCTTCCTAGTGTTTAATATGGGGTGCGGTCTAGGAACCGCCAGGCCAGTATGCTAGGCGTAACGAGGAAGAACTTCGCAAAGGTCGAGGGTCTACTAAAGTCGTTAACGACGCAGAGGCTCGAGGCGGCGAGGGTCGAGCTCGAGGCCACGGGCAAGACCGGCGACGACGGGGTAAAGGAGCTCCTCCGGTCCCTATCGGTGTTTGGCCACCGGCAGCCGATGTCGAGGGAGAGCCGCCTAAGTATGCGGAAGAAGATACTATCTCTCATCGTCAGATACGGGGTGCCGGCCATTTGGTTCACGCTAAACCCGAACGATATTACGAACCCGGTAAAGCTACGGCTGGCGGCGTACCGCGCCCGCGACCCCGAAGCGGCCGAGGCCTTCCTAAGAGAGCTAGGGACTGCGTATAAGCGGGTGCGGCTGGCGATAGCGGACCCGATGAGCGCGGCCGTCTTCTTTCACCGGGAGATAAAGCTCTTCTTCGAGCATTACGTCGACGTCGGGGACGAGTCGGTGTTCGGGCACGTCGGGGCGTACTACGGGGCGGTAGAGACGAACGAACGAGGTGCTCTCCACCTCCACGGGCTTCTCTGGCTAAAGGGCAATGCGCGCCTCGGCGAGGCGCTGGCCGGCGCCGGCGGCGAGGAGCAGGCAGCGTACCGGGAGCGAATAATCCGCTACGTAGACAGCGTCTTCTCCGAGGTAAGGCGGACGACGTCAGAGGCGTAGCCTCCCGGCTCCGTCGAACGCAGACTAAAGGGCCGAAACTAACCCTAGGCCGTAGGAGCTAGACGCAGAAGGGCACCACGCTGTGCAGGCGGAGCGGTCGATCACGGCGCACATGTCGTCGTGGCTTGACGACGTCGAGCGCTTAACGGACGCGTTCGACGAGGAGGCCAACTTCTGCGCCGGCGCGACGCAGGTCCACACGCATAGCGCGACCTGCGTCAAGTACTCGCTCGCGGGGGCCGGTCGTAAGGGCGACCTCTGCCGTTTTAAGGCGCCCTGGAGGCTAGTAGAGAGGACGGCGCTCACGGCGGACGGCGTGCTGGAGATCCGGCGGACACATAGCATGGTGAACCGGTGGAACAAGGCGATGGCGGTAGGGCTGCGGCACAACCACGACATCTCGTTCATCGCGACGCAGCGCAAGACCATGGCCCTGATCTACTACATCACCAACTATGCGACTAAGGTAGAGGACCCTACGTGGAAGCGGGTGGCCGCCGCGGCCGAGTTACTCCCGACCTTAGAGCCGACAGCAGAGAGCAGTATCCCCAGCGCCGACCGCAACGATAGCGGGGGGAACGGAGCCGGAGAGGAGGCCGCGGCGGACCCTATAAGGGGAACAAGACGAGGTGTTCCTACTAAAGGCGGCGAACCGAATCTTCACGGAGCGCCCGCTATCCCAGGTCGAGGTGATCGCCGACCTCCTGGGGTATCCCGCGGAGTTTTGCAGCGGCGCGGCGTGGGCGTACGTGAACACGAACCAGCTCTACTGGGCCGTCTTCCGCCAGTGGCGGCACCTCCGACTGGCGAGCGGGGTAGAGGCGACGGCGAGCGACGCGCCGGACGAGACGGTCGTCGTCGAGGAGGCGGGGCCGAGGATCTCCTTCATCGAGGCCTACCGGCATAGAGGCGGGCTCCTACAGGGCCTCTGTCTCTACGACTACGCGTCGCTCGTAAGGCTGAAACGGAATGGCGGAGGCGCCGAGGGCTGCGCGGCCTGGGGCGAGATACCCTTTAACGAGAGCTGGGCCCGGGAAGGACTGGGCGCAAGTGCTCAGACGGCCGGGTAAGGGCGAGCGTACGCCTAGACGGGTACCTCAGTAAGGAGTTCGGCGAGGAAGACGAGGAGTCATGTCATCGGAGGTACGTATAGCAAAGCCGAGGGCGTACCGTCGGACGGCGACGCGGCCCGTGGCCCGGCTAACGGTGCAAAGGGCGGCGGTGCAGCATCTAGCGCTGTTCGTGCCGTGGGAGGCATTCGTCTGCGAGGAGACGGGCGACATCAACGACATCTGGGCGCGGGAGCGGGCGGCGCTGGCGCCGAGGATCGCGCGGCTCGCGGACAACGTACAGCTGCTCCGGCGGTCGGCGGAGGACGCCAAGCGCGACGCCAGGCAATGGGCCGCTACGACCGAGGAGGCGGCCGAGGGGGGCGGGCAGGTGTACCGCGCCGGCGGCGCAGGCGACGCGGCGCGGCTCATCGACGTTGTCCGGAACGCCGCCGGCGCGGGCCAGGTAACGGCGCGGTCGGCGGAGCTGCTGGCGATGACGCAGCAGCTCTGCCGGTTTCAGCAGTCGGCGCTCTCGTCGGCGGCCGAGCTCGATGCGACGGTGGTGGCGGGTGAGGCGGGGCCGAGGCGGGTAATCCTCGCGGGGTCGACCCTCTCCGGGGCGGCGCTGCCGCGGCAAGAGCAGGTAAGAGCCATCAAGTCGCAGCAGAGGAGCGCCGCGCGGGAGCGGGAGCGGGCGATCCAAGGAATCCAGGGCGGCGCGGCGGCGTCGGCGCCCGGGGCCGACCGAGGTGCGGCGCTACGCGGGGTGATGGGCGGCTTCGGCGAGGACGACGTCGAGGTGACGGCAGCGGACGCCGACGCGGGGATGCGTGTGCGGCTCGGCCCGTCGAGCTCGTTTGTCGCCGCCGGCAGGGAGCTAGCGGGCCGGCTAACGCTTAACGAGAAGCAGTCGATCGCCCTCCTCATCATATGCCGCCAGCTCGATCAGGCCCGGCAGGGCGGCGACGCCGGCGACAGCGGCGACGCCGGCCAGCTCTGTCTATTCGTCGGCGGCGAGGGCGGTACCGGCAAGTCGCGCGTCATTGAGGCGCTCGTCGAGCTGTTCGCCCAGAGGACCTATCGAGCCAGCTACTAATCACGGCGACATCGGGGACGGCGGCGGCGCGGATCAACGGCATCACCCTGCACTCGGCCTGCGGCCTCTTGGTCGGCCAGGGCGGCCAGGCGGGGGTCGGCGAGGAGGTAGACGGGTGCGGCTGCCGGGACAGGGCGAACGCTTCGTCGACGGCCGGTCGCGGATGGACTGGCAGGAGAAGGAGGTGCTGGTGATCGACGAGGTCAGCATGCTCGGGCGCGCACGCTGCACGCGGCGAACGAGCAGCTCTGCCGGCTGCGGGGCTCGCCGCGGGACTTCGGCGGCATCCCGGTAGTCATCCTCTGCGGCGACTTCCATCAGTTCCGGCCGGTGCAGGAGCGGTCGATCCTGCTGCCGAGCGCGGCGGTGCCGTGGGACGCGGACGGCGCGTTCGCGGCCGAGCGGCGGCGGCAGCACGATAAGGCGCACGCGCTATGGAGGAAGTTTACGACGGTCGTCATGCTCGACGAGCAGATGCGCGCCGCCGGCGACCCGGAGCTACGGCGGCTGCTCGGGCGGATCCGGCGGGGGGAGCAGGACCGGTCGGACCTAGACCTCCTCAACTCGAGGTGCTACCGGGCGGGCAGGCGGATACCGTGGGAGACTGGGGTGACGGTGGTGACGCCGCTTAACAGGAATCGCTGGAACCTCAACCCAGAGGCGGCCCTCGCGTTCCGGGCCCGGCAACGGACGGCGGCGCGCATCTTCGTCTCCGAGCATAAGTGGAGGGACGGCACGCCGACGGAGGAGGAGGCGGTGCTGATGCTAGGCCAGGGCGACGACAGCGCGACTCCGGTGCCGGCCGTCTTCCTCTTCGTGCCCGGCATGCCGGTCGTCGTGAACCAGAACACGCACCAGGGGCTGAAGCTAGTGAACGGGGCCGGGTACACGGCGGTCGACGTCATACCCGACCGGGCCTTCCCCGGCCACCGGGTCTCGGCGGAGCTGACAATGCACTTCGGGCCGCCGGTCGGCATGGTGCTGGCCTCGGAGACGACCAGGATTTCCACTTCGTGGGGATGCCGTCCGGGACGATCCTGCTGACGCCCATCAGCGTCAAGATCCAGGCCCAGCGGAAGCGGCCGTGGCAGCGGAACGACGTTAGCCGGAGGGCCTGCCGTGCGCGGCGGCCTTCGCCTGCACCGACTACAAGGTGCAGGGCGGGACGCTGGAGCGCGTGGCGCTGGAGCTCCGGGGGGCGAGGACGACGACCGTCGACGGGCGCGCGGTACCGTCGCCGTGCGACCCGTATAGCCTATACGTGCAGCTATCGCGGTGCCCGACGCTCGACGGCATCATGCTCGTGTCGGAGGTGCGGGAGAGGGACCTGGTAGGGAACAGGGTGCCCGAGGAGATGACGGCGGCGCAGGCACGGCTAGAGAGGCTCAGTGAGAGGACCGTCGGGAGGCGCTACGCTGGCTCGGCGATGACCTCCCGGGGCCGCGGGAGGGACAAGACGAGACTGGGGGATAAATAGATAGAACGCCCAACTATTTCCTCATTAGGCCCGAGCCGCAGAACCACCGTTCTCACAAAACCTCGGCGGGGCAAGTTCTATACGTCTTCTTCCAAGACACCCCAAAAGAAAGGCAAAGGCCCGGCTAGGAGTGATAGGCGGCCGAGAGGGCGGACGAAACAGGGCCGTTCCATCAGAAAAAAAGGAGGCCGGAGGAAGGAGCGGTAAGCAGTCGAGGTTGCGGGGAAGCTTTCAAACCATGATAATTTCCTTTCCGACCAATCAAAAGGGAGGAACCCGACCAATCAGAGGACGGGAGTTTGGGGGGGAAAAAATTGGGTTGGGTGGTCGCGCGATAAGAAGAGGCCTTTCGTTCCTCAAGGCACACCATAAACCATACAGGTAAGGCAACCCCTCACGGGTTGCGCAAAGGGCCTTGAGGAACGAAGACTGAAGATTGGAGAGACAATCAAGACAAAGACAAGACAAAGACAGGGCGAGAGAAAAAAACGCAAGCAGGCGGTAGCGCTAGGAACTAAAGCATGCAAGAAGGTAGGCAAAGAAAGCGGCCATTCGGGCACTATCTGTTAGATCCGGTAGAATCCGGGTAGATGCAGCTACGATAGCGTCAGGCTACTAGTGGCAGCGCCAACGGTAGCGCAGACGATAGCGCACCAGGTAGCGCAGCCGATGAGGCCACGAGGACATCTATGAGACAGTTACAGAGATATGACGTGATGGCATGTCATAGGGATTGAGGCCATCGCCCTTTGATATAGGGCTTGGGCAGAGCACCCCAAATGGGGACACAGACAGACACACACATCATACCTCACTTCATCCGATCGTACCATTCTTGCTGTGTCCGTGACCTATCCGACGAGAACCTCATCAAGGTTCTGACACTATCCCGCAGCGGGGAAGAGGCAGAAAAAGCAAGAAGGCAGGTAAAGCGGTGATGACGGACGACGGTTGCGGTGTAAGCGAGAGGAAGGGAGTATAAGAGGGGCACCAAGGCACGAATAGGAGAACAAGAGCAGAGGCGTCTACCCTAGCTACCGATCGAGCAGTTAGGAAAACAACTACAGCATGGCCATTTGCAACGTTTCCGTGGACTTCTGGTGCGAATTCGGGGCCACGGAGCTCAAGTACAAGCATAGCATCCCGAAGATGCTTGTGACGCAGGTAGGCCAGGCGAGGCCGAACCACGAAGCCAGCGCACGGTTCCTACAGTGGATAAGGCCGATCCTACGGGAGCACGAGGCAGCGTGTCGGAAGGCAGCAGGGGCACGCTGCGAGAGCTGCGGCGGAGTCGCAAAGGACATTCTACAAAGCCCGATATCGTACCTACAGGCTACACGCAGAGAGACCGTTTGTGCTCGTGGTCGTGTCGTCGTTCTGCGGACAAGAAGGATGCGAAATTAGGGCGAGGCAGGAAATGCAGGACACAATGGCAGAGGCGGGGCAGCGCAAAGCAAATGCAAGGGCAGGATCGGCAGAGCACAGAGGGGAAGGTCTGCCGGGTTTGCGGAGAGAATGGCGGGGGCGAGGAGGTGCAGCCGATGCCTGGCGGTCTCGTACTGCAGCAGGCAAGACCAAAAGGAGGACTGGAAGGTGCACAAGAAGGGATGCAAGCCAAAGGCAAGCTAGGGAGCTAGTGAGAGGAAGCAAGCCGTAGAGGCGGGCTTACGGCCAGCCTCACACGCCGCAACGGCCTTTGTAGAACCTACCGCCGACTTAAGAGAGCAGAACGTCAGCCAAATGCAGAACCGTCTACCCACCCGCCCTAAATAGAGAGTCTGATAGTAGTAGCATCGCCGCGAGCCTCGTCCTTATAGCTTATATAACTAAGAAACGGCGTATAAGATTATATAGTAGAAATCCGTATCCTCCGTATAGAGTAATGACTGATAGGCGAGAAGCGGAGTCGCCTTTCGCCGAGGCGCAACTATAGTCCCCCGCTAAACGCAGCCTAGAGGTGCGGCGGCAAGCCGGCAAAGAGAGAGGAGGGAAAGGGAGGGAAGGTCGGAGGTTGCTCGCGACGATAGAGTCGAGAGGGGAAGCCGGGCTGGCCGTCGGCTTCGGCGAGGACGACATGGACGTAACGGCGGCCGACGGCGACGCAGACACAGGCACGGCGGCGGGGATGCTCGTGCGGCTCGGCCCGTCGAGCTCGTTCGTTGGCGCCGCCGGGGAGCTGGCGGGGCAGCCAACGCTCAACGAGAAGCAGGCCATCGCCCTCCTAATCGTGTGCCGGCAGCTCGACCGAATCCGGCGTGGCGATGACACAGGCGGCGATGGCGGCGGCCAGCTCTGCCTGTTCATCGGCGGCGAGGGCGGTGCCGGCAAGTCGCGCATCATCGAGGCGCTCGCGGAGCTGCTCGCCCGGAGGGACCTATCGAGCCGGGTACTGGTTACGGCGACGTCGGGGACGGCGGCAGCGCGGATCAACGGCATCACGCTGCACTCGGCCTGCGGCCTTACGGTCGGCCAGGGCGGCCGGGCGGGAGGGCGACGAGGACATTGACGGCGTACGGCTGGCGGGCCAGGGCGAGCGCTTCGTCGACGGCCGGTCGCGGATGGACTGGCAGGAGAAGGAGGTGCTGGTGATCGACGAGGTCAGCATGCTCGGGGCGCGGACGCTGCACGCCGCCAACGAGCAGCTCTGCCGGCTGCGGGGGTCGGCGCGGGACTTCGGCGGCATCCCGGTAGTGATCCTCTGCGGCGACTTCCACCAGTTCCGGCCGGTGCAGGAACGGTCGATCCTGCTGCCGAGCGCGGCGGTGGCGTGGGACGAGGACGGGGCGTTCGCGGCCGAGCAGCGGCGGCAGCACGACAAGGCGCACGCGCTGTGGCGGCGCTTCACGACGGTCGTCATGCTAGACGAGCAGATGCGGGCCGCCGGCGACCCGGAGCTGCGGCGGCTGCTCGGGCGGATCCGCCGGGGCGAGCAGGACCGGTCGGACCTAGAGCTGCTCAACTCGAGATGCTACCGGCCGGGCAGGCGGATCCCGTGGGAGACGGGCCTGACGGTGGTGACGCCGCTCAACCGGAACCGCTGGAACCTCAACCTAGAGGCGGCGCTCGCGTTCCGGGAGGCGGCGGACGGCGGCGCGCGTCTTCCTCTCCGAGCATAAGTGGAGGGACGGCGTGCCGACGGAAGAGGAGGCGGTGCTAATGCTAGGCCAGGGCGACGACAGCGCGACGCCGGTGCCGGCCGTCTTCCTCTTCGTGCCAGGCATGCCGGTCGTCGTGAACCAGAACACGCACCAGGGGCTGAAGCTTGTGAACGGGGCCGGGTACACGGCGGTGGACGTCATCCCCGACCGCGCCTTCCCCGCCACCGCGTCTCGGCGGAGCTCATCATGCACTTCGGCCGCCGGCGGGCATCGTGCTGGCCTCGGAGACGACCAAGGACTTCCACTTCGTCGGGATGCCTGCCGGGACGATCCTGCTAACGCCCATCAGCGTCAAGATCACAGCGCAGCGGAAGCGGCCATGGCAGCGCAACGACGTCAGCCGGAGGGGCCTGCCGTGCGCCGCGGCCTTCGCCTGCACCGACTATAAGGTGCAGGGCGGGACGCTAGAGCGCGTGGCGCTGGAGCTGCGGGGGCGAGGATGACGACGGTCGAGGGAGGGCGGTGCCGTCGTCGTGCGACCCGTATAGCCTATACGTGCAGCTGTCGCGGTGCCCGACGCTCGACGGCATCATGCTCGTATCAGAGGTGCGGGAGCGGGACCTAGTGGGGAACCGGGTGCCTGAGGAGATGACGGCAGCGCAGGCCCGGCTAGAGGAGCTTAGCAGGCAGACAACACAGGAGGCGGCCGACTGGCTCCGCAGGTAACGCAGGCGCCCTGCATTTTCCACACTTCTGACGTAAAAGGAGTGTAGGTTAAGGGCCAGGAGGACGGGCGAAGGGGGTGGTCTGTGGAGGCGTGTGGTCTATGGCGGAGTTAGAAGCCGGGCCGGCTTGGGCACCTTCCTCTATGTGGTCTGCGGCGGCGTATGGTCTACGGAGGCGTTGGAAGCGAACTGCGCAGCTGGAACTAAAAGGGGCAGCAAGGGGGCAGGGCATTATGATGGTAGGCACCTATGTGCCTACAGATACGCATGCGCACAAGCTGTAGGCTGAGTCACAGTCACGACAGGTAGGGTAACCGGTGATGACTTCAATTGTAACTAACTAGGGAAGAGGAAGCTATTCACAAGAAACGGAATGTGCACCCGGTACCCGTGCCACGCCCCACTTTATTTGGAATTCGCAAGCTCCCACCTCCTAAAGTTGGTGCTCACCACCAGTATCCCCACACCACCGGAATACCCAGAATTTCGACTCCCCGACTTCAGCATCCCTATATCTTAACCAATTCACGATCTCGTCGATAGCCGAAATGGAAGCACGTGTACAAAACGCTCTTCGATATATTGAAAATTTTCCGGTGCTAAAGTCGCAACCGTAGCGCGAGAATTCGGTGTAACACGTGATCGATTGCGATACCGTCTTCAAGGCCGACCTCCTAAAACTGGCCAGCGAGCTAGAAATACGAGGCTTTCCGAACCAGAAGAGAAGGCCCTATGTCGCTATATCGATCGTTTGGATAATATAAACCTTGCGGTACGCGTCGAGTTCGTTACTGACGCGGCAAACTGTATCTTGCGCGAGCGGTCTAGCCAGCGCGACGCTCCTACCGTGGGGCCAAACTGGACTTCTCGCTTTAAAGCGTCACGGCTACTTCAAAAAGCGCCAAAAAAGGCTTCAAGCAGAGCGCCAAGTCTCCGAGAATCTTACACGAGTTAACCAGTATTTCCAGCATCTTCGGCAGGTTATCCAAGACAATGGTATACCTCCTGAGGATATCTGGAATATGGACGAGACTGGTTTTCGCATCGGGTTGGAAAAGACCAGCTGATTGTGACAAAACGGAGGAGAGCTCATTATTTTGGCATTCCTGAGAATAGGGAATCCGCTACTGCGATCGAAGCTATCTCGGCGAATGGGGAGGTTGTTCCGGCTTTTTTGATACTCGCTGGCCAGATGCACATGGCTTCATGGTATCAAATACCTGAGCTAGATCCTGACACAGTTATTCGACCCACGCCTACTGGTTACTCAAACGACGTGATTAGTCTGGAGTGGCTCCAGCATTTTGACAAGCACTCGGAAAAAAGCTCAAGAAGCTCGAAGCGACTTCTAATTCTTGATGGTCATGGCTCTCACCATACCAGGCAGTTCATTGAATACTGCGACAACCACAATATTATTCCCTTCGGCATGCCGCCTAATCTCACGCATGCACTTCAGCCTTTGGACGTTGTCGTTTTCCAGCCCCTAAAGCACTATCACGCCAAGGCTTTAGATGTCATGGTTCGAGATGGCCTCGTCAACATAACCAAGCTTGAGTTTCTCTCCTGCATTCAACAAGTACGATTGCATGCTTTCAAGGAGAGTACTATACGCTCCGCATTTCGCAAGACAGGAATCTTCCCATTCAATCCACAAGTAGTACTTCAATGTTTGGAAGCTCGTCAAGCCACGACACCCACTCCTCCCAATTCAGGACCACACTCCTCACCTTTCGAGACACCATTGACTCTACGACAAATAAACAAGGTAGCGGACAAATTAGATCTCGTCCTTGAAGACGATAAAAGCCTGATCCCGACTTTTCTCACGATCTCAGTCGATTTATTCGAGGATCGCTATCTCTGGCGACTGAGCTCGTGCAGACTAAAAGGGACTTGGGACGAACCAAAATGGCGGAGCGGATCCAAAAACAACGTAAGGCTATGAAGAATATACAGTTACAATCAGGAGGAGTATTGTCAGTGGCCCAAGGACGGGAAATGGTGCAACAAAGGGGAGATGATCAGATTGCTAAAGCAAGGAAGGTAGTAGAAGACGCGGAGAAAAAGGCGCATAACGCACGCAAGCGATGGTTTGAGGAAGCAGCAAAAAAGGCACGCCAATGGAGGGGTTCAGGAAGGTTAGAACGAGTGGAAGTACGCGATTCTGAGCGTGGTACGCGGTGGTTGAAGCGATTCTAGGTCGGGGAGTCGAAATTCTGGGTATTCCGGTGGTGTGGGGATACTGGTGGTGAGCACCAACTTTAGGAGGTGGGAGCTTGCGAATTCCAAATAAAGTGGGGCGTGGCACGGGTAGTATTCCAACACAGGCAGTCTTTTCTTTTCGTGATGGAATCCGAAGGCTGCCGTGCCTGCCCTTCATTCCGGTCTCAATGAAGGGAGGCTCGTCATCATGGAGTCGTTTGTCGTTAGGTGGTGTCTGCGGTCACGGGTCGTTGTACATATCCTTCCACTCGAATCGTCAGCCTGTTCGTCTCAATCAACCGTTCCAAAGCACGGTTGGGTGCTGCTGGTCATCGCATCAGCCGGGTTGTCATCCCCATTGATCCAACGGATCTCTGCCATCTCGCGCTGCTCGTAGGACTGCCTTAGCGCCATGATATCAATCATGAGTCGCTTCTCTTTCGTGGTCCCGAGCTTTACGAGGCATTCGTATAGCGAGTATGAGTCGGTGCAGACAATGAGGGGAGTCGGGGGTAGGTCCAGCTGCTTGACAATAGCCTGCAGGGTGGTCGCGATGACAATGGCCATATCGAAACCTTGGACCATGCCGTAGATCTCCGAGGCTAGCACGCTCCGGGTCACTCGCTTGCTCTTCGTAGATGACCAGTGCAGGACATTGCCTCTGATCGTGAAATCAGCAGGGCTCTGTTCCTCGTTGGCGAGCACAATAACAAAGCCCAGTTGTGAGCTTAGGTCTTTGTTGTTCGCGAACGAACCGTCCGTGAATACCATTAGCTTCGCAGTCGAAAAGGCCAAGGAACATAGCGGAGTCCTCGTTGCAGGTTGTCGGTCTGCCATTGTATCCGCTTGTTCAGGGTCTTGTAGTCCGGGGCTTCCGGCTGCTGCACTTGTGCTGCGACTGAGTAGTCGAACGTGGCCTCGGGCTGGCAGATTGATGCGATATATGCTCCGCGCGCGCGCTGTTGGGCGTATTGCTGCGCGCGATCCGTGGAGGAGAGAAAGATGGTGGCTAACTTCTGGCCTTGGCCCTTCTGCTGGATGATAAGGTCGTCTTTTCGGCTAGAAGTGTGCAACCATTAAACTCGAGGAGTCGCGGCCGATAGCTGGCTCCTTGGTTTCGAGCGGAGCTTAGCCTTCTGGATCTCTCTTTCTTCTGCGGCCGCGAACTCAGGGAGGCGAGGAGGAGGGTGTCATCCGTCTGCATAGCGACCATGCCGAAGCCGGCGGCTTGATCATTGGAGATCAACAAGCAGGGGTCAAAGGTGGAATGTGTCATACCGAGGCGCTCACGATGATGCCTATAATATGTCACGAACCAATGGAGACCTGACTCTGCTATGCCATACAGGGGAAGGATGACATGGATGATGGTGTCTGGGGGATAGCGGGGCACTAATTCCGCTGGGAGGCGTGCGAGTATCGTACGATTCAGGGGGGTTTTGGACTGAATATATGCTTGTGTGATATCACGCAGGAAGACGGAGGCTTCACCTGCGAGGGAGGGGGCAATTGAGAGGAGTAGCCGCTGTGCTGCCCGTTGCACGGTCGGCGACTGGGTAAGGATATTCTCTTTATCACGATCGTTATAGCCTTGAATGACGAGACGGGATTTCTCGTAGGGCCTTGTGGTTGGTCCGAGTCCTTTAACTTCGCGGACCATGCGTGCTTTAAAGAGTCTTTGGCCTTTGTGGGCCACGGGGTCGAAACGAATGAACTCAAACACACCCTGTGCGATTAGGTTGTTAATCTCTTGGGTATCGGACTGTTCAAAGGGGGCACCTGGTGTGGTGATGTGGCCTTCGCGGCGCAATTGAACAGCGTGATCATAGTGATTAACTTCCTTCTTTGACAGGTTGGCTACGCCGGTCTTGGGCTTGTTCTTGGAGCCTTTGGGGCGTCCTCGTCGGCGTTGTTCAGGTAGGAGCACAGGGGCAGGGGCATCATCTTGATCGGGGTTAGGGGGTGCATTGGGGTCGACTCGTCGGGATTTGGCTGCGAGTCGTCGTGGGGTTGTGATGAGGGCCTGAGGATCACGGTGGTATTTCTTGACCTCTGTGATCCTGAAGTTGCGGGGGCCATTGACATGATTGATTGTTATTTCGTGGCCGTTATTGCCGATAACGATCCACGGGCCGGTCCAGCCGTCAGCCTCTCTCCACACGAGGACCTCGCTCTGCAGGAAGCTCTGCAGCGCGCTCTACATTTGGTCCATTCCTCGTGTTGAGGGCATCTCTAACCTGACGGGCAGCGGCAGCACGGTGCAGAGCTGCCATGGCTTTCCGAATAGCCTCTGCGCGCTTGATCATAGGGGGAGAGGGCGGTGAATCGTGGTTGATTCGTGGGTATGCGCCGAAGACGAGGAGGGTAGGGACAAGGCCATCCGGGCCGGCTGTGTCATTGACTGCCTTTACAGCCATTTGGAGGAGGGCATCTGGGCTTCTCGACTCACCCAACTCTGCTTGGAGGATATCGTAGGCGCGGCGGAGGGGGCCGTGTGCCTTTTCTACCTTTCCAATCGAGTTGTGGGCTTCGATAGGTACCTGCCTGCAAGTGATACCCATCAGCGATGCCTCTTTTTGGAACTCCTCTGCTGCAAAGTTAGTGCCGGCATCGTGGCGCATAAAGTCCGGGGGCCTTGGTAGGTGTCTATCCACAGCATCCGTAGCGTTTCCCAGGTGTCTCGGGCGGTCATCGAGGGAGGAACCTGGCGCCTTGGAACGCTGTGGCTTCGTCGATCACGTGTAGCACAGGCTTTCCGCCTATTTGGACTACATCCGCGGTTATCTCGAAATTGAACTCGCGGTCGTCTCTAAGGGTAAACCTGAAGCGTTGGGGGGAGGTGCCGTTGATTTGACAGTGGTGGCACATCCTCGTGATCTCACGGATTGACTGCTCATCAATATCATCATGCCCGGCACACCTAAGCAGTCGGTGGAGTCTAGCTGTGGCCGGGTGACCGAATCGTCGGTGAAGTCGTCGCAATTCGCGTTCGGTCAGGAATACTCTCGCAGTCTCTTCTTTACCTAGATGGAACCATGCGTGGCCCCATTTACGTACTGCGGGAACGCGAATGTCATCGCGGACGACTTCGTTGGTCTGATTGTTGAAACAAGCCTAGCCGGTCCATATCGGCTAGGAGAGGAGGAACGGGGTCTTAGTGGGAAGAACGTGGAAATCAACGGGCCCGAATGCCGTGCGAATCGCGGTCGCACCGACAGACACAATCCGGGGTCCATCTCCAAAGGAGATGCCTGTCTGGCCTGCGCGGGTGGTATCGAGGGTAGCGCAGTGGTCTTCGCGCTGCCAGGCATGGAATTGGTCTAGGCCAGCGGTTGACACGTCGGAAGCACCTGTGTCGAGCATGATGCCCTGATAACGCGTTGTGTAACGGTCATCGACAAGGAATTGTTGTGCCGGGGCCTTTGAGGAGCGCTATAGGCATCTTCCTTAGTCAGACGGTGTAGAACAGCGTAATCTGCGAGGAATGATTGCGTGAAGAACAGCGAGCCAATCGCTGGGTCTTCATCGTCAATTTCATCAGCAGTATCATAGTCAGGACAGGGTCTCGTCAAGTTCATGACCTTCGAATTCGGCGAGGAACATGGCGAAGTCCGGGGTCGTGTCGGAGGCATTGTGGGCATTAAGGAAATACATCCGTGATTGTTTCCGTTCTTCTATGGTATGCTTGGTAGACCAACAGCCAGCTTTGCCGCAGATGAAGCACACCTTCTTTCTCTGCGGCTGTCGTTTGGGGTTCGCGCTGTTATTGTTGCGGAAGGGGGGTCTATTCTGTTGATACTTGCGGTCGGTATACCATTGGGTGCTACCGTTGTCCGTGATCGCAAGTTCAATAGAGGCGCGGAGGTCGGCAAAGAGTTGTTCGCAATGGGCGGGGCTTTGTACAAGGCTTGCTTGAGCTCAGGCGTTCCACGGCAAGCGCGGATGACTGCGTTGCGGAGGTTGCTTTCGCCAGCTATTTCCGGCCCAATCGCTCGTTGACACAATTGGAGCTTGTCAAGCATTATATCAAGCACAGCGTGGAGGTCCTTGTCACTGTGCTTGCTACGGACACTGTTGAAGGTGATAGTTGACCAGTCCGTATGGTAATGCTCCAGATTCACGTTGGTATCGAAATGTTGCAAGTTGTCGGTAAGCGGCGGCGAACGTGAGGTCTGGGTCAAGATAAAGGTCATAGTAGGTCTTTGCTCGACCTGTAAGGGCGCGGGGGAGAAAGGCGTGTAGCTGACTCTCGGGGACTTCAACCGAACGGCAGGTGGTTAGGAAGTTCCTGATCTTATCGTCAAGGAGATCGTAAGGTTGACCTGAGTAGGTATCTTCCTTATTCCAAATCTTGACGAAGAGGGCGAGAGTCTGGGCATTGGTCGGGTGTTCGGCACGTCTCGTGGTGGCAATGTGCGGTATGGGGTGTATTGTGGCGGATCTGACTTGGCTCTTGGGGAATCGCCACTGAATTGGGGTAGGTAATAGGGGAGCTGGTGTTACCTGGGAGCTATCCTTGTGCGGTGAGGAAGGTGTAGCTCGTCGGAGCGTTTGTAAAAGCGGTTGGGGTGACGGATTGAGTGGCCTGCTGGACAGGTTGTACAGGCGGTTGAATAGGTGGTGAGAGGGGCAAAGGGATCGCTGCGGGCACGGGTTGTGCTCCTTCGTCGATGGAGGTGACCGGGGTATCCTGGGTTTCCCAATATTCTTCGGTGACGAGGGAAGCGAGAAGATAGTCATGTCGGCATCTTCTCAAGGGGCCAGTGATCACTTCCTTCGTACGAAGATAGTTGACGAATGCAGCTCGAATCGTTGGCTCAATCCTTCCGAAGAGTGCACTATTCCATCCTTCGAAGTGCTCTTGGAACATAATAAGAGTGTCGATTCTTCCTACATTGGCTCTCTCATAGTCGGTCCACGCACGGGCGAGTTGTGTGATCAGGTGGCGTGGCGTTGGCTCTTCCTCTGGGTTCACAGGGGTATGCCAGAGGGATAGGTCAATGTCTGACATGTCGATCGGTATGCCAGTATATTTGCCCAGCCATCCTTGCACTCTCCTGGCTTGGGGATCGCGAGCAATATAGATAGTAGGGACGGGGTATTACTACTGCCTCCCGGGGCACTGCTGCTAGGTCCTGCAGACATAGTGTCGGAGGTGAATTGTAGTGATCAATTGTACTAATTAAAGCACAATCGCGAGGGAGTCGGGATGCGTTGCTGACGCAGCTAAGCTATGTCTTTTCCTTTCCTTCGAACGGTCGGTGAGTTGCTCGGCGGAACGGCAGTTAGGAATAGCAATAGGTTAGCCGTAGGTTCTGCTTCTTTCTTCCGAACGGCACAGTGAGTTGAAGGCGGATCGGAATAAGGAGTGTCTCCTGCTCTTAGCACAAACTTGTCGTCTTCGAACGGTCGGTGAGTTGCTCGGCGGAACGAATCACGGAGTTTGTCTCTTCTACCCGTAGAGGAAAAGTATCACTTTCTCCGAACGGCACGGTGAATTGCAGGCGGATCAGATCGGTGACTCTTCATCTACCTTGCTGCTCTGTGGCTCCTTCGGGACCTGGAACCACTGATCAGTGATGGTGGCACCTATGTGCCTACAGATACGCATGCGCACAAGCTGTAGGCTGAGTCACAGTCACGACAGGTAGGGTAACCGGTGATGACTTCAATTGTAACTAACTAGGGAAGAGGAAGCTATTCACAAGAAACGGAATGTGCACCCGGTAATGGGGGCATGCAGCCGGGGCTGCGTGCCCTGATCGCGGGGTAGGGTGTCACGTGGGAGTCGTGCATGAACCGTGATGGTATCCCGATTGCACGGGTTACTCAGCAGGTTAGTATTCCAACACATTATTTATTTTTATTTATTAACGAATGAAAAGCGAGAACATCGACGAATGAAAAGCGAGAAAAGAACAACCGACGAATCAAAAGCGAGAACGCCAGCGAATCAGAGGGCGGCATTTGCGGGGGGGAAATCGATGGCGAATTTTTTTTCTCCCCGGGGAGGAACCCTAAGAACGGGTAAGGCAACCCCGCACGGGTTGCGCAATAAGCCTTTCGGAACGAAGATTACGACCAGAGGGGAAGAGAAAGGAATAAACAGCAGCAGAGAGGCAGAAGGAATGGGGGGTGTAACAGTTCAGCAAGTTCAACTTAACTAGCTACCTAGTTAGAACGAATAAGCTAATAAGGACGAGAATATAGAGGGTAAAGAGGAGGAAGGAAAAGGAGTTATACCTACGTCAAGAAGTAGGTCCAGTTGCATAAAGTTAGTCTAGGCCTAGCTCGTAATATATAGTAAAGGTAAGAAGGGGAGGGAAGGGAAGAGGGGGAAGTGGAGTTATAGTATCACGGGGCGGACTAGGCAACGAGGGAAGAACGATGTTGTCGGATACAGAGCTATGGACAGTATGCGAGGGCCGGGCATATATGTATGTGGCTATAGACACGTGGTGTGTAGAGGTACCTTAGTACCGTGAGATATAGACTAATAAGTAGGGGTAGCTTTTCTTATATTAATAGTATAGCGAGAGTATAGGCCTAGCTTATATAGTAACTAGGTTGTAGAGGTATATTATTTTTGGAGAGTTTAGTAGATATCAAGTATAGATTCAGTGTTATTCAGATAGTAGGCTCATTTCTGCATGCGTTGGCGGAGGGCCGGATGGGCGCGTCGCTAGTACTAGCGACGATAGAGTCAAGAAGGAACCGGGCGCGGCGGCCAGGGCATGAGCGGGCGTGTCCCCGGGCGGCCTTGACGACGAGGCGGACTGCGGGGGTGAGGAGGAAGTGGCGGCGGAGCCAACAGTGCTCGAAGAGGAGGAAGGAAGCGAATGGTGCTGGTGCAAGGTGCGCGACCTCTTAATCGGGGAGTCGGCCACGGCCGAGCAGGCCCGCGGGCGGCGGCGTCACAGGCGCATCGGCAGGCGGGCCCGGAGCCTTGGAAGGCGTGTGCGGCGCGGTCGAAGGCGGCGTAGCAAGCGAGTAGGAGGCGGCGCGGACGAGGTCAAACGCAGAGGAGGTGGAAGAGGGTTGACGCCTCAGGGGCTGGGCCAGCGGGGAAGCGGAGGCGGCAGCGGCGGAAGACCTATCATGGAAAGTCCAGCTATCCGGGACGACGACGAAGACGTAATCGCGGTCCGAGCCGGGCGGGACACACATCACGCCATGATCGAGAAGGCCGGCGACCTTGCCAGTGCAGGTAAACGGGATACCAGGCAGAAAGGGAGAGGCGGACCTCTCGGCCAGCTTCTTACACAGGACGAGCCAAGGGTTGGCATAGATGGGAAAGATGACAAAGACCTGAAAGGGGTGGTAGCCCTTGAAGGGAACCTTGTCCGGGACGCCAGGGGCGATGTACGTCGATAGCTGGATTAGGCCGCAGCAGCGGAGCTGGTCGGTCCCAAGACCAGGAAGAAGATCGGCCTGCAGGAGGTCAAGTCCGGAGCCGGCGACGACGCCGTGAAAGGAGACAACAGGAGGCGTCGAGGGAAGTGGCCGTCGGGTGCCAAGGAGCGCGGGAGGACGCTTAGGAAGAGATCAGCGGGGCGGCAAAGAGGACGGAGGGAGGCTCACGGCTGGTAGCCCTGGTCGCGGACGACGAGGGCGGGCATCGTATAGAGGAGAGTCTCGCCGACGTCGGCCTCGAGACCGTCGCGGCGCTCGACCTCCCAGGCGAGGGCGTACGGATGGACGCGGCCGGACATAAAGAACCACTGCTCAGACCAATCCGAGTCGACGACCGGCTGGCCGTAGATTGAGAGATTCAAGCTAAAGAAGAGGGGGGAGACATCGTTATCATCCCCCGCTGCCCGGAGGGGAGCGTACTCGAGCGCCAGCAGCCACGAGGGGGCGGGAAGGAGGACGCGGGCAATGGCCTCGGCGTTGAGGCCCCTCACGCGGTGCTCGTCCTGGTGGGCGAACCTCACGGGGCAGTCGGGCTGGGCAAAGAACATCATGGTCATGTCGCCGCCGGCGCCCTTATTGCCTGTAAGAGGCCTGCGAAGGTGCGGCGGAGAGTCGGTGGTAGGCGGCGTCGGGGACATTATAGCCCTCTAGCAGGAAGTAAGTCAACTAGTAAGCAATAGGGCAAGGGGGGGAAGCCATACAGAGCTATATAGATCGCAAAGAAGCCTATATAGCGCGATACTGCATTAAGAAGCGCGGTAGGGTTAGGGAGATTAGAAGATCGGATATAGGTTAAAGTCCTAGAGAAAAGAAGGCATAAAGGGTTAGCAGGGCAGGCCATATATATATAGGGGTCCCATATAGGTAATAGAGAAGACATAGATGAAAGCAACGAGAACAATAGGAAAGGATAGGAAAGATATAATCGGCGGTCTACTACGAGATTAAGGGGTCTTAATATATAAGCCATACGGCAGGGCTAAGCGTGAAGGGAAAGGTATAGCATTGTCTCTGATGCGTACGAGACATTGAACTAAAGGCGGGCACATAAGCGCCTAGGGACGGACCCAGACGTAGGCTATGGGGTCCTAGGAGAGAAGAGGGAAAGCGTGGCGCATAGAGCGTCAAGGACGAGAAGCCATTGGTAGGACCTACGTCTAGGGAACAGCCGAGGCCGCATCGGCCGCGGGTAGGGCAGTAGGCGTCAGTCGGTACGGACCGCAGACAGCGCGGGCATAATAGTAAGTAAGTAGCATATGTAAGGACATGCTAAGTCGGGAGGCCGAGGGCATATAGATATGTGATTAAGAAGCATGTGTTATGTGGAAGGCATGGGCCGAGCGGGAGCATGGCGAAGAGAGGGGGCTACACGCCAGCGGCCCGTATATGGAGAATGTTTGCCGAAGGAGGTGGTGGCATAGTAAGTAGGTAAGGCCAAGAGAGCGTACGCAGTAGAGGTAGCAGCATCCATCACGATGAAGCCAGCCAGTACAGAAGCGCAGCACGGGGCTGAGAGCAGCGCAGGCCGAGCACGGGAGGCACCCAGAGCCCCATATATAGCAATGAGGTTCAGGCCGATCTCGGCGGCGCCGGTGCCCGGCGCGGAGGGTCGGCAGGTGGCGCATGAGAGGGCGTCAGGGCTGGTGCTGCCGAAGCGAAGGCGACGGGGCGGCCGGCCGGCGAGGAATCCAGGAGGACCGGCGCGGGAGGCAGGCACGACTAGGGCCACGGCGGGGACGCCCCAGGCACAAGCGACCAGGGGCGATGGAAGGAAGACGGCGCCGTCGACACCGGAGACGAGGCGGGAGGCGAAACGTAGAGAAGCCGGCGAAGGCGAGGTGGCTTCCTCCTCACGCCGCCAAGCTCCGGCCGAGGCGCCGCCCGGGCAGGAAGGAGGCCGGGGCGGCCAAGGCAGCAGCGGATCGACAGAAGCCAGCAGCCGCTGTTCCGGGATATCCAGCCGCGGCCGACATCGGGGGAGGCTCTAGCGACACAGCCATGGAGCGCGGCAGGCCCGGCCCTAGGTCCGGCGGCACGGCAAAGACAGCTTCAGAGGATACAGCCCTGGCCGGGGAGCGGGCCAGAGGGTGCCACGGGGGACGCGGCCGAGGGCGCAAAGCCCAGTGCAGAAATGAAAAGCCAACGCGCCGGTATAGTTCCCAAGCAGGCTCCCAGGGTCGGTCGACGGAGAGAGGTGGTTAACGTGATGTAGATGAGACGACGATGGGCCCGCCGCCCCCTGGACAGAGACAGAAGAGAAAGCGCAGCCCGGTTGGCAAAGAAATCGAGGCAAGACATGGCGGCCGCGCGTCAAGCATGGCCGGGCCGTCCCTAGGCCCCACGGCAAGTCAACAGGCGCCTCGGGATATCCTGCCTCGGCCAGTAGCCACGATGGAGAGCGCTATAGGGGACACGGCTGAGGCTGTAGGGCCTGGCGAGGCAATAGAAGGCCAACGCGCAGGTAAGGACTATGAACGGTGCCAAGGTATATATATATAGATGTCTAATCGGATATAGATGGGATGACGAGAGGCCCGCTACCTCGAGAGAGACAGAAGAGGAAGGGCAACGCCGCCAGCGGACAGACCGAGGCAAAACGGAGTCGCGGCGACCAGAGGCGGCCAAGGCCAAGGCAGATGCAGGCCGAGGACCTGGCGGACGTGCTGCGGGGCCTCGAAGAGGAGTTCGAGGCGGGTGAGAGGCTGGCCGACGAGCGGGCGTGGTGCGCGCCGGTGCCGCGGGAAGGGAGGTCAGGACAGTGCGGAGGTTCTACCGGGCGTTCCACGACGCCGGCACGCTACCGACCGCGACGTGCACGCTATGCTACCGGAAGCAGGCCAGGTGGAGCTCAGGAGATGGCGTGGGAGGGCTGGTCGCGGCACGGCGCGGCGCAGGGAGGCGGGCGGTCGCCGTTCGGGTGCCGAAGCTGCTTCCCCGAGGGCGCGCCGGTGCCGGTGTGCGCCGAGTGCGCGCGGCGGGTCGGGCGCGACGGCGCATCGGCGGCGATGCACCTCCACCGGCGGCTCGGCTGCGAGCACGTCTACCCGGACGAGCTCAAGGGCCTGACGCCGGTCGAGGAGAAGCTGATCGCGCTCAACTCATGCTACGGCTTCGTGACGAAGTACAGCATCCCCGGCGGCCAGAGGCAGGGCGTGAGGTACCCGAGGCACGTCAAGGGCCACATCACGGTGTTCCCAAACGACGTCCAGGGCTCGCGACCAGGTGCTCCCGCACCCGCTGCTCCGGGTCATGGACGAGATCCACGTCTCGTGGCAGGGCGCCGAGGCCCGGGCCGCGGGACTTGTCCGGCCTGCTGTCTGTACGGCGGCGGCCGGTGGAAAGGGCGTTGGCGTGGCTTAAGGAGAATAACCCGCACTATAGCGAGGTCGAGGTCGACACGGCCGAGATGGACAGCTGGGGGGAGCCGGCGCACGGGGTGCCGGCGGCGGTGTGGGAGCGGCTCGAGCACAACGAGCCGTCGGCGCGCGAGAGGACGCGGACGGCGCAGCTGGTGCCGCCGACGGAGCGGGCCATGGACGACGAGGGCGTCGTCGAGATCGAGGAGGTGCTTGCGATGCTAAGGCAGGGCCGGGACCCCGCCGAGGGCCGGCCCGACTACGTACGAGGGGCGGGTAACGGCGAGGATCTAGAGGGCGCTAGGCCCGAAGAGGAGGGGACATAATTAACGAGGTAACGTCGTCCGGCATGTTCCCCCGACGGGGCGCGAGGTGGCGGACGCCGATAAGATCCGCTTCGCCCGCGAGGCTATCGGGACCATAGGCCCGAGGACATGGGTCAACATGGCGGCGGGAGGGGCGGCGGGAGGGGCGGCGAGGAGCAGCGGCCGTGGCGGCGACAGCGAGCCCTACATACAGGTGCGGCGCGGAGACGAATTTGCCGACTCGGCAGACGCGTCCTTCTTCGCCAGGGCCTTCCCGACCCTGTTGCCCTTTGGGCTAGGCGGGCCGAGGCTCGCCGACGAGGCCGCCGCGGGCGAGGGCGCGGCCGCGGCCGCCGGCCGGCGGGGCGGCGAGGCGGAGCGGGTCGCCGAGGGCCTCACGTCGACGCGGAACATGAACCTACAAGCCTGGGCCGACGTCGTACTACGGCGCCACGGCGGGCGGTTCGCGACGCACCCCATATTCGCCTTCCTCGTCTTCAACATGGGCGTACGGTCCAGGAATCGCCAGGCTAGTATGCTGGGCGTGACGAGGAAGAACTTTGCAAGGGTCGAGGGCCTGCTAAAGTCGTTAACGACGCAGAGACTCGAGGCGGCGAAGGTCGAGCTCGAGGCTACGGGCAAGACTAGCGACGACGGGGTGACGGAGCTCCTCCGGTCCCTCTCGGTGTTCGGGCACAGGCAGCCCATGTCCAGGGGAGAGCCGCCTAGGCATGCGGAAGAAGATACTCTCCCTTATTATTAGGTACGGGGTGCCGGTCATCTGGTTCACGCTGAACCCGAACGACATCACGAACCTAGTAAAGCTACGGCTGGCGGCGTACCGCGCCCGTGACCCCGACGCGGCCGAGGCCTTCCTAAGGGACCTCGGGAACGCGTATAAGCGGACGCGGCTCGCCATATCGGACCCGATGAGCTCGGCCGTCTTTTTCCACCGGGAGATGACGCTCTTCTTCGAGCACTACGTCCGGACCGGGGAGGAGTCGGTGTTCGGGCACGTCGGGGCCTACTACGGGGCCGTGGAGACGAACGAGCGAGGTGCCCTCCACCTCCACGGGCTCCTCTGGCTAAGGGGCAACAGGGGCCTCGGCGAGGCGCTCGCGGGCGCCGACACGGAGGAGCAGGCGGCGTGCCGGGAGCGAATCGTCCGCTACGTAGACAGCGTCTTCTCCGAGGTAAGGCAGCGATAAGGTTCTAGAGAAGGCCCTCCAGATATATGCCACTCGGTACGGACAGAGGAGAGGGTTCTAGGCTAACCCGGGGCCACAGGAGCTAGACGCAGAAGGCTACTGCGCCGTGCAGGCGGAGAGGTCGGCGACGGCGGACATATCGTCGCGGCTCGACGACGTCGCGCGCTTCACAGACGCCTTCAACGAGGAGGCCAACTTCTGCGCGGGCGCGACGCAGGTCCACACGCACAGCGCGACCTGCGTAAAGTACTCGCTCGGCGGCGGGGCGCGCGGGGAACCTCTGCCGGTTCAAGGCGCCGTGGAGGCTGGTGGAGAGGACGGCGCTGACGACGGACGGGGTGCTCGAGGTCCGGCGCACGCATAACATGGTCAACCGGTGGAACAGGGCGATGGCGGTCGGGCTGCGGCACAACCACGATATCTCGTTCATCGCGACGCAGCGTAAGACTATGGCCCTGATCTACTACATCACCAACTACGCGACCAAGGTCGAGGACCCGGCGTGGAAGCGGGTGGCCGCGGCGGCCGAGTTCCTCCCGACGCTAGAGGGGGAGCTAATAGAAGAGAACAGCGGCAGTAGTAGCGAGGGCAAGAGCGAGAGGAGAGGGCCCAGGGCTAACGAGGAGGTAGCGATAGGGCCAGAGCCTACTATAGGGAGGAATAAGACGAGGACGTTCCTACTCAAGGTAGCGAACCGGGTCTTCACAGAGCGGCCACTCTCGCAGGTTGAGGTAATAGCCCACCTCCTAGGGTATCCGGCGGAGTTCAGCAGCGGCTCGGCGTGGGCGTACGTCAATGCGAACCAGCTCTACTGGGCCGTCTTCCGCCGGTGGAGGCATCTCCAACGGGCAAGCGGCGCGGAGGCGACAGGCGACGCGCCGGACGAGACGGTCGTCGTGGAGGAGGCCGGGCCGAGAATTCCCCTCGTCGAGGCCTACCGTCACAGGGGGGAGCTCCTACAACGGCTTTGCCTCTACGACTATACGTCACTTATAAGGCTGAGGCGGGCCGGCGGCAGCGCCGACAGCAGGGCGGGCTGGGGCGAGATACCCCTCGCAGAGGGCTGCGCGGCAGGGAAGGGCTGGGTGCAGGTGCTTAGGCGACCGGGCAAGGCGGCGACGGTGCGGCTAGACGGGTACCTAAGCAAGGAGTTCAGTAAGGAAGACGAGGAGTCATGCCACCGAAGGTACGTATTATAAGGTAGGAAATGCCTATAGGAAAGGCAGCTTGAGGATACATATAGGCTAGGTCGGCTAACGGCACCCAGGGCGGCGGTGCAGCACCTGCCCTATTTATACCATGGGAGTCATTTGTCAGCATAGGAGCCGGCGACATCAACGATATCTGGGCACAGGCGCGATCGTCGCTCTCCCGAGGTCGCGCGGCTCGTAGACAACGTACAGCTCCTCCGGCGGTCAGCGGAGGACGCGAAGCGCGACGCCAAGCAGTGGGCCGCGACAGCCGAGGAAGACAGGTCGACAGCGCCACAGGCCGAAGACGAAGGTAGGGCCACGGGGAGCGGCGGCGAGGGGGCGTACCGCGGCGGCGGGGCGGGCGACACGGCCCGGCTCATCGACGTGGTCCGGAATGCAGCCGCCGCGGGGCAGGTGACGGCGCAGTCGACAGAGCTGCTAGGGATGACGCAGCAGCTCTGCCGGTTCCAGCAGCCCGGGCTCGAGTCAGCCGCCGAGCTCGCGGCGACGGTGGTAGCGGAGGATGGGCCCGTGAGGCGAGTCAACCTACCGGGCTCGGCGCTCGGGGCGGCGCTGCCGCGGCAGGAGGAGGTGCGGGCTATTAAGTCGCAGCAGAGGAGCGCCGCGCGGGAGCGGAGCGGGCCATACAGGGCATCCAGGGCTCACAAGGCGGCGGGGCGGCGGCAGGCGTCGGGGCGGACGCGGCGCGGCCCTCCGCGGGGTCATGGGGGGGTTCGGCGAGGACGACATGGACGTGACGGCGGCCGACGGCGACCCAGACGTAGGCACGGCGGCGGGGATGCGCGTGCGGCTCGGCCCGTCGAGCTCGTTCCTCGCCGCCGGCCGGGAGCTGGCCAAGGAACTGACGCTGAACGAGAAGCAGTCAATTGCCCTCCTCATCGTATGCCGGCAGCTCGACCAGATCCGGCAGGCCAACGAGGCAGGCGGCGACGGAGAAGGCCAGCTCTGCCTATTCGTCGGCGGCGAGGGCGGCACCGGCAAGTCGCGCGTCATAGAGGCGCTCGTCGAGCTGCTCGCCCGGAGGGAGCTCTCGAGCCGGATGCTCGTGACGGCGACGTCGGGCACGGCTGCGGCGCGGATCAACGGCATCACCTCCACTCGGCCTGCGGCCTCACGGTCGGCCAGGCGGGAGGGGCGACAAGGAGCTGGACGGGTGCGGCTGCCGGGCGCGGGCGAGCGCTTCGTCGACGGCCGGTCGCGCATGGACTGGCGGGAGAAGGAGGTACTCGTAATCGACGAGGTCAGCATGCTCGGGGCGCGGACGCTGCACGCGGCCAACGAGCAGCTCCGCCGGCTGCGGGGGTCGGCGCGAGACTTCGGCGGGATCCCGGTAGTGATCCTCTGCGGCGACTTCCACCAGTTCCGGCCGGTGCAGGAGCGGTCGATCCTGCTGCCGAGCGCGGCGGTGTCGTGGGACGAGGACAGGGCGTTCGCGGCCGAGCAGCGGCGGCAGCACGACGAGGCGCACGCGCTGTGGCGGCGCTTCACAACGGTCGTCATGCTCGACGAGCAGATGCGGGCCGCCGGCGACCCAGAGCTGCGGCGGCTGCTCGGGCGGATCCGCCGCGGCGAGCAGGACCGGTCGGACCTCGAGCTGCTCAACTCGAGGTGCCACCGGCCCGGCAGGCGGATCGCGTGGGAGACGGGCGTGACGGTGGTCACGCCTCTCAACCGCAACCGCTGGAACCTCAACCTCGAGGCGGCGCTCGCGTTCCGGGCGCTGCGGCGGACGGCGGCGCGCGTCTTCCTCTCCGAGCACAAGTGGAAGGACGGCGAGCCGACTGAGGAGGAGGCGGTGCTGATGCTCGGCCAGGGCGACGACAGCGCGACGCCGGTGCCGGCCGTCTTCGTCTTCGTGCCCGGCATGCCGGTCGTCGTGAACCAGAACACGCACCAGGGGCTGAAGGTGGTGAACGGGGCCGGCTACACGGCGGTGGCCGTGATCCCCGACCGGGCCTTCCCGGCCACCGGGTGTCGGCGGAGCTGACGCTGCACTTCGGGCCGCCGGCGGGCATCGTGCTGGCGTCGGAGACGACCGGGACCTCCACTTCGTAGGGATGCCGGCCGGGACGATCCTGCTGACGCCCATCAGCGTGAAGATCACGGCGCAGCGGAAGCGGCCGTGGCAGCGCAACGACGTGAGCCGGCGGGGCCTGCCGTGCGCGGCGGCCTTCGCCTGCACCGACTACAAGGTGCAGGGCGGGACGATCGAGCGCGTCGCGCTCGAGCTGCGGGGCGAGGACGACGACGGTCGAGGGCAGGGCGGTGGCGTCGCCGTGCGACCCGTACAGCCTCTACGTGCAGCTCGCGGTGCCCGACGCTCGACGGCATCACGCTCGTGTCGGAGGTGCGGGAGCGGGACTTCATAGGAACCGGGTGCCGAAGGAGATGACAGCGGCGCAGGCACGGCTGGAGGAGCTAAGCGGGCTGACGACGCGAGAGGCGGCCGGCCTACTCCGCGGGTGAGGACGCGGGCGAGGAGGGCCGAGGCAGCCCGGCCCGAAGAAGACCAATGAGAGGAGTCTTCAAGAGATGGCCAAGAGAGGGGGCCAATCAGGAAGAGGCTTCAAAGGGGCAAAGAGGAAGAAAGAGCGGGAAGAGGGGTCGAGTTACGACGAATCAGAGGTAAGAACGGCGACGAATGAGAAGATGAGGGACACGGGGTAAAAAGCGCCGACCAATCAGAGGGCCGGAAAGTGGGTTGGAAATTTTTGGAAAACAGGTAAGGCAACCCCGCACGGGTTGCGCAATAAGCCTTTCGGAACGAAGATTACGACCGGAAAGAAAAGAGCAAACATAAGAGAGGCAGAAGGAATAGATAAGGGACGAGAAGCCATTGGTAGGACCTACATCTAGGGAATAGCCGAGGCCATATCGGCCGCGGGGTAGTGCAGCAGGCGTCAGTCAGTAGGGACCATAGACAGCTAGCGCGCGCATAATAGTAGGTAAGTAGCATACGTAAGGACATGCCAAGTCGGGAGGTAGAGGGAATATGGATATGTGATTAAGAAGCACATGTTATGCGCCGCGCGGGAGCATGGCGAAGAGAGGGGGCTATACGTCAGCGGCATATATATGAAGAATGTTTGCCTAAGGAGGTAGTAGCATAGTAAGTAGGTAAGGCCAAGAGAGCAGACGCAATAGAGGGAGCAGCACCCATTACGATGAAGCCAGCCAGCATCGAATGGCAGCACGGGGCGGAGAGCGGCGTAGGCCCAGCACGGGAGGCAGCCAGAGGACCATACACAGCAATGAGGTTCAGGCCGATCTCGGCGGCGCCGGTGCCCGGTACGGAGGGCCGGCAGGGGGCGCATGAGAGGGCGTCAGGGCTGGTGCTGCCGAAGCGAAGGCGGCGGGGCGGCCGGCCGGCGAGGAATCAGGAGGACCGGCGCGGGGAGGCAGGCACGACCAGGGCCACGGCGGAAGGACGCCCCAGGCACAAGCGACCAGGGGCGATGGAAGGGAAGACGGCGCCGTCGACACCGGAGACGAGGCGGGAGGCGAAAAGAGAAGCCGGCGAAGGCGAGGTGGTTTCCTTCTCGCCAAGCTCCGGCCGAAGCGCCGCGGCCGGGCGGGAAGGAGGCCGGGGCGGCCAAGGCAGCAGATCGACATAAGCCAGCAGCCGCTATTCCGGGATATCCAGCCGCGGCCGACATCGGGGCGGCTCTGGCGACACAGCCGTGGAGCGCGGCGGGCCAGCCCAGGTCCGGCGGCACGTCAAAGACGGCCTCAGAGGATACAGCCCCGGCCGGGAGGGCCAGGGGTGCCATCGGGGACGCCGCCGAGGCGCACAGCCCAGTGCAGAAATGAAAAGCCAACTCGCCGGTATAGTTCCCAAGCAGGCCCCAGGGTCGGTCGACGGACAGAGGTGGTTAACGTGATGTAGATGAGACGACGATGGGCCCGCCGCCCCTCGACAGAGACAGAAGAGCGCAGCCCGGTCGGCAAAGAAATCGAGGCAAGACATGGCGGCCGCGCGTCAAGCATGGCCGGGCCGTCCCTAGGCCCCACGGCAAGTCAACAGGCGCCTCGGGATATCCTGCCTCGGCCAGTAGCCGCGATAGAGAGCGCCACAGGGGACATGGCTAAGGCCGCAGAGCCTGGCGAAGCAATAGAAGGCCGACGCGCAGGTAGGGATCCTAAACAGGGCCAAGGGTGTGCATAGAGACGTCTAATAGGGTATAGATGGGATGACGAGAGGCCCGCCACGTCGAGAGAGACAGAAGAGGAAGGGTGTAACGACGAGACAGAACTAACAACGGGGTGCACGTGCCCGTGCACGGACCACACCCCAAGGCTGTATATAAATCTCTGCCTACGGGGCTTCTCTTCTTTCTTTCTCTTGGACCCCTTAAGCTAGAAACTTCGTCCATAGAGCCAATACAAGGATAGCCGTCAAGGCTTAGTTCTGGCCGTGACAAAGGGCAGTGCCGCCAGCGGACAGACCGAGGCAAAACGGAGCCGCGGCGACCAGAGGAGGCCAAGGCCAAGGGAGATGCAGGCCGAAGACCTGGCGGACGTGCTGCGGGGCCTCGAAGAGGAGTTCGAGGCGGGCGAGAGGCTGGCCGAGGAGGGCGTGGTGCGCGCCGGTGCCGCGCGAAAGGGAGGTCAGGACGGTACGGAGGTTCTACCGGGCGTTCCACAACACCAGCGCGCTACCGACCGCAACATGCAGTCTCTGCTACCGCAAGCGGGCCGGGAGGAGCTAAGGAGATGGCGTGGGAGGCGAGTAAACCTACCGGGCTCGGCGCTCTCGGGGCGCTGCCGCGGCAGGAGGAGGTGCGGGCTATTAAGTCGCAGCAGAGGAGCGCCGCGCGGGAGCGGAGCGGGCCATACAGGGCATCCAGGGCTCCCAAGGCGGCGGGGCGGCGGCAGGAGTCGGGGCGGACCGCGGCGCGGCCCTGGGGGATTCGGCGAGGATGACATGGACGTGACGGCGGCCGACGGCGACCCAGACGTAGGCACGGCGGCGGGGATGCGCGTGCGGCTCGGCCCGTCGAGCTCGTTCCTCGCCGCCGGCCGGGAGCTGGCCAAGGAGCTGACGCTGAACGAGAAGCAGTCGATCGCCCTCCTCATCGTCTGCCGGCAGCTCGACCAGGTCCGGCAGGCCAATGAGGCAGGCGGCGACGGAGACGGGGAAGGTCAGCTCTGCCTGTTCATCGGCGGCGAGGCGGCACCGGCAAGTCGCGCGTCATCGAGGCGCTCGTCGAGCTGCTCGCCCGGAGGGAGCTGTCGAGCCGGATGCTAGTCACAGCGACGTCGGGCACGGCGGCAGCGCGGATCAACGGCATCACCCTCCACTCGGCCTGCGGCCTCGCCGTCGGCCAGGGCGGCCAGGCGGGAGGGGCGACCAAGGGGGTGGACGGCGTGCGGCTGCCGGGCGCGGGCGAGCGCTTCGTCGACGGCCGGTCGCGCATGGACTGGCGGGAGAAGGAGGTGCTGGTGGTCGACGAGGTCAGCATGCTCGGGGCGCGCACGCTATACGCCGCCAACGAGCAGCTCTGCCGGCTGCGGGGGTCGGCGCGGGACTTCGGCGGCATCCCGGTGGTGATCTTCTGCGGCGACTTCCACCAGTTCCGGCCGGTGCAGGAGCGGTCGATCCTGCTGCCGAGCGCGGCGGTGTCGTGGGACGAGGACAGGGCCTTCACGGCCGAGCAGCGGCGGCAGCACGACAAGGCGCACGCGCTCTGGCGGCGGTTCACGACGGTCACCATGCTCGACGAGCAGATGCGGGCCGCCGGCGACCCCGAGCTGCGGCGCCTGCTCGGGCGGATCCGGCAGGGCGAGCAGGACCGGTCGGACCTCGAGCTGCTCAACTCGAGGTGCCACCGGCCCGGCAGGCGGATCCCGTGGGAGACAGGCGTGACGGTGGTCACGCCGCTCAACCGGAACCGCTGGAACCTCAACCTCGAGGCGGCGCTCGCGTTCCGGGCGCGGCAGCGGACGGCGGCGCGCGTCTTCCTCTCCGAGCACAAGTGGAAGGACGGCACGCCGACGGAGGAGGAGGCGGTGCTGATGCTCGGCCAGGGCGACGACAGCGCGACGCCGGTGCCGGCCGTCTTCGTCTTCGTGCCGGGCATGCCGGTCGTCGTGAACCAGAACACGCACCAGGGCTGAAGGTGGTGAACGGCGCCGGGAACACGGCGGTGGCGGTGATACCCGACCGGGCCTTCCCGGCCACCGCGTCTCGGCGGAGCTGACGGTGCACTTCGGGCCGCCGGCGGGCATCGTGCTGGCGTCGGAGACGACCAGGGACCTCCACTTCGTCGGGATGCCGTCCGGGACGATCCTGCTGACGCCCATCACCGTCAAGATCACGGCGCAGCGGAAGCGGCCCTGGCAGCGCAACGACGTCGGCCGGCGCGGCCTGCCGTGCGCCGCGGCCTTCGCCTGCACCGACTACAAGGTGCAGGGCGGGACGATCGAGCGCGTCGCGCTCGAGCTGCGGGGCGAGGACGACGACGGTCGAGGGCAGGGCGGTGGCGTCGCCGTGCGACCCGTACAGCCTCTACGTGCAGCTCTCGCGGTGCCCGACGCTCGACGGCATCATGCTCGTATCGGAGGTGCGGGAGCGGGACCTTATAGGAACCGGGTGCCCGGGGAAATGACAGCGGCGCAGGCCCGGCTAGAGGAGCTAAGCAAGCAGACAACACAGGAAGCAGGTAGCCTACTCCGCAGCTAAGGTAGGCGGGATTAGGACCATCACGATATTTATTCAGGGGAGAGGAAGACATATCTTAGCAAACTCGCCACCAAAGCGTCTTACTTCATCATCACCGAGAAGAAGATGAGAAGAAGGATAGAAGTAGGGATAACAAGGGCAACAACAGCTAGACTAGAAAAGGCAAGCGTACACACATATACCACTGGGTAGAATAGGAAGGCATAGATCTAGACAAAGACGGGCCAATATAGAAGGGGGGGCTTTAAAGAGCGCGAAAAGACCAAGCACAAGAGCCTCCAATCAGGAGTACGATTCAAAGGGCCCAAAACGCAGAGGGGGGGAGGAGGGGGAGGAAGGACGTAGGAAGGGGTAAGTTATGGCCATATGGCCAATCGGGGGCGAGAACGCCGACGAATGAAAAGAGCTCAAAAGCGCCGACCAATCAGGGGGCCGGAATGGCGGGGGGAAATTGATGGCGAATTTTTTTTTCCCCGGGGAGGAACCCTTAAGTCCTTTCGTTCCGAAAGGCAAAGTCCTTTCGTTCCGAAAGGCAAAGAGTGGTCTCGCAGGGTAAGAAGAAGCCTTTCGTTCCTCAAGGCACCTTTCGTCACTCGTTCCTCGTTCCTCAAGGCACGGTCGCAAGGCGATTGTGCGTCAACATCTTGTGCAAACCGATCCTGTTATTATCCATCCGTTCTTCGAACCGGATGCCTTTAATCCAGATGTCTCCTCGGGGCATATGCTGCTCCAAGAGCTTGCGAAGCAGCGCTGACCCCAATTCAAGTATCAAGTCACGTATATCAAGTAAGTCAAGTAAGTTGACCACGCAATCTATTTCAAGTAAGTAAGTTTATTTCTCCCCAAACTTGATATACTTGAAATAGTAGATATTAAGGAGCTTTTCGTATAGTGGCCCTAGGAGGGCCGTAATGAAGGCATTCGCAGCCCGATCGGACCAAGCTGTAGGGTAAATACGGGTTGATGGTGGCTTCCAATGGATCGCACCAATGCCAGGACCCCTCACAGGCAGGGGTTCGCCAGACGTAGTGTGTTTCCCACATGGCCAAGACGCGTCACACGCGTCGCCCCTGAATCGAAGCCCAGGTCGGCCGCTCGTAACCTTATGTGGAAGCCGTGGTCCGCAATCCGCGATCCGCCAATGAGCCATCATGGCAGCAAGGCAACAGCAGTCTTTAGAAACACTCCTAGGGATCGGCGGCGGACACAAACCTCTGAGGCAGCAGCTTGACTCCGCATCCATCAAGGCTGAATCCGGGAGAGCGACTCTCGCTGACCTCCCGACGGTCCAGATCGGCTGCAAGCGATATATACCGGAGGAGTATATTGCAAGCAAGAATCGCAAAGGTCGGCGGAGCTGGATCCGAGCACACGGCTACTTCCTCACAGAGATCAGTCCTGATTTGCAAACGTTACAAACCTACTGGGTTTGTTCGAAAGGTGATAAACGCGGGAAGAGCTCGATGTTCGTCGCGTCGAACACTACGTCGCCAATTGAGCATCTGCGAAGGTATTTGGCTTCCGTACTGGCCCCGCACTGTATTTTTGCAGCGCTTACCAGACCTAGATCCCATATGATCACTGAAACGGTCCATCCGTTGGGTGACGCGGACGAAGAATCCCCTTGCGCAGACATTCACCCTCCCTCGAAACGACGCTGTTTGGAGATACCTACCGCAAGATGCAATGTCAATAAAGCCAAGGAGCTGATAGTCGGTTGGATCGTCACTGCGAATCTGCCTTTCACGGCGCCATCCAATCCGTACCTGCAACGAATCCTTGAGCTCCACGATGCGTCGTTGGCAAAGGAGGTGCCATGGAGCCGGCAGTCCGTGCGCGGTACCATGCGGAAACTGTATGAGACAAAGAAGGGCGCTATATCGAGGCAATTGGAGAAGGCAGTCACAAGGATTAGCTTCAGCTTTGACATGTGGACTTCTCCAAATCGGTACGCCTTCCTTGGTCTGCATGCTCACTATTCTCGCGAAGGAGAGAGCAAAAGTGGGCATAAAAGTGGATAAAGGGACTTTTCGAAGGTCGAGTATCATAAGATCAGATGGTATGCCAAAATACATGTGTTAATTTCTCTGTTTTTGGTTGCCCTGTATCCTTCTAACCCTCCCCTTTTATATCCCTCTGTGCCTTCCCTATGTTCATATCCCGTGTTCAGGTAGAATATACATTCTATCAGGAAGAGGGCACTCCTTGCCTCTTACTGAAGGCCGCGTAAGTCATCTACGTCAGCACTTTCAGCTCGATCTCCCCGATCAATAGCTTTCCAAGCTATTAGGTCGATAGATCAGTCTCTTGAGGTCCCCGAGCCAGTAAGAGATATACCGGACTCCTCAAAAGGTCCCCGTTCGGATAGGAGATCCTCCGGACCCCTCAGTGGTCTAGGAAGAAGAAATAACAGTCTGCAGACCTCCCTTCTTACCTGGTTTCAAGCTGTATTACCTAGAGAGACCTAGAGACCTCAACTCGTTCGGACCTTCTTCTCGACAACTATCTCGACGTCTCCTACCAAGTCCAATCGCGACTTCTTGCCCTGCGCCGTGTGTGGGGATGCCATTCCGGGGATAGCCAAGCAACGACAATATATGACATCTTCGGCGAGTATGGGATACGAGATCGAATTGGCGCGGGTGTCTGCGACAATGTGTCATCAAATGACACATGCTTGGCGAGCCTCTATCGTCAACTCCGTCCTGCGGTGTCCAAGGAGGATATCAGTGCCCACCGAACCCGATGCTTTGGACATATCATCAACCTTGCAGCTCGCGCGTTCCTCTGGGGAGAAGATCCTGACTCATTCCAGCGAGAAGCCTTCACAGAAGCGGTTTTCCAAGTTGAAGAGCGTGAGCTTCGACTTTGGCGGAAACGGGGAGCGGTGGGCAAGCTGCACAATATCGTCCGATTTATCAGGGCCTCCCAACAACGGCGAGAATTGATGAAGTCCCTGGCCAGCAACTGGCGCGACGAAGATGATGCTCAGCTATTTGAGGAGGAGCGAGCTGCCATCGACCTCGAACTGATGCAGAACAATGAAACGAGATGGAATTCAACCTTTCTGATGATCCAACGTGCCATTCGCAAACGAGAGCAAATTGACCATTTCATCGCATATCTCGAAACGAAGACGACAGAGCCCCGACAACGTGTGCCTGTAGAGGATCATCTTTCACCACAGGACTGGCTCCTCTTGGCGGAGATACAGAGCCTACTAAAACCTCTCTATGAGATCACCATGAGGTGCCAGGGTTGGGCTAAAGAAGGCCGTTATGGCGCCTTGTGGGAAGTGATGATCGGAATGGAATACTTGCTCAACTTTTTCGAGGAGCAAAAGCTACTGTTCTCGCCGCCTGATGCTAATGCTGAGGGCCTACGGAACGCCAGAGTCTCGGCAACCACGAGTACGGCTTCACAATTCACGATTGCTTACCTCGTGTCTATCTTGCTAACAGTTTCGCGGGACACAGTCCTCTACGAGCTGGTCGGGATGGCGGACGCGAGAGACACTTGCCCGAGCACACCCGAGACGAATACACTGGTGCATTCTTGCAAGCTGAACGCCTTGACGATGATCACCGACGATGCATACAAATTTCTATCAATAACTGTTGGTCAAAGCTTGACGAGTATTACAGCCTACTTGGCCAATCCCCCCTTTACACGGCTGCTGTCATTCTTCACCCGCGCTGGAACGTGTCCTGGCTTGAGGCGAACTGGACCAGCCGCGAGCAACTGGTGTGGCTACGGGACGCTAAGACCAGTGTCTGGAAATACTTTGAACAACACTATCCACCTAAGGAGCGGTCCGATGCAATGAGCACCTTGATCGGAAAAGCGATGAAACAAGACGAGCCTAGTCAATTCGATCAGTGGATGCAGAGCCATGATCGGTTCAGGATGGAGGAAGACGATGAGCTTGGAGCTTATATGAGGCAGGCGCCAGTCCGGCGAGAGAACCTAAACCCTATTCTATGGTGGAGGGATCACCAAGAAGAATACCCACGCCTGAGCAAGTTTGCCCTTGACATACTGGCAATTCCTGCCATGTCTGTGGATCCTGAACGGACTTTCAGTGTCACAAAGTTGACAGTAAGCTCGCAGAGGCACAGCTTAAGCCCTGAGATCATTGAGGAAATACAGTGCCTACGGGATTGGCTGGCCCATCGAGCGATCACTGTGGGCGAAGTCGTTAGCTTTGGTTCGGAACTGATGGGTTGTGATGAAGAGGTGGCGTGATAATGCGCGGGGCCTGTCGTGAAAACGGGTTAACGATCTAGGTCCGGAGGTTACCTAGTCGGGCTGACTCTAGCAAAGGTGACTGAGAAGGATGAGTAATGTTGTTGTTAAGCGGTGGTATCGAACCTTCTAGATGACAACGTCATCTAGGCGGCCTGGGTGGCGAAATCGCCACCACAAGGCAGCACAGGTGACAGAACTATAAGAAGTCACTTTTTGTTAGGGAGGAAGAAGAATAAAAGGATAAGGAACTTAATCAATTCATCACTTGCACCCTCTCTTCGCGAGAGGGCCTGGCCCTGGCGTCAGATATCAAGTATTTCAATTTAATTCAAGTTAAGTAAGTTGAGCGACGAATTTATTTCAAGTAATCAAGTTAGACCCCCGAACTTGACTTACTTGAATTGATGTCAGCGCTGTTGCGAAGAGAACCGACGAGCTGGGAATGACCCTAGGGGCAGAAAACAAGGAGATATATTACGGAGAGAATGAATTCCTGGTTTGGTGGGATGGTCTTCACGAGTTCATGCAACCTCCTGGGAGCAGAATGACACATAAGAATGAGATTGAAAGAATGGTACGCAAGATTGTTGTACGCTATCATATGCGCGACATGGGTGACAAGGGACGCCACTTCGCGACAGAGCTGGAGCGACTGTTCGAACTGGCCGGAGCTGAGCGAATTGCGATCGAATTCCTGGGCAGCGGAACAGCCGAGGAAGCAATTCTGCGACACAAGCAGTCATACAGGGTATTTCAACCATCGTCAGGGCTCTTTTACGCTACTTTGGCGACGCTTTCACCATACGAAAGGCTCTCGGAGGGTGGGTTCTTCTGAATGCCGCGAGGTTCTCATGTTTGCGCTCGTACTGGGACTCACCTTCCGAATCCGCGAGGGAGAGAGCGAGCAGGAGCGAGGCGACTTTCGAAGAATTCATGCAAATGCGGGTCGATCGTTGGATAGACGAACACAGCGTAACAGAGCCAAGGTTGCAAATTCTAGACCATGAGCAAGGGCTGACGCTCCTCACTGCCGATCTTGGCCGGTGTCCAGCCTGGAACCAGAAAACGTCCCAAGTCAGAGCACCTTTGCAAAAAATATTGGTGTTCTCTGCTCAGAGGTGTTTTGGAATGTTAATAATCCAGTGTCACGTATCACAGCTTCTGAAACGTCATGCTGGATCACCGCCAGCTTCGCCGCCATGACCAGGATATATATTGCACGAATGTGTGCATCCGATCCTTTCCTTTTCTTTTGTCCTTTAGACAACTCTTATCAATCAATCGGTCACCAAAGCCTACCTGATGTGACGATAATTACGGGACATCCAGCCATTGTATAGCACTCCTCGGAACATCATGCCTGTACTAGCCGTGGACCCTTGGAATGGTGTGACGTTCCACGACCCCGGATGCGAGAACTTCGTGAATGGGGTCTCCAGTCATGGACTTCAGGATGCGATATGTCTGACAAGTTTGGGGAGAGGGAACCTGAAGGCTGGGATAGAAGCTAATTGGCACGGTACGTTACACCTCATTGCGTAGCGCGCAGCTCAGCCAATGATACGGATATGATTGCAATAGCGTACTAAGATATACTCAGCCCCATGGCAAGCAAGGTTCGGAATCAACTCTTCAAGTGTTGCCTCACTCCATGTTCTGCTGTCCTCACTACTCGCGCGAGTCGGCCACTCTCTTTCTACCATCCTGCTTGTATCAATATTTCGCCGTAAAATAGCAATCAGCACGGTCTATAGCAGCCCGGTTCACCAGTTTCTCAGCCCGATCACAGCGCAAGTACGATCACTTGACTCCGGGAAGAAACAGAGTGTTATGAACCAACAGGCGACCGTCAGGCAGGCTGAGGCAGGCCGACTGGAACGAGCCAGCGACAGGGATCTTGCGTAAGACCGGCAGAATCCCCAGAAAAGGAAAAAGTTGTGACAAGGCACGCGCAACCCTGGCTCAGGAGGATCACGGGGAGCCGCGTGAATCCAGGAGCGCTGGGATCACGGTGATCCAAGTGATCCAAGGAAGATCAGTGAAGAGCTCGATGAGTACAACACATATATTACAGTCATTACCTAAGATTAGATAGCCAGATCTTCACCGCCACGCCAGCGCCAACTATTTGACATAAATGGGTGCCCCACCCATCGCTGGTACACCCCCCTCACCGGTACAGCAAAAAGGTGCCCTTACCATACAAAGGTCGCGAGATCACTTCTACCTGACCGGATTGAGAAATAGTGGATAGAGGTAAGAAGGGAAAGAAGAACAAAGGGCCGCCACCTAGTGGCCGGGGCAGATCCTTCCAAAGAAAGAGCTCGCTTTTGCCAGCTTGACGAACTGGTCAAAGTCTTTGCCCGCACAATTCAGAGCCCGCTATCTCAATTGGACATGTCCATTTGAGTCGTCCAGTGTTGGATGTTGGACGCCAGCCTGGGCGCGGTCACAATTGGGCCAGCCAGATCGTGGTTAGGTCGCCTGAACAAGGTGCGATTTGGACAGTAAAGGCTGCTGACCCAGGCCATTCGGTAGCGCTATGGACCTGTCAGGCCAAGAATGGACGCAATATAAGCCGAGTGTGCTCTATCAGACGCTGAACATGCCCTGCGAGTGGTGGGCTATAAGGTATGGTCGCAGCAAACTTCTTACAATGTAATACGGTGGCGATATCTCTGCATGCCGATTGGTTGCCAGGCCTGTAATTTGGTCCGGCGGCTGGGACCTGTTCAGCTATTGGCTACAGCACCTTACATGCTTTCGAAGGTGGCGCGGATTCCCGTTCCATATTACTTGGGGTATTGGTAACGAGGACGGATCATTCCTCCGAGGACTGCTTTCCAGATCCGAGTCCTGCTTTTCTTTCTTCTTAGCCCACCACTTCCCATTCAATGGACACCTAGTACCTCTCACTGCAGTCTTGAAGGAACTTCATTGCAAGCTGGCCTTGATTTTCATAACCACTTCGCCATTGGAGTCTCTTCATTACCTGTCATTCGCTTTATGCCCTCCCAGACGATGGACAGCCAAGCAAGACTTCCCCGACGAGCACTGCAGAGGCGTAATGTTCGCCGAAAAATGTTGACACAGGGCGACTGCCCCCGGTCCCAACAAGCTCAATCGCCCACTGAAGATAATGCCCGTACAAACGTCCCCAGCTGCGACTTCGAACTTCAACGCGCAACTGGCAGGAACACCAAACAGGAACAGACCCTAGCATCTCTGCCTAGAATCGGGTCGCAGGCAGACCCCTTTGTCAGTTCTGCTCCCAACACGCTCTCCGATATCGACTCGGATGGAGATGGAGAGGACGAGTTCTCGTCGCTCGAAGAAAATGTGCTATATGAGCGTTTTCGAGCGGAGGGACCAACTCTAGCAAACCACTGCAAAAAGACCTTAAAAGCGATGGCTGGAGAAGAGGATCAATGGATCCAGTAGGTTACGTTTATGGAGAGGGAGACGGAATGGTCTACCAGCGCTGACGATTCATTCGACAGGTTTTGCCGACGCCGAAATGAAGAACCAATTGAGTCAATGTGTCGATGTGATGCGGCATTATTCAAGGTTTACTTGGACCTGAGAGTGAAAAAGTCGAGAATCAAGAAAGAGTCCACCATTGCGTTATACTGGAAACGATTGAGCCAGGTCTACGCACAGAAAAGTGCTAAGTGGATGACCGAAAGCGTTCTTTTCGATATTCGAAATGTAAGTTAGTCGGTTAAGTTTCACAATCAGTGGCTGACGACACCAGTGGATTCCGACCTACCTTACACCCACAAGTACGGCTTGGACACATCCAAAAAAGAAAAATCCGGCATCTTCATCGACGACCTGGCCATCATGCTGAACCACCTTTGGATCCGCGACGAGGAGATTTTTACTCACGAGCGACTCCGAGTCCAGTTATCGGCCAATTTGATCCTGGCAGGCGCTACGGCGACCCGACCGGGAGCCTTGATTGGGCAGCTGCTCTACGAGAACTTAGAGTTCCAAGTGTTTCCTCCGGTAAAGGAGACACCCGGCCGCGTATTGCTCTGATCGTAAATCTAGAGCACATCAAGCGGACAGCGGGAGCTCAGAGCCAAAAGATTCGCCTTCCGCGAAGATGATTTGCTCTTGTACGACCCGCTGATCCCGATGATGGCTCTGGTATTTTGTGACGGTGCGTTCGTCAATGATTTGGCAGGTCCACAGAGCTTGTATAGCTTCGTGGTGCCACCTGAATCCGATCGCATTCGTCTCCTTTGGAAGAAAGAGTGGCTGAAGCGCCCCGTTTTCCGAGACGTTGAAGACACTGAGCACGGCATACAGATCTCACTAGAGAGGCCACTTGACTACAAAAAAGAACGACGACATTTAATTAGACTGGGACGTTCGATTGGAATTGAGAAGCAGCTCGAATGGTATGACCTTCGCCGAGGGTCTGGCAAAAAACTAAACGGTTCGTGCCCCCAGTTCGTCCATTTGACAGCATTAATAACGCCGTAATGCAGAAGCGCTCACGCCAGAGGAGAGAAACAAAATCATGGGACATCGAAAGGGAGATTCGAGCACTTACTTGCAATATTACATGTCGAACTTCATTGACGTGGATTGCCAGTCAATCTGCTTCGGCACAGCCCCGCAACACGACCTTGTGCAGTTAGCCGCCCGCCTTCGCCGCCATGACGGCGCTCCAAAGAACTGACAGCCCAACAAATTGCAAAAATCCATAAAACGAGAAACTTGCCAAATATTGTGCCGAGAGAAACCGTGCGATGCTAGAATGGAAACGCCAGGGCTACCGCAGCCGAGAACTCGCCGAAGGCACCGAAATGCAGAAGCGATACGACCGCTACAGCAAGAAGATTAATAACCTGCGCAGGGTCTTGAAGGCGTCTCGACTGCAAAAAGCCATTCAAGACTTTCACACTAATGTCCATGTGGACGAGGTTAACCGACAACTCCGGGGTATAAGGCCTGCCGATGTCATTTCACCGCCGAACATAGAGTATGACTTACCAGAGCGGGCTCAGGTTGCATTTCTCTTTTCACGGGCGGCTGAGTTAACAGACACGGGGTCTTTGCACTCTTTACGCGTTGATTTGATATCTGCGCTGGCCCAGCTTTGCAAGCGACGCGAAAGCCCTTGTCGTGGGACAGAGAAAAGAGGCCGCAAACAAGCGGTCACGAGGCGTCTTCGCTCTTACCGCGCGCAAGGAACCTATGAAAATGGCGGTAAGGCCAATATTCCGGAACTGGAATCACCTGGAAAACCAAGTGAGTCTACGGTTGATTTGTCGGAGGGTGCAAGACCGATGTGCCCATTTTGTCGATGGCAAGGCAGCCATGGAAGGAGCCAACGGATTAAAACATGGCGACTGAGTAACCTGGCAAGACATATTCGGGGACAGCATCTCAAAAGGGACGGACGGCATTTCTATGCCCTGGCAAAACTGTGAAGCAGTTCTTGCAGACGCAGAACACTTCGCAAACCATGCGTCCCGACATGGGCTTGATTTACCACCGAGTATACTAAGGCGATAACTTTTCTTCGAATGATGGAGAGATGGAAAAAATATTGAATAGTGTCGGTAGGTCTCTACACAGGCCTGCGTGCAAATCGCAATGGTATGTGTAATCGTTGATGTCTGTTCTAGAAAGGGGGAAGAGGGGGCAAAGGGCACGGAGCTAGCTATGTGTCCTCCGCTATCCTCAACTGCACACGTGAGAGCGCACGTGACCTATCTAGATGGGTACAATGGATTACTACAATTCCCACAAATAGCTTAGTACTTATGTGCAGATACTTAGCCAAACATTCTTAGTATGTTTCCAAACCGGCTGGTACTTAAGGGATTTTCCGATGATCTGCCGGATCCCGTGATCCGCCGCCACTTACACCGACATTTTGAGCCTCCATGGCGTAGTGGTGACACGTCTGGAGCCTCTGCGTCGCAGAGGGGTCGGTTCGAAGCCGGCTGGAGGCACCCCTGGTGAAACAGGGCACACCGATACTGTATGTACATGCAACACAGGAACCTGGTTCAACCGATATTTCTTTACTCTGATCATGGCAGAGCCTGAAGTGGCGCCTCCGGCCGACGTGGGGGCGGGGCTGGATCCAACTAGCCCGTCGCCATTGACGCGTCCGACGCGAGGGATGACGCCCAGCGCACGAGTGCAGGATACGTTACGATCGCCGGAAAATGCGACCGCGAGAGCTCCCAAGCGTGTCTCGACCCGAACGACGCGAGTCATATCGGTGGGCAACGAAAGCGAAAGAGGCGACGAGGTGAAGTCACGCAGCAATGTGGAGACCGCCAAATCGATGATGCAGAGGGTTCTAGAGATGCTGGCGAAGATGGGAAGTGAGATGGTGGAGCTGAAACATCGAGTATCCGAGCAAAGCGACACGATCAGGAAGTTGGGCGCCACGGTTTACAAGCAAAGCACTATCATTCAGGGACAGGAAGATCTGATCCGAGGCTTGGAAGCCCAGGTCCAGGAATCCAAGGAAGAGTTTCGACGTAAGAGCGAAGAGCACGACAAGGAAATGAAACAGGAGCACCGGGATCTTAAGAGAGAATTGGTTGGAGTGAAAGAGCAGCTACATCAGCTGATGCAAAAGCTGGATGTATCGGGCGAGGCGGCTTTGCCAAGCGGCCCTCGAGCAACGTTTGCGGACGTCGCGCGCGCCCTGCCAAACAGCCCGCCCTCCACCAGTACACGCAGCATACCTGGTCCAACCAAACAGCAGACAGCCAACGATTCTGCCCATTGTACCATTGACACGTCTCGTGTAAGTGAGTCGAACAGGAACAAAGCGCAAATCGGGCAGATACGACAGGCCATCGAGGTTGAGATGAGAGCGAAGAACGGACATGAGACCTGGAGGTGCGCAGCAGTTGTGAGAGAATCCCGGAACGCCGACCGAGTCAAGATCGTCTGCAGAGACGAAGCCGAGCTTCAGCTGGTCAAAGAGGCGGCGCAGAAGACAGCCGTGGAGGGAGCGCGAGTCATGAGAGACCAGCTGTATCCGGTCCGGGTCGACAACGCCAACCGGACAGCAATCCTCGACGCGGAGGGCAATATCCTGCCTGGAGCGATAGAAGCCTTGAGTGCCGAAAACAGAGTGACCATTGGCAAGATTTCCTGGCTGAGCAAACGAGAGTCTGGTAAAGCCTACGGATCCATGGTAGTATACGTCACCAAGAAAAGCGATGCAGAAAGGCTTCTGGACGGTTACTACTTTGACCTAGCGGGAGAGTCGGCCACCACTTATATGTTCGAGCCAAGAACGGGACCGATCCAATGCTTCAATTGCCAGGAGATCGGTCACAAAGCATATTCATGCAAGAAGCAGCGGACATGCGGCAAGTGCGCAAACGCTGGGCATCACCACCGAGAGTGCACAGCGATTGAGCCAAAATGCGTCCCGTGCGGCGGACCGCATGAGTCGTTTAGCTGGAAGTGCAGGATGAGGAACCCGAGCAGTGATGCTTGAGTCCCTCCGCATCCTACAACTAAATGTGCGCAAGCGTGATGTGGTGCAGCAGAGTCTGATGAATGACGCAGACCTGAAGGATTTTGCCGTACTGGCCATCTCTGAGCCGTATGCGCGCAATATTGACGGAAAGGTGGTGACGAGTCCTATGGGACATCGTAACTGGACAAAGATGATTCCGACGTGTGTTCGTGACGCCTCATGGCCGATCCGCAGCATGCTCTGGATCCGAAGTGACCTTGAGGCAGAGCAAGTATCCGTGCCGTCGGCTGATCTTACAGTAGCGATAGTTCGACTCGAGGGGAGGGAGGTGATGGTAGTGTCAGTGTATGTGGAAGGGAAGAACAACGAGGCGCTGGCGAGCGCGATGGAGGTGTTGCGCGACGTGATCGATCGCTTCCGCAATGGAACAGGAAACCGCACAGATGTGGTTCTGGCGGGGGACTTCAATCGCCACGATCTCCTCTGGGGAGGAGATGAGGTGTCAGCGAGAAGACAAGGGGAAGGTCAGCCCATCGTTGACCTGATGGACGACTTTGGTCTCTGCAGCCTTCTCCCGAGAGGGACGAAAACGTGGCAAGGGCCGGACAAGGAGAGCACCATCGACCTGGTGCTGGCATCGGCAGAACTGGCAGACGAGGTGATATCCTGCGTGATTCACCCGACAGAGCATGGATCAGACCACAGAGCGATCCAGACGACCTTTGACATTCAAGTACCGGAGCGAACATTTCCGCAGCGCCTGCTGCTCAGGAACGCGCCGTGGGTCGCCATCGCAGCCAGGGTCGAGGACGAGCTTCGACCTCTTCCGTGGACTGTGGGGGTGCAGACGCAGGCGGATCAGCTCATGCGGGTGGTCACCAAGGTGCTGCATGATCTGACACCCCGGGCACAACCGCCGCCTTACGCGAAGCGATGGTGGACGAAGGACCTTACACGACTGCGGCGGACATACACGTACTGGCGCAATCAAGCGAGGGCACAGCGACGAGTCGGTCAATCACGGCCGGATCTGGAGCAACGCGCCAAGGAGGCTGCTAAGGAGTACCACGACAACGTGCGGAGCCAAAAGAAGACTCACTGGGACGACTTCGTCACCGACGAGAGCAACATCTGGAAGGCACTCAAGTACCTGAAGTCTGGTATGGAGATGGTCGATGACAGGGTTCCCCCGTTGAGGAGAGCCGATGGCTCGATCACCGAAGGCAAGGGCGAGCAAGCCGAGGAGCTCCTGTGCACCTTCTTCCCACCTCTGCCAGCAAGGATTGAGCCGGAAGGTGAGCGTCCGCAAAGAGAAGCGATAGCCATGCCGGACCTCACCTTGCAAGAGATTGAGGAAAAAGTGATGGCGGCCAAGTCTTGGAAAGCGCCTGGTGAGGACGGCCTTCCTGCGATCGTATGGAAGAAGCTCTGGCACGTGGTCAAGCACCGGGTGTGGACGCTGTTCGACTCATCGCTCCGGGAGGGCGTGGTGCCTCATCATTGGCGGACAGCCAAGATCATCCCACTAAAGAAGCCTGACAAGGGAGATTACGCCCTGGCCAAGGCATGGCGACCGATCTCTCTCCTGTCAACGCTTGGCAAAATTCTGGAAGCAGTCGTGGCGGAACGCATCAGCTACGTAGTCGAGGCTCAAGGGCTTTTGCCTGCGAACCACTTTGGTGCACGGAAGCGCAGATCAGCAGATCAAGCACTCGTGCTTCTGCAGGAGCGCATCTACAAAGCCTGGAGAATGGGCAGAGTGCTCAGTCTCATCAGCTTTGACGTCAAAGGCGCGTACAACGGAGTGTGCAAAGAGCGATTGCTAGAAAGGATGAAAGCTCGAGGCATCCCAAGCCGACTGGTGAAGTGGGTAGACGCATTCTGCTCGGAACGGACAGCCTCTGTGGTTGTGAACGGACATGCGTCTGAATCGCAAACCTTACCGCAGGCTGGCCTACCACAAGGATCTCCGTTGTCGCCGGTGGCGTTCCTCTTCTTCAATGCAGACCTGGTGCAAAGGCGGATCAGTGACAATGGTGGCTCCATTGCGTTTGTGGATGACTACTCTGCCTGGGTGACGGGACCAACGGCCGAGTCTAACCGAGAAGGCATGCAGTCCATCGTTGACGATGCGATCAGCTGGGAAAAGCGAAGCGGCGCCACGTTCGAAGCGGACAAGACGAGTGTCATCCACTTCACACGCATCGCAGAGAGGGACACCGACGAGCCCCTGACCGTCAAAGGGAAGGAGATCAAGCCGGAAAAGAGTGTCAAGCTCCTAGGAGTGGTCATGGACAAAGCGCTTCGTTTCAAGGAACATATCGCCAGAGCGGCCGCCAAGGGGCTGGCCGCGGCCATGTGTTTGAAACGACTGAAGATGGCTTCACCACGAACGGCGAGGCAGCTCTTCGTCGCGACAGTGGCGCCAACCATGGACTACGCCTCCAACGTGTGGTCGCACGCATGCGGGGCGAAAGAAGCGTCGTGGATTGACAGGGCCCAGCGAATTGGAGCCCAGGCAGTTACAGGAGGGTTCCGCACAGTCGCAACGGCAGTGGCCGAGGCCGAGGCCGGACTGCAACCATTCCGAGAACGGCACGCTCAAGCTGCAACGAGATTCTGGATAAGGATGCGGACGCTCCCGAAGACGCATCCTCTGACATCGTTGAGGCTCAAGTTGAACAAGAGGTATGCCTCGCCAATGCAGAAGCTCGCCTCGGCGATGGGAGGACTAGATACCAAGCGCCTGGAAGTCATCCACGAGTTCGCACTGGCGCCGTGGATCGACCGACTGCACGTAGCGCAAGAGTGTGACCAAGTGGAGTTGGTGAAGCCTGACGAACTGGATGGCATCGTCATCGCGACGTCCAGCTCACAGCGAAAGGGCCTGGTCGGAATGGGAGGCGTTGTTCGAGACGCGTCTCACAACAGCCCGGGCGAAGCACTGGCCAGCTACTCCGCTACAGTTGGACCCAGCGACGAGCAGAACGCCTACACGGCAGGACTCGCAGCGATTGCGATGACATTGCAGTGCTTACCGGCTGGTCTGCGTCGTGGAGGCATGACAATCGTGACAAGCAACCTGTCCGTCCTGCAAGTCATTGCGCGGCCGCGACAGCAGTCAGGACAACGTACGATCCGCGAGATATACGAATGCGTCGAGACTTTGCGGAGAAGAGGATGCAGCGTTGCCCTTCGATGGGTACCCGCCCACGAAGACTTCACGATGAGCCCGCTGGCTAAAGCAGCCGCGAAGAGAGCAACCAGGGACGAATGCGCTGCCGAACCAGCGGCATTCAAAGCAAGGTCAACGACGCTACGACTGCTGCTCAACGGACAGAGACAGATCAACCAAATTCCAGAACGAGTCGGGAAGTGGTCGAGAAAGATTGACAAGGCGCTACCCGGTCGGCACACTCGAAAGTTATATGACGAACTGACAAAGAAAGAAGCATGCGTGCTGGGGCAACTTCGCACCGGCAAATCTCGACTGAACAATTACCTTTACAAGATAGGAGCTGTGGATTCGGATGAGTGCATGTGCGGACAGACAGCAGAGACAGTGGAACATTTCCTTTTCCGATGCAATAGGTGGACATCACAGCGAGAGATCATGCTTCGGTACACACGCGACAAGATTGGGGACCTATCGTTCTTCCTGGGAGGCAAAGCAGCATCAGACAATGACAAGTGGCAGCCGGATATGAAGGCTGTACGAGCGACAGTACAGTTCGCGTTGGCAACCAAACGCCTCAACATGGACCAGCAGATGACGAACTAACCACAGACCGAAGACACACAAGCATTAAACAGCCTTCCACGTGACAGACCGCGCTTCAGCCGCTGAAGGTAGGACGCTGAACACTTGGAGAAACTGACCTTCAAGCAGGCCTGTCATGTCACAGCGATCGAGGCTGGAAACAGATGAAAAGAAGTGTGGGGCTTTAGGTGAGATGGGACCATGTACAGAAGGTTTATAGCTTAGCGTAGTGGCTCTATAGGGGGAACCCTCCGGGCGCAATACAAAAAACAAAACAAAACAGGGCACACCCGGGTTCCCGCCCGTCAACAGGGAACAGCGTCATGAGAAAACACAATCGGCGTACCAACCACCATCAGTGACTAACACAACCACGCTTCAACTTCGACACATCGCGCTTCAGTTGCTGGGAATAGGATGCTGAACACTTGGAGAAATTGACCTTCAAGCAGGTCTGTCGTGGGGCGAACAGTGGAATGGTTGGCGCAGCGTAAGATGATCTGTGGGGCTTGGGGAGTCAAGGAACAAACGTGTTGAACTGTACTCTAGACAGTGTAAAGGCCTTATAGGGACCTCCCTCCGGGCGAAATAAATCCTACTACTACTACCGACATTTTGGCCTCCATGGCGTAGTGGTGACACGTCTGGAGCCTCTGCGTCGCAGAGGGGTCGGTTCGAAGCCGGCTGGAGGCACCCCTGGTGAAACAGGGCACACCCGGGTTCCCGCCCGTCAACAGGGAACAGCGTCATGAGAGAACACAATCGGCGTACCAACCACCATCAATGACTAACACAACCACGCTTCAACTTCGACACATCGCGCTTCAGTTGCTGGGAATAGGATGCTGAACACTTGGAGAAATTGACCTTCAAGCAGGTCTGTCATGGAGCAAAACAGTGGTACGGTTGGCGCAGCGTAAGATGATCTGTGGGGCTTGGGGAGTCAAGGAACAAACGTGCTGAACTGTACTCTAGACTGTGTAAAGGCCTTATAGGGACCTCCCTCCGGGCGAAATAAATCCTACCTACCTACCTACCGACATTTTGTCTCAACGTCAATCCGGGACAGCTCAACAACAATGGCGTCGATTGACGAGGCTCTTGATTTTCTGAAATCTTCGGAATCAGTGAATTATGCCGATACTGCACGGAGATTCAACTGTGTTAGAGGAGACCAGCTGTCTCTAGAAGGTTCTATGGGCATAATGACTATCGGCTATGTCTAGCCTTGCACTCCTTTCTGTAACTAGAGATCATCAATAGATCATTTTTTCATTCACTTCCTTCACAGTCTGTGTGTGCAGACAACAAACTGTGACGAGACCACGTTGCGATGGCGACATCAAGGCTGTAAGGAGCACAATCACAAGGAAACAGAGAGTGAAGAACGGGGGCCAGTGATGCAATTGTTGATCTCTAAAGAGCTCCTCCAGCGGGCTGTGATTATCCCCGCATCCTTATATAGGTCCTGCCGCGCGTCGCGATTCCCACTTCGGTTTCAGATGACGCAACCCAGGTCTCTAAGCGCGTGGCAAAGGCAAACAGAAAGTCTCTCCTCAGTGTCTGGCTGAGATGGCCAGCCGCTAGTCTGATTCTTCTCTGTTCGCCCCGGTAGTGGCGGGGGTGCTCTCGGAATACCCATTGAAGGGTCCCTAAGAAGGTGGAGAGTTCTGCTGCAGAGTTGCCGCGGAACTGTTGGATTTGTTCTTGATTTTTGTTTTTAGGCTCATAGACAGGAGAGCGTTCGCGAAAGCTCTCTCGTGGGCGAGGGCTAGATTCAGGCGACCTAGATCGTCGTCGTGGCCTTGAGTTGGGGTTTCCTGATGTGGCCAAGATGACATCAAGAAGCTGCTGTATCTGCTTTTCTTGTCGTTGCGTCTGGTCAAGATTCTACGACGAAATCCTTGATGGTACCTACTGTACAGTACAATTGTACCCTTCTAGAAAAGTTTTTCATGAGACAAAAAGGGCGACACACTGTCTATTTTGTGAGGAAAGTTCTGACAGGGATGATGTGACAATTACATACGTGAACGGAACAACGCTTCTCTGAAGTGGTAAAAGTACGTCCACTTCTAGATATAGTAGTAGAATGGCAATGTCCCCGTCGGCTATTAAGAAGCGCTCGCTTCCCCTGAGTGTTGTTCATTGCCCAAGCGGAAGCCACGATGTCGTCGACAGACTCGCACACTGCACGCTGGTTCGTCGGCCTATTCCACCAAATAGCCTGTCTGTCGAGCACTGGCGGGTTCTCGCAGAGACTAAGGGTTTAGAATGCGATCAGCTCCGCAATACCATGCGAGCCCTCAAACGTCCAAAAAATTGAGGTCGTGTCTAGGCAGGAGATGCAGGACCGCATCCTTGATAGCCAGCGGGATCTCATTAGATCACTTGAGCAGGACCTACAACGACAGAGGGAGACGACTAACGCGGTTCATAAGGCTGTTGCGACAGCACGAACCCCTGTGCGACCACGTACTCCCTGGTCACCGGAGCTCATATCAAGTTGCTCATCTTCCGGTCTCAGCTCAATTTCGTCTCGCCTCTCTCCAGCGTGTGATCAAATTGAGGCGACTGTATCATCGAGAAAGGGGAGTTCCGCCTCGCAAAGCGATAACTCGTCGAAAAGGAAGCGCTTAGAAGGGTAATAAACAAATGGTTGAGTCACGACCTAGGGCATGGTAAAGCAAGGTGGTTTTCCATACATGGAAAGGCCTGCAATCGATAATGGGTATCAGCCCCATATTTATGAAATATGACCAGAACATAAGAATAAAAACACGAAGATTATATCATTCTGTAGAGGAATAAACGCTCCTATCTATGCCGAAGCTATTTTACCTCTCTCCCGCATCTAGTGGTGACAAAAAGGGCCTCAAGTGCCGCCTTGACTTCGATCACTGAAGCTGACTCACCTCTGAGACCTCCTCCTCGGTCTCAGATTTCACCACAACGGGCATTTCTTGACTTCTACTTTGGGTAATGGCTTCCTGAGCCACCAAGGCTTCACTGAGAGTCATTAACCGTCTGTTCGGGCTCGGGGTTGCTCTCCTCTTCTTGCTTCTCTGCAGCCGGGCCACTTCTGCCTCCAGCTTCGCAATTATGTTGCTGTGCTCAGGAACTGTTTGTTCTTGAGCTTCAAAGCCTCTTGCTATCACCGCGTAATGCCTCCAAGTGCCAGGAGCCTTGTTCTTTCCGAAATCGCGAATGTGGCGGCTGGTTCTTCGGTGTATCATCAGGAGCCAAAAGTGGCGCAGAATTTGTAGATGTCTCTACCGTACCTGCGTGAATTTCTGCACGCCGCAATGCCTTGGATCGTGAGATTGGCCAATTTTCAGTGACGCTCCTGCCGGACAACATATTCTTTGGAGTCATTCCGAGTTCACGTGCTTTGGCATATGCCCGAATAAAATTGACCCTATCAACGGGCGCAGAATCCGTCAGACAGGTTAATTTCTAAAGTTCTTTCCGATACGCCGCCTGGATGTCGTTAAAACACCTTTGTCCAGTGGCTGGAAGCCATGACAGCGGTGGGAAGGAAGGTAACAGCAGTAGGCGTTGTTCAAACGCACGTGGCCATCCATGCATCCTGGTCCCGGTTAACAGTGATTTCTAGGGCGATAAATATGGAAACGCACCGTTGCATGGCTGTCATGTCCATCTAATACGATCAGCCTAGCATATGAACCATCGGCGGGCCGCGTGTGTGGCAAATAGACTCTCTCGAGCCACTCAATAGCGATAGGTTGTCCGTCCATCCGTTGGGTGAGGTAATGTAATGCCAGTCGGCTATTTTGCCGGATTCGGTCGCGAACCACTGTTTCTGGAGTTCTTTGCCCTTGAAAATGATGCCAGAAGTAAGGGCACGGCCGTCCGCGGTGGTGGCTTCGATAAATGAGGTCTAGTTGCGGGACCGATGTCCTTTCAGAAGGGCCTTCTGTTTTGGGTCTGTACTCCCAACCACAAGACTATCCAAACCTGGCAAAAATAGGCTGGTTAGTTGGAATAATGAAGGGCAAGTCAAACACTCACCATAGCCAGACATAATACCGCCCCGGTTGACATTCACGGTATTCTCCGGTTTAATCCGTCCATACTCCTTGTCCTGATATCGAAGTACCAGTGAACCGCCCGAGGCGTGAAAGCGTTAAACCTGTTGGCTTCCTAACGTCTCTCACGCTTGTTATTGATCTTCAAATGGCAATTAATGAATTTAGTGGACCAGTTGCTGTCCACTGTCCACTTGTTGTTCGGTTGCTTTATAGAGTCTCCACGCAGGCGCGGATCAGTCTGTGGGAGGGAATAGAGCCAAGAGACTCTTGAAGGACAATCAAGGAGAGAAACCGAGCTTTCTGGTTATTTCTCAAGTGTTTATCAGCCTGTATCTGATCAACGAGAGCTGCCTGGCCTTTTTGTCTGTCGGAAATAGACTGCTGAGGTATGTTATACTTTTGAGTGGTGCGATACTGC